GCGTCCAGAAAGTCAGAACACAGGTTTAGCCTTTTGACTGCTGATGAAGCCAAGCCGCTGCACCAGGCCTGACACAGTCGGCACGGTTGTAATGGGATCCATACTACCCACCCTAACTGCCCCCTCCCCAAACTCACGTCGTGCCCTTCAAAACGACGTGTCCCAGGTTCCGGTGAGCTTTCCTCGGAAGACTAGTTTCCCCCTGGCGTCGTATCCGTCAAGCCCTACGGGATAAAGTGGGTACAACACTATCAGCAGAGCAGCCATGCCAGCATCATGAACTGACCTCTTCAAGCGCTGCCAAATAAACCATACTTCCCAAAACCTCAAAGACTGTTTCTCTGACCTTTCCGCTGGCCTCCCCGTTCTCGACATTGTGCTCCAGCGCGAGCCACTCCTCGTACATCTCCCGAGCACCTCAGTGCTGTAGCGCCACATGTCGCAAGCATGGAAGCGATTCTTCCTTGCTGCACAGGCACGTTGCCAATCTCCAACCAGTTCATATTCAAAGATCAGCCGCTTCAGCAGGTCCTCTTGCTTCTGGCTGTCCTCCAAGCGCCAACATTTCGCAGGATCAAACTGGAAAACGTGCACAACAAAAAGTGCTGCTCTGCCCCCCTGCCTGCACTGTCTCCGCATCCGGTGCATCATCCAGTTGGGACTGTGGGCTCCGCCACAGCTGCTCGTCGCGCAGACGTCTATGTTTGTCAACGTCTGCGTTGAGAGCACGAACTAAATGCTTCAGGATGTAGACACACAGGTAGGAGTACTTGGCATCATTCTCATTTCCATTGAGCCCACAGGATGGCCCGTTCTTATTCTCGGCCCTCACAAGCCGGACGATAGCAGGGCGAAGCTTATTGCCCAAGTCCCTGAATGTAGTCCCATCCTCCTGCAGCCACTGCAGGAACTCGCCCCGGTTCACACCCTTGTGCCCCAACAAAGGAATGGATTCTGCATTTACTGGGTCCGTCTTTGTCTCTTCCAGACCAGTCTCGTGACACCAACGGGCGAATTCGAAGGCAAGTCGTGCGATGACCTTGCTGGCTTCTTTCTCCAACTCGTCATTCACAGTGGGAGGTGGTCGCTTTTCTGGTGGCGGCGGAATGTATGGCTCACCTGACGGTTGCAAAGCTGGTCGCACATCGCGCGGGCACAGTCGCATCAACGGGCGGTCTAGGCGAATCACTCCCTTCACGTAGGTCTCACAAGCCTTGAAGGGCAGTGCTGAAAATTCTTCGCTTTCAAACTCGCCCTTTGGCTGCGCTCCAACCTGCGTGAAGAAAGCTCTGAATTCCACCTCAGGACCCCCGCTGGCATCAGGAGGTGCCAAGATGCGACGCAAATCCAGAAATGCCTGAGCATGGTGCCATCTTGCCAGTTTTGCCAATGCAGCTTGGGCTTCCGGCAGCTCCTTGAAGTCAACAACGCCCTGTCCACTTAGCGCCGGGAACATGTACAACCATGTCCCTCCAGTCTGGCTGAGCGGGTCCGCTGTTGCATTGCGACCTCGGTCGTCCCCCACGGTGTTCAATAGGCGCTGGAGCCACTCCCTGCCACGGTAGCCCCGCACTTCACATCCAGACCACTCGACACGAGGAAGAGACTCCTCCGCCTCAACGAAATGCTCCGCGTGGCTATCGAACAGTGCTTTGAAGGTGTTGTGGTCAATTCCGCCAAATCCAGACTCAATAAACGACCGGCAAGCAGCCAGCCGTCGCCATTGTTCAGCCGCGTTGACGGCTTGAAGCGAGGCAAAAGCATCTGGACCTAGCTTGCCTTCAGCTGCAGCGTCTAAGACAAAGAATAGAGCTTGTACATCGGTCATCGTGCCCTCACCATCCAGGCGTTTGATGCCAGCTAAAAACTCTGGACAGCTGATGCTTGCGGCCTCAGGGTCATCCATCAGTGCCTGCAGCGCAGCCTCACCAGGGGATCCCAAGAAGCCGTCCTCGCCATACAGCAGCTTCTCCAGCGCTGACAGCGAACTCGGAACGGACGAGACCGATTCCAGGCACGTCAGTGACTGGAACGCCTGATGGCCTAAGGTGGCTGAGGAGTCCGCTTCGGCAAGATATGCAAAAGCGAAGACATGGTCAAGCGCCTCCTCATCTGTGTACCCCAGTTGCGTCGCTGCTGAAACGAAGGTTTCCCGTGTGATGGACCCGGTTTGCTGCGCATCCACCTGACGAAGCAAGGCTTGTATCGAGCCGGTGGCAGACAACAGCCACGCGTAAGCTTTCGAAGCAGCTTCCAAGTCTTTCAGGCGCTTTCTCACGCCCAAAACTCGAAAGTCTTCTCGTGTCACATAGCCTGCTCGACTGGAGTCAAGTGCTACGAACAAAGCTTCGACCTCCTCGGGTTCCTTGTTGACACCCATCTGCTCGAGGCCTGTCGTGAGGCTCTGGCGCGTCAAGAACCCCTCCGTTTCCGTATCTATGGCCGAAAAAGCTGTCTCCAAGCTTTCGTGCTTCTCCACCAGCAAGCTGTGCAGTTCTACAAGCTGCTCTGCTGTTGCCGGCACTGTGATTTCCAACAACCGCAAGAAATCATGAAGCCCAATGCGCCCACCCAGTCCCGTACGGGGTCGGCAAAGGAAGTTGAAGACTGCCGGGCCATCCACTTTGCCTGGAAAGCCAGCACGCATGAGGCTTTCCTGGAACTCTTCCATGCCAATGTCAAAGGAAATGTCTGGCTCATGCGTTGGGGATACTGGAGTCTCGGGATCCGCAGGCTCTGCAGTTTCATCCGCCCCTTCTGCCGGCTTGGCTTCCGCTTCTTCGGGAGGAAGATCGATGTGGGGCAGAACCAGCTGGCCGCCGTTGAACTCACAGCCCAAGACACGGAGGCTGTAGCGGAGGGGATGTGTCTCTAAGAGGCCTTCGGCCGTGCCAGGCTCTGGAAGCGGGCCACCAGCCTCAAGCAGCTTCTGCGGCAAATGATACAATCCATCGAGGCGTACAGTAAGTATAGCCCAGTCATGCAGGTCTTCTGGACACAGGATCCGGCCGATTGGGGCTGCTGTTGAAATTTTCAGCATCAGCCGTCCAGGCGGAGGCTCAGAAAAGGGCGGAGGCACCTCAGCCTCCCCAGGTTCCTTCTGTGCTTCCGCGTCCTCGGCCTCCTCTGCCGCCTTGGCTTCAGCTGCCTCTGCTGCAGCCGCAACTTCCTTCTCATACTCTGCTCGAAGCTCCTCAAGCAAGGATTCTGACCATTTCAAGTCCACATCCAGGTCCAGCACAGCCGTGTCGTGGATCAAGGCGCTCAAGTCAATGGTAGCTTCTGCCAGAGGAACGGGCGTAGCCCCGTTCCTGAAAAGCTTCAAGCGCATGGGCGTGCAAACGCTGTCGAGGAGGCGTTGCCTTAGGTCTTTCAAGATGCTCTGTTGCCGCACGTCGCCTTGTTATTATGGGATGTCCATTTACATGGCAAGGCATTGCCCATCGGATCGCTCAACTATCTCGAACCAAAGCTTCTGGCCTCTCCGCTTGATGTTGGCACGGTTTCGAGATCCGGCACAGTGCCGTCGGTGGATCGATGGATGCAGGGCGGGAGTCGTCCTGCATGCAGAAACTGTGCGAACGCCCACGGATTTTCTAGGTTCACGACCCTTGGGCTTCCAAGTCTATTCGCAACTTGAGAAGCGCGGGCCTCTTTCTTCTTCTTGCCCGCGGCTGCTTCTGCCTCTAGTACCACACAGGGCCCCCCAATCAGCATGGCGATGCAAAAGTAGTCGCAACAAACCGTATGAACCCCGAGACATCGGATCATGTCGGATAGTAGCGATCACATGAAAGTCCCAGCAGGCGGCCTCAGCCTTGAGCCGCTTTGCCTCTGCCAAAGCCTCCAGGGACTGGAAAAGGAACGGCCCGGGCTCCATGGACTCCTCATTAAGTGCTCGGGGGCAAGCGCGCACGCCAACGCGCATGACTCGTCTGCTGTTGCAAGCACTTGCGAATCTGCTGGCATCTTGCTGTAACACCTGCTCTACTGCTCCTCCACCTGTGCTTCAGATGCATAGTCCTGGCTGGATGAGATGTGTGATTTGTGCCTCACCAGATCATGAGAACTCACGAGCGTCACATGTTGTGGACTTTCTTGCGTCCTCTTCCAAGCCCAGACCAGCTATCTGGATGAAGGTCACCTCAGGCTTTGGAAGCCCCTGCGCTTGGGCAACCTCAATGTGGAACACGATCCCCTGCCAGCAACTCAGCAGTGGCACAACAGTTCGACAATTCCTGCACTAGATGTGAAAGATGTGCCTGTTCTGGTGGTGGCTGTTTCTCTTCAGTCATCCTGTTCATGCAGCAGAAGATTGAACAGGAACCTGCTTCCAGCTTCTGAATCAGAACAGCAAGACAGCCTGCGTGAGGCAGTGCTCCGGCAACTATCTGGAACCAAGCATTCGCCTCCGAAGCGTAAAAACAAACTTGCATATTGAAGAGTTGAGCTGGTCTACATGTGCTGAAGACTCAGAACAGGCATTTGCAGCGTTTAGTGCGTGAGCCCTTCTCCGAAAGCGCCGATACAACTTCACATCTGCATGGCTGGTTGTCCAGCAGTCTTTGACTAGCATGCTTGCCAACGCCGCAACTAATGAGTTCGCTTCATGCACGAACTCGAGGAAAACATTTCCGGGCAGTACCATGTTTTTTGGGAAACTCAGGCAGACGATGCGCACAAGTCCAACACTGGCAGCCCAGGCACAAAGGACGATTCAAACTTGGCTCCCTAAAACTAGCTGCCAAAACTTCTGTTGAGCCAAGCAGCTGCCAGTACCCCAGTACCCATACAGTAATCCGAAGTGCATGGCTTCACACTATCATTCACACTATCAGGCCTTGTAGCTTGCAGACTGCTTGCAGCAACTGGGACTAAGCTTCTAAAAACCCTCGAGAGAATGTGTGGACGATTTCCAATTCTGAAAACATGAAGACAGCGTCAGCTCTCCCAAGCATGGGCACTCTTGAGCAGCTCTCCCAAGCTCGGCATCAGCACTCCTCTCCCAAGGCATTGAGCACCAACCGAAGGGGGTTGGCGGACACCGGAGTCGAACACCCGGAAAGTAGACCTCTGGAGAAGTGGATATCGCAGAACAAGCTACTGTGGCACCATTCTGTGCGGCGATGGCAAGCTAAGGATGACACTCGGCCCGCTGTCGAACTCATAGCCGTTTCTGGAAAACCTGTCACAAGCAAGGTTGATGATTGGTGTTTTGCAGATGACTGAGTAGGCAGCTTAGCGCAGGGCGAGTGCGCCACCTTGCAGCTGCTGGTGTCACTGCTGTGATGGAAGCAACAAGAACAGCTGCTCTCCCTCCCGAGCCCACCGAGCCCGAGGGTTGCGTTTTGGGGCTCAACATGGTCAAGGAAATACCGTTCTCCGGCTGCCTCTCCAGCACGAATCCGACCTCGCTCTTCCTAGCTACGCAGCTACTTGGGCAACGTGGGGCAAGCCTCCAAGACCCTTAGCATACTTGACACTACCAGTATGTCTGCCTGCGACGGTGCCCTAGATTGATTTGCATATACTAGCAAATTCTAGGTAAACAGGTACACAGAGGATACACGTCAACCCAAACTTCGATGGCTCGAAACACTCTGTGGCACACGCGACATTGCATGCCACTGGACATGAGCACAGAACATGGTTACATAGTTTCAAAGAGCGTTCTTGGGAAGGCTGAAGCCGCCACCCCGCCAGGAACACTGTGGGATTCGCACACCAGGACCTCGCGTCCTGCACGCGCCTGAGTGACTTCAAGTGAGAGCCTGCATTACAATAACATGTGCGCGCCGGCATGTGTGCAGAATGTGTGCAGCTAACAGAAACAAAGCTTTGACGGGTTTTAGGCCCGGCACCAGCATGCCAGCCGATGCCAAACCTCCAAATCCCGATCCTGCACCCACATGCACCCACACTGTTGGGGGACCCTCTGCACTTCAAGACTGTTTGCTCGAACGTGGAGCGGGCTCCCCTGAGGCTCGGGGCAGTCGTGCCTATGACAACGACATCCACTTCGGCATCAGCACTGCTGTTCGATCTCTTCGCCTACCGCTGCTTCGCATCACAACGACTGGATCGGCTGGTTTTCCACTCTGCCTTTCTGAAGATCTTGCCGTGCCAGCGCGGTTGTCCGATCTTGGACCTGGCAGCGGTTTGGCACGAAACTCCGACACCCTTGAAAATGAGGGAGCCTCCGCTTCGAGCGCGAAGCCCAGAGAGGCGCCTCACAAGTCACTATGGTCAACATTCATCGTCCAAATGCAACGAAACAGCATCCGAGCAGCTAAGATTTGGACAAGAGCACCGAGGCAAACTTTGGCCCCTGCGCATGACGAGCCTGCAAGGCAGATGTTCGTTGGGACTTCATGGTCGTGGTGAAGCGCCACACGAATGCAGAGAGTGCAGAGCACGTGAACGATGCAAGATTTCACACAGGCACATCCTCGCTAATCTCCCGGCACATGTCATTGGCAGATGCGATTGCTTCGACCCAAACTTTGAGGGCAGAAGCATCGCTGACGCGCATTACCAGCTTCTTCACATGGAAGGCCTGAAAACCTGCCCGGTGGATCTCCAAAAGTCAGGTGCGGAAGCTATCATGCGAATCATGCGCCCAACTTGAAGGCCAAAGCTGCTTCCAGCCGAGCTGCGGCCGTCTTGCAAGAGGACGACGAGCTGCAGCAGTCCGCTGTTCGGACTACTGGAGGGCTCCTCCGATCAGGGTGGAATAGGGCGGGTCAGGCTCCACAGGTTACACATGGTTACACACGTTCCCGACACTGGTCAACTCTCTTTGAGCGCAAAGGAGGGTCCGTAGCCTCCCCGGAGCCGAGTGAATGGTCGCAGAGGGTGAATGTCAGCCTGCACCGAGGCGTAAATGAACACCGCTCCGGATCAGCGTGAGATGCCCCCCTCAGAAAGGCCTGGGAGGGTCGACAGCCTGAGTTGGTCTTCTTAGTCTTCTTTCTCTACCATCTTCCACATCAGTCCCCCTCACTCATGCAAGTCTTTTGCAAGCCCCAAGCAGTGCTCTTAAGCAGTGCTCTTATAAGCAGGGCAAGCAGCCGCGAGCTTGGCATACTTTGTGTGGAGGAAGGCAAACGGATTCAGCCCAGGCCCGGAGTCCATCTCAAAGAACAACATCGGCCCACATAGCGAAAGCCAGACCTAATTGAAGCCAACAACGGGGCTTGCGACATTTGCGAAGCCTCCAGCTGCACCTAGATCCGATTGCATTCTGCGCCTTTGCTTTAGCATCTGTTCGCCCCCAGAGGCGTCTGAAACAAAGAGTCTTCTGCCTCGTGAAGCTGCAGCTTTCCTCCTGCCTTCGGGCTGCGTGGCCCTAGTCTCAAGCCGAGCGGCTGATCCGGGATGGGCATCCTTTGAGCAACGGAAGCCAAGGAAGGGCACATTTTGGAGACGTTGGAGATGTCAAAACATAAGTCAATCTAGGGCACCAGGATTCCTTGAGCCTTCGCCTGAGCAATCAATCTATTCTGTGCAGTGCTGACAGCAGCCAGACACCATGGTTTGAGGACATCACGACAGGGGAGCCGTCCACCGAATGCTCCAACCGACCAGACTGCATCCGGGCAGATGCAGTCGACTCACCTCGCATGTACGACGTAACCAGGAATTGTCTGGAATTGTCTGATTCAAAGGCACCAAGCTGGCACAGCACCAGCACATCTTGGGAGCCGTGTGGACTTGATGCTGCCAGGCGGCAGATCATTCCAGCAATTTGCATGCACTCCTTGGCTGATCGGCACCGGCACAAAGAGGAGAAGGTAGCAAAAGCCAAAAGCCGTTGTTGGGACTTTAGTTGATGAGTATAAGTGGCTCGAGATGCCAACTGAGAATTGTGGCTTGCTGCTTGCTCACCTTCTGACCGATAGACTTAAAGCTTGCCAAGCAGTTCTAGAGCTAGAGGCTCGCACGCGCAACTTCCAGAAATCCACGATGCAAAGAAGAGTCCACAAAGCTCACTGGGCGAAAGTGCGGAGCCCCAGGAAGGGTCGGCAGGCCGTCCGCGAACACTTGCCTGGGATGCAACACATCGTGTGGCCCTGTCGCAGAAATTGTGTGCGTGTGTCTGATTACGTCTGTCTGTCCGTCTGAGTCCGTGCGGTCAGACTTCTGATGTCTGATGTCCGTCTGCCTACTCTGGAGCACTCCGCTTCTGCCCAGTTGCACCCAACCAGTGGCCGACGCAATGGCCAGTTCGCGCATGTCGAACTGACCTGGATCTCCGAACTTCTTTAACTGGACACTGGGACTTGAATCCACGGCATGCCACCCAAACGCCAGCTCGGTTCCCCCTTGTTCACTCACTGTATTGCAGCCAACGTACCGGAGCTTACGGCAGGCCTCTGATGGGCGCTGGTGCCATACGGCAATTAACGGCGAAGCAGTTTCCGAGCTTTTGAACTGAGACAAGTTAGTCGAAACGGCTTTCGACTCTCGCACAGAGCAGGCACTGTAGGCGAAACGAGTTTGGGCTAACCTTCTCAAACTTGAAGGTCCGTGTTGGGAGAATGGCAGGATTGTCCATGCAAGGCATACAGAGCAAACCGCCCATCTGAAAAGAAAAGTCCATAGAGTGAAGGGTGCCTCACCTATCGAACTTCAAAGCCTCTGAAGCCCTACACCGGAAGTCCGCCGAAGCTATGAGCTTAAAAAAACTTTGAGAGTGGTGGGGTGCGCAAAGATAATTGAAGCATTGGCATAATAAATGGTGGAGCTGCGTGTGATTGCACATGTGGCCCGCGCCCGGTATTCTCGTGTTCAATATTCGCAAAGAGTGGCTGTGTCTCTCTGTCCTCAAGCGAAAGCTCTTCCAGGGCAGCTGTTGCCACGGCTCTGTAGATTGGCTCCAGGACCCAGTCTGGAACATCTTCCTGTCGGGGCATACAAGTGCACCGGTGAGCACATGTGAGCGCCCCCAAGGAAGGGCTGTTGCAGTCCTTGGTGCCACCTCCTTAGCAGCCAGCATACTCCACTGGATTACGGACCAACTTGGTCGAGCAAGCCTTTTTTCGAGCAAGGGGCTGTTCAGGGCCGCCCATGCATCGAAGTCCAGCTTCTGCGAAGGAGGCAGCGGAGCATGCAAGTTCCAATGGAGCATCACCTGGAGAGGTGGCGATTTTGAGGCACCCGACACCCTCGGCTATGAGGACATCCCCAAGACTAGGGTGGACCAAGGCACCGTCGAAAAGAACAGCTGGTGCAGGCTGCTGATGGATGGAAGAATCCTAGGACAGCACTCTGGCACTCCGGGCCCCAGGACGAGCCACAGCTTTCTGCCAAAGCTTCAGACAAGCGGCGACTTGAGGTTTGTACCCCGGAGCTCATCTGACTCGACATCCATCGCCATATCAATAGACTCTTGAATGAGGTCGTCCTGCAGGGGCTCACCAGTACTCTTCCTGCCTAAGAATGTCGGACCAAGCATGAATAAATTCTCCTGGCTCTTGGAGGGGCTGTTGGCCTTCTCCTTCACATGGCAACCGGCCGACGGCAGTTGGATCGGCATGTGGCCATGCACAGCGCCGGCATGGGCTCTTGGAATTTATGTTTAGCACATGGGGTCGTGGCCTTCTTCTTGCCGCTGAGCTTTGCAGCGCGGAGCTGTTGCCGCCACCACACCTGCCAACCCGGCACAATGGTGGGTACGAGCCTCCGGCCTCCAGCATGCAAACAAAAAGCGTGGGCCTCGGAAAGGCTGCTCAAGAGCCGATTCATCTTCTGCAGATCTGGAGGCACCTTGAGGCCTGTAAGGCCTGAGGCATGTCTTTGCGTGTACCTCCGCACTTACCTCATGCCGGCGTAAAAAAAATGCAACGAAAACGGCGCCTGTCCGCAGCGCAGACACCACACCAGTGTTTGTCAAGCAGACCTGCGACGAGAACGCCGGCTTGCAAGATCTAAACAGTTCCAAACGTTTTGTGGCAGCGTGCAGAGTTGAGGAACTCCATGCGAAGGATCTTGGACAGCGAGAAATCCTGCCAGGCAGAGACATCACAGCACGACTCAAAGGTGTGGAACCTCGGGTTCCTCGCCCAGGAAGGTTCCCACTTGGAGAGGGCTGAGCTTCGTAGTACGCATGAAGCCCACCAGGTCAATGGGATAGTCACGCACAGAGCCCGTGACCACCAAAAAAGCCTCCGGAGAAAAGGGAGGGATTTCCCGTGCCTGCTCTTTGCGCACTCATCCATTCTGATGCCACTTCGCTCCCCCCGCCCTAACTGCAAGGCCACGGGGCGAGACCCCGGCCAGGGCTGGACTCAAAGATTTGGCAGCCGAGATATGCACAAAGCTCGGCAAGCCTGGCCATCAAGAACCGCTCAGCAAGACGTGCCGAAATCTCCTACAGGGTTGCAACACATTCCGTGTGGGTTTCCAGCATGTCCCTGACAGGCATGTCCTATGCTGCTCGGGCATGCACGTTCATCAAATCTCTACATATGTGTAGTGGCGCATATAGGTATAGCTATATTAACAAACCCTATCTACCGCCCTCTTCTTCTCCTGTAGGTCTCATCGGTTTGCGAGTCGAGCTGCTTCTCGCGAAGCTGCAAAAGTACCAGTGTTTGCAGTATATTCTAACATTTTTGAATATGTTCTTACTGCGTGCCCGTACCCAAGTTGAATGCATTTTTCTATTAAGTTGCATATGCTGAAATACACATGTCTTGTAATGCTTTATAGTGCATATGCCAAAACACCATTTTCAGCGATGTTTCCATTCAAAAGCCATACCATAGCCTAGCAAGCTAAACAATGCAATTTTGCTGGTATGAAGTATTTTATTGGCAACTGCCTCAATAAAGCTATTCCCTCCGAATCCTGACAACTAAACAGATTGTAAACAATTCCATGGGTTCAAAACTGACGTGGGAGGCAAATAAACGTGATACAGCCAGAAAAGTCCATGGTAATGGAAATCTCATATTTTTGGCTCGATCAGTCTGCTCCCACCCGGCATTTAATAGATGTTGTGATATAACTAGTTGTCAGTTCTTGTGGCCAACAGGGTAACAGAACAAAGTTTTGCTTTCTGCAGCACCATCTCCAAAGAGCGAATATCGGGCGCCAACGTGAAACACGAGTCTGAACTTTGCTTTCAGCCTTCCTATTTACGAGACGTTACCGTAATCAGTTTGTTGATCAACATGTAGCCCACACCATGTTAACAAAACTTCGTTACTTGCTAAAAATAGTTGGCTAATTCCTTCCAGGTGCTAAATCCACAGGTAGAGATGCACTTTTAAAGCAGCACTGAGGGAATGAGAGATACTGCGAAACCCGACTTGCTTATTCCCCAACAATTTTCGCATCCATGTGCGCCAAGTCTCTCCAAGTCGACATCGTCCTCCACCAGGAGCGGCGCTCGCGGGACAAAGAAAGGCTCGAACCCTTGGAAGCTTGGCCAAACTGCACCAACGAGTGTGTAGTGTGCAGGGCTGCCGACTGTCCAGAATGCTTCAAAGCGAGGCTGCGGCGAATCTCTCTAGAGGGTGATGCGACGCAGGAGCGCGACAGAAATGTGCCTTTCAGAGGGGCCAGCTGCAACTACCAGTTCCTCATGAACGGCTCCACATGTCGCAACGGCTCGAGTAGATGAAAGCCAGTAAAACGGGGCAATAATGCTTGCACAGGCGTTTGACCTGCACACACCTGCGCATGCTGTCTCGTTTGCTCTGGGGAGCCAGCCTTCCACTTGCAGCGCTTGCAGCGTGGCCTCGTTGCCTTGGCCGCCTTGGCCGCGGACCCTGGCAAGGGCAGGCGCGGCTTTGCGTTCGCTTAAAACTCAAGCTTGCAGAAGCTGGGACTGTTTCGACGCGATGCACAAGCAAAACTCTGCAGATCATGGCCTGTCTTCTGGGAAATCAACACCTCAGTCACCACTGAAACAGTAGTCAGCGAAGAGCACGCAGCCCTGTGGAACGCGACAACACTAATGATTTCAGCCATCGCGTCCCCCCAACTCCCCAACCACCTGCCTTGTTGGTTAGGTGAAATCCAAGGTAAAACTGCGTTTAACATGTTATCCAAAATTCCACAACTTCCAGCAACCCAACCCATATGGTATCCCAGGAGTCAAAACATTCCAAGCACTCAAGCATTCGAAAAGTTCAACAGCAAGTTATTTACCTCGATCATCTCCACCCTGCAGCTACCTGACGGGGGAACCATCCTGCCGTTTTCGGGCAGGTACTTATGGAAAATTCGCCGCAGGCTTCCGTCGATCTGAGGGTGTGCACTCCACAGGGACTCTTGCGGGGTGAAACATTGGGGGGATACTCGGCAGGGCCTCTCCGGGGGGGTGGGCACTGCAGGGACCAAGAGTGTGGGACACCGCGCAAGAGGCGAGGAGGCGGAGCATGGTTGATTTTTAAACCCAACAACCCCACACCGAGGGTGGGGGCAACCAACCTTGGAAAGGAGGCGGCAGGTAGTCTAAGCGCTACGGAATCACAAGGTGACGCTATTTGGAGACTACAGGTTTCAAGCATTTTCGAATGACATTGGGTCTAACTCTAGACTCTAGATGAAACGAGCTTCAAATTCTGATCTGCGACAACACCGTAGTTTGATAGCAAAGCTCTGCAACCACTTTGTGAAGCGCCACCATATCTTGGATGTACAAGAACTTAGAAGAAGGTACAGTACAATACACAGCTGCGAAAGTACTCGGGCTACACTTTGGGGCTTACTATCGTGGCAATGCTACAAGAAGACATGCAGAGGAAACCGGAAGCATTGTGAGAATGTGCACCAAGATAAAACCTTTATCAAAGTCGTGTTCTAAGCGCTGTCTAGCTGAGGTGCATGTGCCTGTGTCCGGCGTGGCTTTCATCTCCTTCTGCAGGAGTCTGCGTGTGGCCACGTCCTAAGCTTCTACGAAACGATCCCTTGCCCCTCACCCAAGCCTATCGTGAGCACCATGCCCAATGACAGCCGCCTAATGTGTAAAGCACCGTGAGCCATCACCTTCTCTGAATCACTTGATGCTGGAGCGGCTCCGAGCAAAGGTCTACAGCAAACTGGCCTTTGTTAGTACGCACGAGAGTGTTGGCCCCATTCCTGAGGAGGACCTTAGCTGGTCCGCAGAGCGGATGCAGGTGGATGACGAGGCCACACTTAGAACCTGGCTCGAACCACGTCCTGTCGTCCCATGAAGGCTGCAACGTGCAGTGGCGTCCAGCCAGCCTGCGCAATCCGAGCAAGTACTTTCTCTTCGTGTTCTTCAGAGCTTTGGATCATGCTTTTTGTGCATATCTCCGGTCCTCGTCGGTCGCCTGGAGGCCTCTACTGCCACCAAAGGCACCAACTGTCTGGGTTGTTGGCTCAGCTTCACTCTTCACCTCACAAGGTCATCAGGTTATCTCAGGTTTGTGGCAGTCGGCTCGTCTTGCAAGTCGCAGAGCACATTCGCTCCATGCGTGACAAGTGTCTGCCATTTCGCTGTTGCTTGCATACATGGAGGTCGGAGCTGTGCCTCCAAGCTGTTTCAAGGCTCAAGCCGGATTAAGCGGACTCAAGACCCCAAGCACAAGACTCTTCGACTCGCTTCCGGCCTTCCTCTTCTAGAAAGACTAAGACCTCAACGATACTGCAGGAGCCGCTGCGGCAGGCAGCATGCAGGCAGGTTGTGCCCTTCTGATCCTGTGCAGCGCTAGTCCAGCATCAAATGCAAAAACACGGCTAGAATCGTTAAGACACAAGGACCGGAAGCACGTTGCGTACACGCTTGGAGCCCCAGAAACTCTCGCACAACCCGGCACAACAATTTGGCGATGGACGACGCGAGGCCTAGACTCCCTGAGGGCCGCAAAGCAGGATCCTTTCTCCACCCAAGGAGCCCGGCGAGCTAACCCGAAAATAAAACGGGGGCCACTGCAAAAGGAATCAGCTCGCAAATTTGTGTCTTGACTGCTGCAAATCGCTGTAGCCACCAAGCTGTGGGGCAGCATGCGTTCCTAAAGAGTCTCTGCCGCTGTTTCCTATTGTTTGTCGAGCTGCCGTTGCTCGACGATTTCCTCCCAGAACCAAGAGCCAGCGAACACCGGCCAGGTTGCTCGAAGCACCTGGCAGATTCCGACAACATCTGGCAACAGTGCTAACGTGGGCCTCACGACTTTACATTGTCAAAGGAGAGGCACAGAACTGAAGCAGGTTGCGGTCGACGGCATTAAGACCTTGCATCGCTTAGATTCGCTGATCATCAGTGATCGTGAGCAGGTCAGCCACATGTTCGAGCCTTCTAAAGTGTCTGGAAACACGGCACCAGATGGTTCGGGCTCCTCCAGAACAGTTCTGCTTAGCTTCAACCGCTTGACTCAACCACCGTTGCGTGCGTGTGTGACATGTGGGCGAACTTGCGCCCACATTCTCTGCGGGCCTCTCCTCAGGTTTTGGTATTGCCGCTTTACATTCCGCTGTCTCAGGGCTCGTCACACAACCCACCTTTGCCTCTCCAACTCATTGCTGTCACCGAGTTAGATGCTGCTGGTCGCAGCTTATGCCTCTGCTCTGTCTTGGCCTGCTTTTAGGACTTGCTACCACGCATTGTTTTGTGTCACTCGCCGGGCTGAGTCCGACTAGGATCCCTGTCGTTGGATGGGATTCATTAAGAGACTATGATGGAAGCTTGCCAGCTGACCGCGATGCCAGAAGGTGCATCAAGTCCGACCCAAATCGACCGTTCCCGGCCAACTCTACCCCTTTTTTTGTCCATTCCACTCCGCACACCTTGAACACATATCTTTCCGTTGCCACCTCTCTCTCTCTGTTTTTTCTCAAGGGACTCGACTGCTGCCCTTAGTGCCCTGCCCATCCCAGCCCCCACGCCTCCTTTTGTGCAGAACTAAATCTCTCGACGTGTGGCGATCTGTTCTGTTCACAGAACATGGGCTTGAGTTTTGTGCTCCTCGATGATGCTTTCCAGGGACTGTGAAATCGTCAGCTGCGAGCACTGCCTCCAAAGCCACAAAAGTCAAGGAAGGTCAAAGAACGTCCAGCAGGCAGTATGTCAGTATGCACCACGACTGGTTGTGCTCGTCTTGCCGTCTTTCAGCTTACCAACTAAATGGACTGAGCAGATGCGGGCAAGACACCCGCCACACTTGCCCTTCTCACCTGACATACGGTCAGCACCTTTTGGTGCATGTGTCTGCTCAACTTTCAGACCGAACATGATCGAACTTCCAACCGAGCTCCATGCCGCACAGGGCGTGGTTGCCCATGGGCCAATAGGCGGCCTGCATTTCCGCTGCAATACTGGCAAGTTGCCGTGCGCTCAATTTGTTGCCTTCAACTTCCGAGGACGCGACCTGGAGGAGATTTCATTCTAGACCATTGGCGACGCACGCATGGCCACAGCAGCGCTACTGAATCAGTAGCTCTGATATCTAGTGCAAGGATGCCGAGAGACTATTGCACCATTTCAGTGCATTCTGAATCTGCAAAGAACGAATCTGAACAGCGCATAGAAGCTGGAAACTGAACCCAGGCAATTGAACAAAGTGAGCTATGCGGTTTGAACATCGCGCCTGCGGCTGATGTGACCCTTGAGACCCAGCACAGCTGTAACAATGGTAACACTGGGGTAACACTGGTAACCTGCGGTAACACTTTCGAACTTGCGCCAGCGGGCTCTGGTGTGCCTGCTCTGTAGCTGGTCCGAGAGCTTGCGCCACTTGCGCCCGAAGGAAAGGAACATCCGGAGCGGGCCACTGAGGCCTCAAGGGCTGCAGCCCGTGTATTTCACTGTTCACTGAGTGCGAAACATCTGAGAATTCTGTGGCCCCTGGCTCCAGCACATGGAGCTGGGACGAAGCTCTCCATGAGTTTGGCTAAGTTTAGCTTGTGACGGTTTCTTCCAGCTGCTTCACTGCTGTGACAAAGTGGGGCTTTGCATGTTCACATGATCCATGTGGCGACAGCTTGAGAATTTCACATTCGTTGCCAAGGAACCTGCACACATGCATGTCGCATCTTATCTCGGCACACCTCCATGCATCTACTTTTGTACCGCGACTATGCCGCCCCATATCATGTCAACATATGTACAGAAGGGGCTTGGGTGCCCTCACTTTTCAAGAGCACCAAAGCCCCACAAGTCCTTCCCTCAAGCCTTGCCTTGCCAGGTGCTTCAAAACTGCGGGTCATTCGCTGCAGTGTTCTACAAGTTGCTTTGTTCTGGCACTGCGTGGTGTGCTGACAAGACTTGAAGGGGAGCCGGGCAAATCCCTGCAATTTAAATCCAGGGACTAAAGGAGGGGTCATGTAGGGGCTACTTAGGTAAATAAGCACTATACCAGGTACATGTACAACGTAGGGTTTATAAAGGGAAATGAGATTAAGGGTCCCTTCTAGGCGTCCCCTATACCCCTTAATAAAACCCTACAAGCCTCTATTGAACCCCATAAACTTTCCTTCGTGACCTGCGCAATTCTGCTCGGGATTTCTATTGCGTCGGGTAAAGGCAGATTTGCAGATTGGGTCGATGGGGCAGCTCGGCCAGCCGTAGACCCGCCCTCAGGGCATCAAAAGGTGCAAGCATCCGTTGGCAAAAAAACCTCATGGACTGCAGAAACCAACTTGGCAACGAAGTCTCACCACCCTCTTGATGCCACTTCAGGGATGCTTCCGGGTCTGTGAGCCTATGTTTCTGAAACCCTTCCTGCGGGCCTCCTTGCTGCTGGGATCGGCCTTCCAGCGCCCTGCCAGTGCACCTTCCGGACACTTCTTGGCAATGTCACCTCCTTAAACTCATAGACTCATGGCTGCATGGCCTCCACAGAGGCAAGGGCAAGAGAGCAAGCTGAATCGGGCGTCCTGCAATCCATCGCTCATGCTGCAGCACCCTCAAAGAAGCTGGCGGTATCACTGCACAGCGCAGACAGCAAGCTGAAGCGAGCATGCATTTCAACACGGGCCGCGAATTGTAAAACAAAACGTTTTAAAACTACTTCAGATCGAGTCTGCTGTGAGGGTGGTGCCACGGGTGGGTGGCCCCAACCCTCTCTGACCGATTCTGCTATCGATGCCCAATGGAACTCTCTGATCTCAAATTTTGTTGAGCAGAGATTCATTGCCTATAGCCCTACGATTCTACAACACGCTTGCAAGCCGAGCCGAAGCCCGAAGCGCTCGCAAATTTGATGCAGCAAGGAAAACGACGGAGGATGTTGACCGCACGTACCAGGAGACACCAACAATTCTCATGGACATGGACTAAAGGCCAACACGCCCCGAGCTTGTCAACATCGTTCAACATCCGCCTCAGCCATTGAAAATAGAATGTGTGTCCGCCGGGCCCTCTCCTTGTCTTCAGAAGATTTTGGATTTTTCAAAATCCCATAAACAAGGAACATACGTTCCGATACGTTTCGGCTGCAGACAAGCCGAGCAAGTCGAGGCGCCATTCTTTTAAGACTGGAGACAGCACTCACTTAGAATCCCAGTCGCACTGGCTGCGCATCAACACACTCAGCTGACACGGCCGGGTGTTTCCGGCAGCTTTTCTCCACGACGGAAGACGTTGAGTGCGCATGGGCCGTGCCCACGCTGCCGACCCCGCTCCCGTTTTGCCTTTGAAGGGTTCCGCGGGTACATGTGCGTGTGGCAAAAGCCACATCCTGCACCCTTGTTGCAACCTTTGGCGATGGAGTGGAACAGGCATGGCTCGCACCGAGCGCCATTTGTGAAGGTGCACATGGTCGAGCCTCGCGACCTGCTGGGATCCGGAGCATCTTCTCGTCTTTCTCCCGGGAACGACTCCGAACGCCGTGGCTGCTCCTCATCCCTGAACTCGAAGTTCAAGAAGGTGTTACGCACACTGAGGGTTGTCATGGCGGGCGAGCGATGCGCTCGGAGACCTGACACTGATAAGAATGGGGCTTCCCGGCCTCTCGAGCCGCTAGCGGTGGACTCGCGGGCTGCATTCCCTAAGAACATTGACAACTGCACGTCTGCAAACATCTGCCAAAAGGCCCGGCAAGCCTACCTGCTCTCTACTTGACCTGCTCTCTGCTGAACCAAACAAAACAGCAACCCACACAGATCTGCGGTAGCTCATGTAGCTCCTCGAGGTCAAAGGATCGCCTGCAGCATCTCCCGACCTGCACAGTGGTTTGTCACGGGTCTGAGTGTCCACACGTCAGAGGTTGACGAGGGAAAACAAAGCAAAGGCACCGCTCTAGTAAAGCTTGGGCATGAAGCTTTGCAACCTCTCACTCCTCCCTGTCCTCATGCTCAGAAGATGAACCCAACTGGGCAATCGCAATGGCGGGACTGACATGGCCCCCCTGAAATCGCTACTAGGACGACATGCATGCCACACAACACACTAAGCAAGAATATCCAGAAGGTAGGTTCACATGTTGGTGATGCAATTTCACATGTCTTACGGCAAGAACGCAGAATGCACGCCCACAAAATGTAAGTTCGAATGCTTGGCTGGAGCGGCTGGCTTCGCATCTTCCCGTGCCAGCCAGCTTTTCGTGTGTCACATCTGGCTGGCAGGAGGATATCTGAAAACAAGCCCGATTGTTCCCACTACATCTGAGGATCTCACTGGCGTTGTGGGACATCTTCGGCCTGAAGTCTCCCGATCGGCACATGCTTCGTCGCGGTTCAGACCGTTCAACAGCGCTCACATCTGAGATGAGAACAGAAGGGGCCGGCAGACCTGAGGCGAGGCACCTGGCATCTGAGCTCTGAGAATCCTCAGATCTCGGGATTTCGGCCAAGCTCACGCCTTGCTTGAGAAGGAAGCGAATCATCTCGGGTGCCCCAATCATGGCCGCAAGCCTCTGACCGAGAACAGTCAGACTCCTTCAGCAGCACACTAAACCAAAGAGCGGACATGCGCCTTTGAAGCTGACAAGCCTGCCCCTACCAGCACCTATATACCTGCCCAGTCCCACCCGTGGATAATGGCAGCGGTCCACCAACCTAGTGGAGCGCGCTATCCTTGTCCCGATATGCTTTTCGGAACCTCTATGTCCCTGACCATGTTTGTTGCCTGTATTTCTACTCTGGTCTCTCTATGTTCATAAGAGAACCTGAGTCTTCTCTCTTCTTTTACGGCCATATTTTGAAAGAACCTCTGCTTGCTCGATACTCTACTTGATATTGTACGATGAGCTCGTTTTGCAAACAGGAAAATGCCGAGTTCATTTGTTTCTTGACAGGTTTCTTCACCAGCTTAATGCGGAAACCTGAAAGTTCGACCGAATAAATTGAAGAATGCTCAAAGTTGCGCTTTGAAAACTGTAAAAGATACTGCCAACGGAGTGCCGGTGGGGAGGAACATGAATCCTGAATGGACTGCCAGCCCGGAGTCTGGCAAATTGCCCGGGTCATTCAACGCAACCTGGTCACGGTCAAGTCTTGCACCTGGCTTGCCTGGTTTGACAGTATACACGTGCCAAATGTTGCCAGGCAATTCAATGGTGTCTGTACAACCCATCGTTCCTTGGTTAAAGTTTAAGTCCGCTACGTAGCAAAAGGAAGACTTCATCTAGTCAGTACTATTACCTCCAGAATTCCTTGCTGTTCACAGGCGCCAGAAGCTGTGATTTGCAGGCCCCCCCTGTTTTCCTCAGCCACCTGCCAGGCTCCTTTATGCTTTCAAAGATCTTGGGGAATGAAGGGCGTCTGGTTATAAAAATCATGGTTGGGTTGGGTTGGACTTGTCTGCACGGATGCAAACGTACCCGGCCTTTAAACATGTGGCTTGGTTGTGGCTCGTTTGTTTTGACAGGGGGTCGGAGGGCATCACTTTGCCCAGTCCTGGCATATTGGATTGATAGGTTTTGCTTGTGAAGAAGCTAGGCCGGAGGTTTCGCTCGGCACGAAAGCTTGGTTGGGTTGGCTGATGCAAACGTTCCTGGCCGCTGGGCTACAGCCTAGCATATTTTCCAAACACCTTACCGAGAAATCCGTTTGATTCACAACTCTTGCCTGTGAAGGCGAGGAGCTGAGAAGCCAACACTAAACGTGCGAAAGCCAAAAGCCAACGGCCCAACCAAAAAAAATCAAGGAGCTGAGAAGCCCCTCCTCCCAAAAAGCAGCCGCACAAAAACCAAGAAGCCAAGAAAACAACAGGGCCGACGGCAGCAAAAGGCGCAAAGCAGGTGCAAACAAAGCAGAGGCAGAAACGCACAAAGCAAGAACAAAAAATGAAGTAACAAAATAGAAGCACAAACGAAGGAAAAGAGTGTTGGTTTCGTTCACTAATTCACTAATTTCATGCACTTTACTTCGTTTCGTTTATAAATTAATTTATTATATTCACTTCACTTTATAATCCTTTCTCTGCTTCTACCCCGGGTGCACGCGTCTTTTCCCCTCGTTCGATATTAAATGACTTCGCGCGTTTCCTTGCAAGTCAGTTTAATATGGAACGGAGGAAAGGAGCGTGGGTGAGAGAAGATATTGGAATCAAGAGGGAAAGGTCTCCAAGCTCCAGGATGATACGGTGAGAGTGAATGATAAGAGCCCGGTCAAGAGAACACCAGTATTAACCTAACTCTCTGGACTCATTCTGACTAGGGGCAGAAAGTTGACAGAAGAAGAGAAAGCCAAAATGACAGCTTCAAAGCAGCTGCAGGCAAAAAGGCGGTAATCACAAAAACAACGAATAGGAGCAACAACAAAATGTATCCAAATAGTTAGGACCCCATTGCTCCGGCTTCATTGCAAAAACATACGCTTCTCAACCTAGGCCAAGTCAACTTCACACTCATCTTCCTAAACCTCGAGAGTTTCGCATAGTGGGCAAGGGGCCCCGCATGAAACCCTTGCTCAATGAGTTTCGTAGCAAGATCTGTACGACTCTGGTAAGATGCCTTTCCAGCAGGGAAGCCAAGCGCACCCCCCCGAGGGAATCTGAGCGTCTTGCGCCAAAGGAGTTGCTCCCTGGGCGTCAGCTGCATTCGCCTGGAGCAGGGTCAGGTAAATGGTGTCACCTACTTTCGGCGTACTCGTGCTCGTACACAAGCGAAGCAGCGTCTTCACCCGTCTTCTTATTTTCCCTTGTGCAAAAATGCCCTCCAAGGCCGCGATTACAGACTAGCAAAATTGCTGCCGGGACTGCTGGGACTTCTTAAGCCCTGGGCTGGTTTCCCTGCCCTCCCAAATAGCACGCTTTCCTGCGCGGACCTGTGGTTCTTGTGCAATTTGTGCATCTGGCAAGCCTAAACTGGGGGGCAAGAGATTGTAGGATCTGCCTTTGCGTTAACACAAGAAGTGATGACGCATATGAGTACTTTGGCAATGCCTCGGTCTCGGTTGCGAGGGGATGTTCCAGGCGACTGATCGGTGGACCGACTGTGGAGGTCAGAATGTCAGACGGACTTGTAACTTGTAAGGTTATGGGATCTCACGCCTCGGCCCGCCACTTCAACAGCTCGGCAGCATCTCGAACCTTACAAAGCTAACAGAGGTACGCAGCACAGGTCCATGGTTTCGGCTTTAGAATGCTTTAGATGCTCATGACATTGTCGGAAAAGGGTCTTGACGGCAGTGTCCCCGCAAGCTGCTGCGTGGTGAAGCGCAGACCTTAGGGTGATTACGGATGCAGCTTCGCCTGCCTCTGGTCAAAAGCTCCAAGCCGGCTAGCAGTGTCTATGAGGTGCAGGTCCTGAGCACAACGGACTTCAACACTGCATCACAGGAAAGGGGTTCATTCTTTCTCCAAGACAGCAACAGCTTCTGTGCCGAGCAGGTGTCTAACCTCAACTCGGAACCGTCGATGGTCAGAAATGCTAGACATTCTACACTCCTTCAACGATGCCGCTTACATAGGTGTTGATGCCAAGATGAGCCAAGCCAGTAGCCACTGCGGAAGCTCCAGCACTCACGGCCCTCATCAAGGGGGTCCTTGAGGGAGTAAGGACACAACTGACACAACATCAGGAGATCAGCACATATATGCGCCGGATGCGCTGGGCATCAAGCAAGCCAGTGCCAGACCTGGTCAGGGAGAAACGTCGCCCGAGCCACTGTGAGAAGCAGTTCCGAATGAGCGCGTGGCTCTGGATCATTGATGAGTGCCCGGAAGCTGAGCAGCAACCTGTGAAGTTTGCAGGGCATTGCAGAGCTAGCCAACACTCGGACCCCTGGCTGCCGTGCAGTCAGCGCTAGCTCAGGAATGAAGAGGACAACGAAAACCAAATGATATCAGAGGAAGATCAACGAAACAGACAAGAAATGCGACGGGAGCTTGATGAACTTGGGGCCTGTATACGGGAACGCAAGCCCGCCGGTCAGGATTGCTTGCGCTGCATGGCTCGAGAGTCCCGAGTCGAGATCTTAGGCGCGGCAAGCGTTGCCTCTACTATCCTATCGGGGGTCCTGCGAAGAGTGGACGGCGTGCGTGAAATAATTCCGGGATACTGCAGGACTCCATTCCCCGAAACTGAATCCCGGAAGAAGAGCTGAGTGCCTGGCTTGCACAACTCCAAGTCATCTGCCGAAGCTGCAATGTGTAAGCCGGTCCTTTTTTGCTCACCCAAGATATCCCCAACGACGGGCCAGTGCATCAGAACATCACATGCCTGCTGCCGGCACATGCAGCTCTCTGTGCTGAGAATCTGGCTGGCCACGGCTGTTTAACAGGCTTGCTGCTGCTGGAAAATCTGGATCCCAATCTCGGCGTGATAGCTTCAAGCTACAGCAATTTGAACCGGGTCTGGAGCGCAAAGATGCACTTGAACTCAGTCCAGTGCCAGTCATGGCCTGCAAACAAACCTGCACCATGACTGGTGGACTATGCCTACCTGGCATCCCTGGGTCAAACCATCTGGCGGCCTCCACCGTCACAAGCCAAGGTTCCAGAAAACCGGTGGGGCCTCTCGACAGTCTGGTGGCGTGTCACGTCACATATAGCAAAAACACTCAGTTCGGCACGTTGCCAAGGCTTCTGATCATCCTGCCCAGGGGGGTTCTTCATTGTGATCGAAGATGATTCAGGAGTTTCATCGGGTGCTTCAAAGTCCGCCCACTGAAAGAAAGCTCTGTCGCCAAACCCTATGCCCCTTGTTTTCGAGTTGGAGTCGTCTGTGTACGGGGGGATGTGAAGGCTTGGAAGTCATGCAGTGCTTTTTTCGGGGCTTGTCGGCAAGTCGCGTGGAGGTGCTCTCTCTTGGATCTCGTGATGTCTATGCGTTTGACTGACTTTCGTGGCATCGCGGCGCTGCTCGCGCGCAATTGGGGATTAAGGGGACCAAGCCCACCTTGCAGGCAGCTTCGGGCTGCGGCGTGTGGTGGCTGTATGGGAGCAGCGATTCTCCACTCAGAGAAGCACCGCAGGACCTTGGGAGCGCGTGAAAGATTCAGGCTTCCTCGCCGAAAGGCATGGAGAGACAGCAGATCAAGAGGCCGACCACCAGCTTGCACGCTGCAACGTTGCCACCATCGCTGGCACCTGCTGAACAGATGTCAGCCCTCAACAGAACCTGAAAATGAATGGGAAGCCATGGGGCGCACATGTTGCAGAGGCCTAGCGCACTCAGACTCTCCAGCTCGGACCGCGTCCACTTCTCTACTTGTACTTGGAAGATCGTGGAAGGTAACATCTTCCATGAACTAGACCCTCGAGCCTGATTGTCGGAAAGATCGCCAAGCCTGCCAAGGTAACAGAAGCGGCAAAGACTCTTGCACGTCGGACATCCTCGGACCAACCTGGGGTCAGCCCGTGCTGAAATCAGCAACCTGTGACCAACTTGCCTATGGAATTCGTACTTTCGTTCGAGTGCAGCTTGCACACGCCAGGGAGCCTTGTTAGGGCCACAGACCCACTGCCGCAAGCGAGGTGAAGCGGCGTCCTCACAGGCAAAGGCAGAAAGCAACAGCACCGCCACACGTGGCACGTCGGTTCATGTCGCACCCAAGGACTGCGCCGTCCCTTGAGATTTTGTGCATCGGAGGAGGCCCTGCTACCTGGCAATTCTGGGGTAACTCTTGCCTAACCGCTGGGAAAGAGAGGTAATTGAAAGGCGGTGCCACGCAGCAGCCTCGACACGCAAGCGTGAAGCAGATAGTTCATGGTTACAGACACGTAGACAGATGTTCAAACTTCAAAGACATTGTCGAAAGCCGTATCGCTGAATCTAGAGATCGAAGAAACAGTGAAGAAACTCTGGTTCTCGCATATTCACGCGCTTGCTCCAGTTTTGATTGCTCGCCAACGCTGGCAACTCCTCAGGTCAACCTTGACTTGTCACTGACGCTGCGATGCTTCTGCTTCATTCTCCGACATGGCGCTGTTCATCATGGGCCTTGGCACAAGGCCTGCATGTGGTGACCCGTGGTGACCTTGCCTTCTGCCCAAGCCATATTGAATCTCCCGTCTTGGACCTGCCGACCACATACGTCCTCTGAATTTGTCATGAACACGTCCTTGCTGAAGGAGATCACGGACAGGCGTGCATGTGCTGCAAACACCAGATCACCATCTCACCTTTGCTATCCTTTGCTTGTGCGTGTACCATTTTGGGTGTCCTTCCTTGGACCCATGTGACGATCAATAGTTCAAATTCTCGCAGCAACGACGCACCAACTTGGAATCCTTAGTCCAGGAGAAGGCAAGGAAAGCTGAGTGACCCAGTGCCTGTGATGCCGCTGAAATCTGAAGTCTACGTCCAAGCTGCCCTGGACTTGAGTTTCCGCCGAAGGTGTGGAAAGCCTCACCTCTCTGCGCCGGGCAGAAGTTTTAACAAGTTTTGTATGTTTCAGGTGAGTTTGAGCTCGATCCAAGCGGCACTCAAAACCAGCCCCTTCTGGATTCAAATCATAGTGCCCCTGCAGCCAGCTTCCATAGCTTCCACAGTTTCCAGCCACATCACAATTTCGAAGCAAGGGATGCATATGAATGCATGTCACTGCATGTCGATACGACGTTGCCTCGCGAATCTGCCAGATCTCCCATATCTCAGGCTTGAGGGCAGCGCAGATGTCACTGCGGCAAAGGAGAGGCAAGTTCAGGTACCTTAGCTTCGTGGTCTTCACCACAATACCTGCATGTGAAACAGCAGCTTCGTATCCGGGCTGCTCCATGCTCTCATCAAACCTGGGGTGGTAAGCTGCTGCACTGGGAAGAGTCGGCAAGAAAGCTGCCACTTCCCAGAGGAAGAGAGGCCACTACTTGCTGCCTACGCATGCCGAGAGGCTCCTCTCGGGCCTCGATCCCCTCGCGGCTCATGAGGTTCAAGTGAAGCATCCTGAGCATCCATACAGCTTCCATCGGGTGTACTGCACCCCTCGTCGCAGCCGAAGCTGGGGTCGATGCGTGTGGCCTGGGAGCGCCAGATGCGCAAGGCAGAAAGCTGTGAAAGCTCCGGAGAGGAAGCCACATGAAAGATGCAAAGCCTCATGGTCTCAGACACCCGACCTGGCGTTGAAATCCGGCTGAGAGTGTCCAAATACTCTTCGAAGCGGCCACTCCTCTCCAGTTTTGCAAGCCCACCCACCCGCAAGCATAAATCCATGCGACATGCATATGGCATCATATGGCTCCTGTACGTGTTCTGAAAGACCGTATTGTCGACCACCAAGTCCTCGTGCAAAGCATCTTTCAAAAGACTCCACCCAGCGAGCCCTGCGCGTGTCCAGTGGCACCGTGGGGGCTGGAAGCTCACAAACATCAGCGTGGTGGAAGAAGCAGCCCGCCTCAGCTCTGACGGAAACTCTCAGGGAATCTCGGCACTCGGCATGTGCAACTGAGTGGGTGTCGCTGCTGTGCTGCCTCCTGGCTTCCTGGTGGCGGAATGGAGAATGCTTCGCTTTCCACACTGTCCGACCGTTCTCCTACCACCGGACCTGAATGGCGGGCAAGGCGAAGTCCACCCCAGCCACGGCAGTCATAGTGCTGCTTGTGGATTTGCATGCTTCCCTCGCCAAGTAAGACACCTCAGAATCACCAACTTCAGGTTGGGTTTTCGCTAAAGGCACGATGTAACGTCCTACCATCGTCTGCAAAAATGCCATGGCCGGCTTGTTCTGAGACTTTGGCATCTAAGCCAAGCCCACAACCGAGGACAACTGCTGTCAAGCCATCGTTCTCCCCAGCTGCTTCCTCGACATGAGTTTCTTGACAATTGTGTTGCCTTCTGGTAGCCCAGCCGTCCGGTGTGTCTGGCAACAACAGCCTCTCGGTGTTTGCCAGCTGTGTCCTGAAGCTCGGCAGCAAGCTTCTGGATCTCGACTTTCGGTCGGCCCAGACTCCAAAAATTGAAGGAGCCGTCTTCGCCATACTCCCTGCGCGGATTGAGAACTAAATAAAGGGGGGAGGCCCCATGCTTAAGGCGTTTGCGGTAACGAAACAACCCGACAGTCGCAACAATATATTTGGGCCCGCAGCCCTGGTAGGAGTCGGCTGTCCCCGGAACCTCGATGTCCGAAGTCCCATCGATTCGGAAAGGACCTCCTATGCACCTCCACACCGCTTCTAGTCCTTGCGAGAGAATACCGCCGTGTGCACATTACTGTCAGGGACCCTTTGCGGCGTGGTGTGGGTTTCCAGACCCCCTGTGCAGCTTCTGGCGATCCTGTTGCAAACCTTTCCGGACCTCCTATGCCCCTGGTATCCGTTTATGGACCGCACCCTGCGCCAAGGCCCGCGGAATGCCCGACACTCTATGGCCCTCCGATGAAATTCCTATCGAATGCCGTGGGACACCCTATGACCATCTCTGATGGACCGCTTCCCAGAACGGAAAGCATCGAACAACGTGCTTCGATGTGCTTCTTCAGCGGCGCCTGCTCCAAAGCATCTCTTCCTCTCCAAGCTGAGCACCAGCATCGAAGCGGTCCGTTACTCGAAAGAGTCCCTCCCTGTGCCTTAGCTGAGCTCTTCGTTAAAGACCACGGAGATCATGTAGACGCCGGCTTGCTAAGTATTGGTTTGAGTCGAGCTGTGCTGTTGCTGCTATCTGCCACTCTGCTATCTGATGCCCCAGGCGCGCTCTCTGAAGGCTGTCGGAACGGTGGTCCCCGGTCCAGCGCCCCCGCAGTCGTCGCCCCAGCGTGCCCGAAGGGTCTGCAAGCAGGGACCTGCGCACTCCCACTCTCTGATATGCATGGAGGCATTGCTCTTCCGCTGTGAACCTTGATGCAGATGCCCAGGTATTGACGACCAGAAAGAGCGCCTTAAGGCTCATCCCAACAGATCCAAACAGGAATGTCATCATTCAGCCATCATAAACCCCGATCTGCCACAATACCTGGCGCAGAGCTGCAACGCAGCAGGGCACACTAGAGGAAGCTACGGCCGACTCAGGCCCTGGCACAGCACCGCAACAGCGGCAAAAGCACAGCGGGCGGCTGCAACTCCATGAGTGCCATGGCAATCTTCGGTAGACGGCCCATGTCGTTGTCTTTGCATGTCACTCAGAGACGAAGTTTAGCAGGGCCAGAAACACATCGCGAAGCTTAAGACGGTTGAGGATGTCAGCGACTGTGGCTAGTCATGGTTAGTCAGTCCCCCCCCGGGCATTGTCTGCCTGGATGATTTGAAGACAAGAGCAGAGGCAAAGGCAAAGCCGCCTTGTCACAGTGCATCCATCACCCCTTGTGCATGTGCTTAGGTCCATGCGCGTTGGCAATGTGCAAGTGGCCTCAGTCAAGCATGTCCTCTCTGTAACACACAGCATCCCGGGCATCCAGAGCTCCACCTCAGGCAAGCACCACCTGTGACAGCTGCATGCAGGACGCCACTGCCTGCCCAATCCACCAGCCGTCTGCAAAGACATTTGACGACAAAAACAGACATGCTGTTAAGTTGACATGCATGAAGGCAAGTACAGGCTTCCAACTTGCATGAACAAATTGCGACAAGACACAAAATAGCTCAATTCTTAACACTCACCTGCTGCCCAGCCCCTGCCTTCGTGATCGCAAGCGTTACACCTTAGCTGCCAGCCAAAACCCAGCGAGGGAGTCGCCGGAAAGCTTTGCTCAATGCCAGTGTAAAGTCATCAAAACACCATGCAATGCACACCAAGCCGCCATTCTTCGGGCGACAAAACCTCCAGCATTGCTTGGACAGAGGCCTCGATGATTTTTGCACGTGACGTAAGCATCAATTAAGCATCTCAAGGCGCTTGCTGTCGAAGCCGAAGACTGGGCTTCCCGCAACAGATCCGCAAGAAGCAGCATGATGAAGCCTGACATTCACAGACTCCAAGTATCGCCAAGTCCTAGTGCTGAACATAGACTCCAGGCCCACGGCAACCGCGCGGCCCTCGAACCAAGCTCCCCACTGCCGGACAGACTCCGAGGAGGAGAAGTCCTGGAAGCCTCCAGCATGTCATGCCGCAGGCTCTTCCAACGTTATTCACCCCGACTATCCAGCCGGGCCTTCTGCTGCCGCATGCCGTAGCAAGAACCTTTGCTCACCGTCTTGGATTTCGGGGTGCCGGGGTGCGCGCGACAATGGCAACCAAACTTCGGAGTAGGACCAGCACAAGGATGGGCAAGGCTTCACTCGGCTTTGCAGCAGCCTTTGGGCTCCACGCGCTTCCATCTCTGTTCTACTGCCCTCCACGCCCTCCACGCCCTCCACAGCTCGGAGATTGTCATGCTACCTGATTACTTGAGGCCGCGAGCTTCCTCCGGAAAGGCAAAGGACTTGACTTCGAGCCTGGCCAAAACCCGCATGTCACGCGCAACTGAAAGATTTCGTCCCAGCCCGAGGCTATCTGCTATCTTTTTGCTTCTCAGAACTCAAGCAAAGCACTTATGAAAATCTACGCTGTTTGCTGCAGGTTTGGTAGAGCGCCATTTCGTGCTTGAGCTGTAGACAACACAGGTACACCGAAACTGATTAATTCCTGCAGCAAGCTCATAACAAACTGCGTGGCAAAGCGCCTCTGCCAGAAGTATGCACATGATGTGTCTGGAGATTGACTCAAACACATCCAATACTTTCACGTCTGGCGTGACCAAGCCATCACAACCAGGCTTGTGTGTGTACAGACGAAGGTGCACGCTTTGGTGCATAGTGCCGAGACCCACCATCACATCTCGGAATCAGGCTGCGACGATCCTTCATTCATGTTGATCTATCTTGACTCTTCTTCACTGCAGAATCTGGACAACATCTTCGGAGAAGTCTGGAGCCAGGCTTCGGGGGTTTGGCCGAAGGCACAGGGCTTCTTCACAACGCTTGAGCACCTGGTGCACCACGCCTACCGGCACCTCACGCATGCTCACTTTACGCCACGCAGGTTAAGTAGCCCTGGCCTCATCCAAACTGCCACTGCGGCCAGTATTTGAAGCTGGAATGCCGCGGCCGGATGCCATTTTGTCAGCCAACCTCGCCAGTCCTGGCTCACGTGGGTGTGGGGCCAGTGCACTGGGTGCAAACCTCGCATCGGATTCCGAAACCTTCCTCAACTTACCACTTGGCGCTTGAGCCAGCTGCTCGAGCCGAGTCTCTTTGCTGGAGCCACGGTGACTGAGTGACCTCGCTGGCACTCATGTCTCGTTGGCTCACCTTTTTCTCTGAACGCCGTCTAGGCTCCAATGTTTGGGAAGCCGGGGCCTTACAAAATCCACAGACCCGCATTTCCGGCAATCATCAGTGTCGTTGACAGCGGAGGGGCGCGGCGAGCGCAGTGCTGCACATTCATGTGTCGAAGTCTCTAGATCAGTGTGCCAGGCACAAGGCACAGAAAATACATGGCAAGTTTTTCTGGACAATGGACATGATGAAGCACATTGGTCAAATCAACGCCCCGATACCTTCTCGGACAAGGTTGAAGAAGGGTTTCGATCTCATTTGTGCATTTGCTTCTCCACTACAGCATAGGATTCGCGTTACGACCGGTTCTGACAAGCAGAAGTCAAGCCTCACATCTTGTTCAAGCCATTTCAAGCCGAGCGGCAGGCTCCACACATCTGGCACAGCAGCGTTGGCGTTGCCACGGCTGGCTGCCGGTGCCGATGAAGCTTTGAGAGCAGGAGCCGCAGACACAGCCTCAGCTGCGGACTCGCTGGCATCTGCCCCCATGCGGCCTCTAGAATCCTAGAAGGCATCAGACACCAATGCGACGCACCAGGGCCTGAACTCACATGTGCAACAAGCCCCGCTCCCTCATAACCTACAGCGGACATGCAGTCCTCAGATGCTCCCACGATGCCACCATCACACCCACACCAAAGCTAGCCTCCCGACCATCAGGCAACCTTCGCTTGGTATGCTTCACGCATACCAGCCTGCCTCTCCGCCTCGAGTGCTGTCTTTTTGCCCAGGAGGGTTGAGGCTGAGCTGTCCAACACTGAAGCCGCCAGCTCCCGACTGCTCGGACACGCTCTGATCGGCTTAAGGGCTGTTGGCTTGAAATCGCAAAACCAAGCCCATTGGTCTAGCGGATGCTGCATGGCTCCGGCTGTGGCCGCTCGGGGCTTCAAAGATGAAGGCCAGCATTTAGGATCCTGCCTCCGGGTCTTTCGGGAGCTCCGATCTTCCTGAATCTATCCTGACATCTCGACATCCTGGCTGTCTTTTCCCTCCTGCCTAGTTGCAGCATGTGCTCGGCAGACAAATACAGGCAGTTGCCTCACAATGTCACTATCTCCAGAGACGTCCGACATCGTCCAGAACCCACACACACACACAAAACCACCCAACGCCACAGAACCCCACAGAACCCAAGCAGCCCTGATCCCTGGCAGCAGCTTGCACCTTGCTCCGTCTGGGTTGTGAAGCCCCCACTGCCAGCGCAAGAGCTTCTTTACCTAACAAGGGAACCTGGCAAAGCCGACTGTTCTCCAAGGCGCGGCCACAGAACCTGCAGTGGTGCCGAGGCCTCCAATGTCCTGAGGTCGTCGGCTCTGGAATCGAGAAGACTCACACTGGCCTAGGTCCTAGGTTCTTAGACCCAAGTGGCAATTAGTGAGGAAAGATCTGCGGCCAAACAGCTCTTGCCCAAGGATGCGCAGCAAAGGCTGCAGTGCCTTGCATTCGGCTGCCAGGTCTCCTCGCTTGCACAGGTGCCTGCACAGTAGAAGAGGATTGGCTTTCTAGTTCAGTCCCATCACCCCACGTCTCAATGTACCTCGTCCGCTTGCACGAACAGCACCAACAGCATCGCGCAGGGAAACAAAAAAGGCCAAGGATGGCCAAGGCCTCCACCTGAGGTGCGAATGGGCTCGTGCCTTGCTGGCAGCGCCTCCAGCCTGCCCCGGCACCAGGTCACCATCCGACACGTCCCAAACGGACTGCCCGCCCCCCCTTCCCCCCAGTCCCCCCCCCCCCCTCCCCGCCAGTCAATGCGCCAAAATGCAACTTTGGGTGCCTGGACACGGTAGTGGTGCAGTCCTGCAACGCCTCCTCAAGCAGGTCAGGTGGTGGCGTCATCCCTTTACTGACGCGGCACCGATCCTCCAAACTGGCCGGCTGCAGCCGCTGATTGTCCTGCTACGGTGAAAGCAGTTTTTGTGTCTCACAAGCTTTGTTTCGCCCTAGCTTGCACAGTTTGAAGCGTGTCCTTCTCTGCGTCCTTTTCGGCGTCGGGAGCTGCGGTGGTGTTACACTGCTCCTGACTGCATCTTGCATTTGGACATGTTGCGGATTGCTGTTCTTCGCCTGCAGGTCCAGCCAGGAAGCCATTCTTCTGTGCAGGCCTCACTCACCGGGAAATCTGAGGGAGAGATCTCGCACTGGCGGCACTCTTCTTTGAATTCCAAGGGTTCCAAGGCTGCCAAGGCTGCTCATAAGGCTGATCATAAGCCATCGGCCGGCCAAAGACTCCGTTGCCGACCGAACCCGAGCTTCAAGATGCCGGCACCGGACCCGCTCCTCTGCCCAAGCTTGCAACGTATGCTCCGCAGTGCCGCAGTATGTGTCATGGGCTCCAAAAAAGACCTCTACAGTGGGCTACTCACTGACTGGAGTCCTGCTCTGCTTCCACAGCCAAGCGCTTGGCCTTCATATGCTTGGGGGAAAGTCAGGGGATCGGTGCTGAAGAGAGTCGAAACAAGATTCCAAGTGTTGCTTTTACATTCGTGGGTTCAAGGTCGAGGCTATCGACTGTTTCCTGCCAGTGTAGCTTATCGGGCGGTGAATGTCTAGGGTCTGATGGAGTAAAAGTGGCCAGAATCCAAATTCGGCTTATCATCTGTTCGATTCCTTACGAGTACACAAAGACATCATACTTGCCGGGTCGCTTCGTTTACTTTTCTGACGGGTCTTCATCTTCTTCAAGGAAGAGAACATGAAAAGGGGACGGGCGTGCTAAATATGAGAATCAGAATTTTAGATTGACAAGGTATGTGATTAACAAGAACACACGGACCCTTTACCATTCTTCTATACAACAAGACTCTCTCGTGCTTCAAGATTGATAAAAGGTGTCTGGCGATTAACAAGACAGAAGACATGTTCTCCATTGCTTACATTTAGGAATGTGCATTTCTCAACCCTGCTGCGCGATCTCCTCGCAGAAAACTGTCTTTGCAGAGGCTTTCCGTGCGCGGAAAACTGGAACTTGCATGCTTCGTGGACAGCATGCATCCGCACAAGAAAAATGGGACTCATGCCATAGACACTGCAAATGGAGAGAGTCAGAAACTTGTGTATTTTCTTTTGTGTGCGTGTGCGCGCGTGCTTCTTGACTTACATTTGCTTCACAGAAAGTTGGGGACTCTGGAAATGCCAGCAGTAGGAACAGCACAACAACCAATGAAATAGCAAAATGCTCCGTTGATGTTACTAGAAGGAAGCTGAAAAGGAGAACAATGAGCTGGCCTTCATGGCATGACTCTTAACCTTCACCTCAACCATATCTGTCATCTTCCATCTTGCTTCACAGCCCCAAATGCTGTGCAGGGACCTCTGCCTGCGACGCCACGAGCTGTGCCTGCATGCCTGGGGTGACGGGGTGACTTCGAATGTCTGGGGCTTCGGGGGCTGCTTCCATGACGCACGGATCTGCAGGAGGAGGCATGTCTGCGCAGCGTGCTTGCGCATGCTCGCGCTACTATTGCCCAGTGCCAGTGGCGGCCTTCCAGCGGGTCCATGGCATCCTCACACAGAGCCAGCATAGCATCCAGGCTGCCTCCGGGCGACTTGGGGAGCAAAGCAAAAGAACCGCAAACCGAAAGCATCACAGGTTGCATCACAGGTTGCATCATGTTGCATATCCAAAGCCTATGGGAACCGCTTTGGCAGAAGAGCTCGCGTTGCCCAAGCAGAGGAGCCTGGTACCTCACTTTGATCGATTTCTACATGATGCACTCGTGGGCATCAATCTCGCCCATGGTTGCTGCGGCACAGAAAAATCTAAGGCTTCCCACCTAGCTGGGAGATCCGCGACTTAAGGGCGGGTGCTTTGTAAGCCTCGGTTGGCAAAGCCACAATGCGCCCTATTGACTCAGGATATGCACTGGGCACACGACTCACAGCTGAAGTCAGCTGACAGGTCAGGAGCACTTCCATTTTCCACTAAGGCCAGTTCAATGCTGCAAAGCCGGGGATCTTGCAAACTGCAGCGCAGGTCTGCGCCACACCGATTAATTGACACAATTTCCTCGGCAAAAAACACTGCCAAGTCGACATCGTCGAGGAAAAAGCGAGTTCAGCGCCTTCAGCGCATCGATTGCATAACATTATCACGATAGCGGGCCTTGGCCTGCACCTGAAAATCTGGCCCTTCCTCACGCCATAGTCCACCAGGACATTAAAAGCATGAAACAAGCCCAAGTTCTCCAAGTGCAACTTTGCCTTCATACATGTACGCGATGCAGAAATTCGAGGAAGGGCCCTGTCATACCAAAGTACCATTCTTCGTTCTGTATCGTTCGTAGCCCTTCAGGCCACGCGTATGCATTGAACAACTATGACTCCACCATGAGCAGACACTTCACAAAGAATCATACCAATATGCACGTAGCACAAGGAATGATGGTATGGATTACCAATAATCTGTCTGAGTTTACAGATTGCATCAAGAATCGGGAGGGCTGCGGAGTCCGGAACAACCCTCTGTCGCCAAGGGTGAAACAACTGAGCGGTTGTAGCTGACCATCGCCACCGTTATTTTCGTTCGTCTGTTCAATTTCGGGGTGAGGCTAGCACAATTTCCACGGCAGGCAAGAATTGGCAACAGCTACGAAAGGCTACGAAATGAGAGCTCCCACCATTTTTTCATGGACGGCCACCGGCCTTGTGGATGCAGAAGGCGTCAAAGGCGTCAAGGCGTCAAGGGCGTCAAAGGGTCTTCCTCCACCATTCCGCTGCTCACTCAAACCGCTATCTGCCGCTACCAACCGGGTAGCGTGGGGTTAGCTCTCCCTTGAAGCTCCTGCGCCCAGGCCGCCGAGGCCGCCGAGGTTGGCCTTTTTAATCGCTGTCTGACAAGCCGCTGCTGCTGCCTGAGCATAGGGCGCAAGTCTCAGGAACAGACGATGAACAAGTACTCAACCTCACGCATTCTTACAAGAGGTTGTGGTGCCAGGTTGCTGCTGCTGTCATCTTCGTCACCCTCCTCTTGCGAAGCCAAGCGGTGAACCCCACCGCCGCCCTGCAGAAAGATGACATGAGTTGGCCGCGGCATGGTTGCGGAAAGAACTGGCATCGAGATGTGCGATGATGTGCGGGCAGCTAAGGGCGCCTCCTCACCCATCATCCCTTCGAGAAGTTGTGGCAGATCACTTGGTCCCGGGATCAGGCCAGACAGGCTGTCATCAGAAAAGCGACGCCCGATGAAGCCACTACCTGGGGTGTTTGTCGAACATTTACATGGCGAGCTTAGCAGAGAGTACCAGCTAAAACAAAGAGGATGAGAGTGGGGTTTGGGCAAGGTGCTGGCCCTTCTCTGGGCATTGACAAACGCCGAGAATTTTGTTCCTGTCGCATTCGTCGTCTCTGCGGGAATCACATCGCCGTAGTACGTCTCAGCCTCGGGCAACAGCAGAGTCAGCAGAGGTCAAAACTCATCATCTCGTCAGCGAAACAACCGCTGTGTGCGTGCATATGCATCCATATGAAATGCAGACCGCCAACCTGCCCCAGAGCTCTTGTAGCCCAGTCGAACAATGCCTCCTCATCTGCCCAAATATCCGAGAGGGTGTCTGGGTTGTCCCTTAGATGGAACACATCTCTGGGCAGAACTGCACAATCAACAGAACACCTGTGCTATGGACTGGGACTGTGTGGCAACAACATCTCGCCCTTCACTCATGTGGGAGCCCAGAGATCATGTCCCAGCCTTGCTCGCTCGCTGGCTGGCTCTCTCCCGCTCTCGCTCGCTTCCTTCCTTCCTTGCTTCCTCTGCACGTAGCCCCCGAAGGGGCCGCCCCAACAAGCGTGCACTAGCGAATCCGTTTGTGTCTGTATGTCTCTCTCTCTCTCTCTCTCTTTTTTCCTTCTTTTTCTATCTTTCTGTCTTTCTATCTTTCTATCTTTCTATCTTTCTATCTTTCTATCTTTCCATCTTTCCATCTTTCTATCGTTCTATCTTTCTATCTTTCTATCTTTCTATCTTTCTATCTTTCTATCTTTCTATCTTTCTATCTTGCTATCTTTCTATCTTCTTTCTTTCGAAATTCCTAGCTTTCTATCTTTCCATCTGCATTTATTTCTTTCTTTCTGTCTTTCTTTCTTGTTTTTTTCTTTCTTTCTTTGCGGGGCTCGCTCGCTCGCACTCGCTCTCGCTCTCGCTCTCGCTCTCGCTCTCGCTCTCGCTCTCGCTCTCGCTCTCGCTCTCGCTCTCGCTCTCGCTCTCTCTCTCTCGCTCTCTCTCTCTCTCTCTCTCTCGCTCTCTCTCTCTCTCTCTCTCTCTCTCTCTCTCTCTCTCTCTCTGCACGCTTAGCTCCCTGGAGGGAGAGCTGCCGCTAGGGGCGCGCAAGTCCCAAGAGTCAGTTGGTGGCAAGGGCTGCGATGGTCGCAGCCGAATCGCTGGGTTGGGGTTTCCTGTCTCTCTCTCTCTCTCTCTCTCCCACTCTCTCTCACTCTTTCTTTCTTTGGGGCCAGGGGCAGGCCCCGCGCCAAGGCGCGCCCGCTCCTGCTCCTGACGACTCTCTACCACCCGCTCTGCGGCCTCTCACTCTCTCTCTCTCTCTCTCCCTCTCTCTCTCTCTCTCTCTCTCTCTCTCTCTGTCTCTCTTTCTTTCTTTTTGCGCACCTAACCCCCCTCTGGTCAGGAGGGCCGCCCGAAGGCGTGCATTACAGAGTCTCGCGGGTTAACCGATGCTGTGGGATTGCTGGGGACTCCGTAGCCCAGGTATTGAGGGTACGTGATGGTTAAGAAGTGTGGTCCCCTTCATCCCCTGTCCAGCTCTGTCTCTCTCGCTCTCTCTCCTCTTCTTATTAGTCTTCTTATTCTTCTTCTTATTATCATTCTTATTTTTCTTCTTCGTCTTCGTCTTCGTCTTCGTCTTCGTCTTCGTCTTCGTCTTCGTCTTCGTCTTCGTCTTCGTCTTCTTATTATTATTCTTCTTCTTTTCTTATTCCTCTTCTTCTTCTTCTTCTTCTTCTTCTTCTTCTTCTTCTTCTTCTTCTTCTTCTTCTTCTTCTTCTTCTTCTTCTTCTTCTTCTTCTTCTTCTTCTTCTTCTTCTTCTTCTTCTCCTTCTCCTCCTCGCTTGAGAGGACCCCCGGCGAGGGGTCCCCGGCCGCGACGGCCAAGCGGTTTGCGGTCCGGAGAGGGGCCCCGATTTCAGACGCCCTCGTGAAACTAGTTTCGGCTCTCTCTCTCTCTCTCTCTCTCTCTCTCCCTGCGAGCTTGACCCTTGAAGTGGCCGCACCAAGGTGCACTCTCTCCTCTTCTTCTTCTGCAGGGCTTGAGGGGCGCACGCACCCCCCATGCGCTGGGCGCTCCACCGAATTATAGGCATCCAAGATGCGAGAAGTACTTGCAGAACATGCTGGCATACCTAGCAGCAGAGCCCAGCCAGAGTCCCACCATTCATGGGCACCACTATGCGATAAAGTGAGCAACAAGATCTGAGCCACAAGCTGCCGCACTGGCTTCTCATCCTTGAGAATGCTCTGCAACCCTCCTGTGGGACAGATTACAACGATTACAGCCTGCACCTCATGTCTGGTAAATGTCAGGCTTGCAACACTCTTGCAACCGGTTGGCTTCGGGAATCTAAGCGGTCTAAGCAGGAAATTGTACCAGAGCCACCTGCCTTCACCCTGTCCCTCACACAACACGAATTCTGGGTGAGGAGACGAGTTCTTATGTGTTCTGGTCCTGCATCTACAGAGATGAGTTCACAGCCACCGCTGGTCTGAGCAGTGCCATTGTGTTGCCACTTCACCCAGAGGGCCGCCTCGCATAGCCTTGGAAGCACAGAGGGTGAGAAGCATTGACGCTGACAGCTCGCGGGCGGATCTCCACATCCTAACGAATACCATGCGAGAATGTGTCATAGTTGGCTCACCTGCAAACACCAGGGCCTCAGGACCGGAACCTGTGTCCAAGAAATTTCAAGGACAAGTTGCCATGCGCCCTGCTCCAAAGCGATGGGAAGGTCCTTAGTGGAAAGCATATCAGAAAGATCACAGCTTCAAAGCCTGTAGGCCTACTTGCACCCAGGCCCTTTCACTTGCAGAGTATCCGAATCCGGGTCTGTATGGGACAGCTGCGTGCATCTGAGCGGCTTTCTCTTCGCTTTCATCAGCTTTGTAATCCAGCACCCCGCCAATCACGAAATACATGTGCGTTGCCTGAGCCACTGCCGATGGCACACTGCTTTCCTTCACGAATTAGTTCTGTAATCATCTGTGTAAGCTAAAGATAAACCTTGGACCAGTCAGGTTTAAGTCACGTTCTCGCCCGACGTGATCAACTCCTGGGAAGTGCTGAGGGATTTCTCCGTCAAAGCAGTGCTGTAGATCTTCCGGGACTGCATCGAGAAGCACACGTTGCAGACCTTACTTCATCTTACTTCTGACTCTTGCATTGTCTTGCATGCCCTTGTTCGGCCACTTCTTCGTGGCTTCGTGGCATGACCCTTTTGCTCTTCACCAAGCCGCGTAGAAGAATGGATGCACCCCTAGATGAGGAGCGTAAACTTCCTGCGGTCAGCACACTCCCTGATGCGCGAAGGCTGCTTGGAAATGCTTGGAATGACTGCCTAAGCTCTGACCCAGTCCTGGCTCAGATCATGCCGCAGACTTAGCGGCAGCAACCGGAGCACTGTCACCTCGCTCCGAGCCCGCACAAAGCTTCAAGATGCTTCAATCGTGTGGTACATGCGCGGATGCTGAAAAGATCTCAAAAAGAAGCTCAGCCCCGATCATCAGCTTCGTGCCTGAAACAGCTCCAATTTGCTCCAAGAAGCAGGGCAATGAGAGGAATCAGGGGGGGGGGGACACTTTCAAATTTTGGCAGCTGCGGATCGGGCGCCCAGAGACTGAGTCACTGGCACGCGTGAGCGAGTCTGACTCAGAGCTTTCACGCTCTGCAAAACCCGGGCTTTCAACGGTGCAGAGACCTGGCAAGGGTGGAGTAACACGGCCCGCCGCTACTCAGGGCTGCATGAGACACTCCATGGAGCCATCGAAAGCCAGGCCACACTGTTCTGCTGCATGTAGCGACGAAGAAGAGATGCTTGTTCATTCCTTTCACCTGAAAGAAAGCGTGAGGAACAGCAACGGTCCAAGGGTTGAAAAAATGGTGTAGGTCCCACAACTGATTTGTGTCCGTGTGGCTGTTCAGATTTCGCAGCTGGTTCATTGCATTGGTGATTGCAGAAATGAACGTGGAGAAAATCACCATGGCAGAAATGATGACCACAACGTTGAACAATCGCTCGATCTCATTCTTGGGTGTAACCTGCCAGAGTCACTGAACTCAAGACCCTACAACGACTTGGCATCATCGTCCCAGTTTGCCTCCATGGAAGCTGGCGTGAACTGCGTCAGGGACCAGTGCAGTGCCGTGAAATACCTGAAGACTGAAGACTTGGCAAGGAATGCATCAAACCCAGCAGACTACTGCACAAACATCCTGCCGAGCTGCTTGTAAGCCAACTTGGCAGACAGAATGTCCGTATCGGCCTGTAGAAGCCATGTATCCGGTCTTTCGAGCTGCCTGAGCGTTAAGGTCCCAATGCGACTTGCTCGAGTGGCTGAAGATCATTTTAAAACCAGCAGAGCAGCCCAATCCAAAACCACACGCAGGCCACCATGTGATTCAGCAGCATGATGAAGGCAATCCTGGCTGGAGAAAATGTCCCCAAATACTCTTGGGCGCAAGGTCTCGGAAACTGTTTTCATATGGCTCTTGCTATCTTTCGGTCGCAGCTGCGTCGCAGCTGTGAAATTTCGGATGCTGAGATTGTGGTTGGGTGCCCGGGGAGGTGCCCAGGCGCCTAGGGTTGTCCCGTTTTGTGGCGTTTTCTCGCCTTTGTCTGGAGACCCTGGCCTTGCGCTGCCATGGCATTGCAGCACATCGGCAGTTCACTGTAACTTTGCAGCATCTCCTAGTACCCTAGTCACAAGAGATCCAGTATCTTCCGTTCCTTCTCTCATCTTCCCATCTTCCCGCCAAGAAGCAACCTAAGAACACCGATGACGATCACCGAGAACCTTGGATCTTGGAAATGGCGAGGCTGTCACGGCATGTCCCGGATACATAATCGGTGCCGATCTTCTTCCTGCAAGAGGCTCTGATTGCACATGCTCCAGCAGTTCATTGAATCGTCCTGGCACGCTGGCAGTTGACACATGGGCAATCTTCATGCTGCTGCCGTGATAGCTCAAGGGTTCAATCTCTTCAGGCCATGTGTCCGTGAGCTTTCAGCAGACGTAGAAGGCGAAGCAACCGCAGGAAGCGAACTGCCTGGGCCAGCTCAATCATTGCTCTGCAATGCTGTCCAAACGAGCCTCCAAACACCTCAGAAAGCATTTGCTCACAGCTGTTGTCGAAGCCAGGCTGCCTTTCCGATACGGAAGAAGGAGATGCCTTCACCAGCACTGACGCTTTGACTGTCTGTCCAGTCCAAGAAGTTGATAACCCAGTCCTGAATTCACGAGTCTGAGAGTAACAGGCGGGTCATTAGCTATCAGTAGCTCAGGTGCCATGTCCAAATGGCACGGGAGAGTCGAGGGGACTTGTCAAAGCTCAAGACTGGTCACTGACTGGTCACTCTTGCGACTGGTGTGTTGCCTTTTGCTTTTGCAAGGCTTGCCCTCTGCCCCCTCCTCAAAAACACTCTCGAGGCTGAGCGCCGCACAATCGTAACAATTGCGACGTCCAGCGGCAACCAGCTCTTGCAATAGTTCCACGCAATCTTCCGCAAACGCATCTCAATGATGCCTGCTCCCGCAATTGATAGCCAACTTGGACCCCGAGCAACGTGTACAAACCAGACAAGCGCCTTTATCTTGCACCGCAAAGCCTACGAGGAACGAGAGCGGGATGTCGAAGGTCCTCCAGGCATGCGCAGTAAAAAAACTTGCTGCACAAACTTGCAAAACAAACTAGATACACCCAAGATTCCTAAGATCTTCAATCTCTCTCATATTTTCGCGTGGCCGCGTTGCGCTCACAAGAGCCACCAAGGGCCCGGCCAGTAGATGGAGGAAAGCACGCCCATCACGATGCTGAAGTTTGTGTCTTCTTGGTCGAAGACTTGCATGGGCAGCCAGATCAAGTCATAAATGATCAGCAGCAGCCCAAAGACCTCAGAAATCTAGGCGGCTCAAGCACATCAATGAATAGTATAGTTCGCTCAAAGGTCAGGGCCAGGGAGTCGTGGGAATCTCTACGATTCTCTGCATCTCTCTTTGATCTCGGCAGGAGGCTTCGTACGAAATGCGACGTGGAGAGCTCGGGTTCGAGACCAGCGAGTGCAAACATCGGACGCATGCATTGCCCGAGATCTCCATCGGCTTTCCCTGCACAGAGAAGAAGGGGAAGCCATTTTTCGCACATGAGGCGCTCAAAGTGAAGTGAAAGGCCTCCATGTAGCTGTCGGTGTCACCATCGTTGGTTTTCGTGGCTGACATGTGTCCTGAGTTTCAGATGTGTGCCTGTTTGTCTGAGAGTCGGTCTCTCTTATGTTGCCCGATCTGGTCTAGTGTGGTGTGCACCCAACCCCTCAAACCCAATGGCGGCAATTGGGGGGTGCCTCTCTCACTCTCTCAGGCCAAAACCCTTCCCCTCGCTAGCCTTGCGCACCTGTGTCGACGGAGCGGAGTGTGAAGCCCGAAAAGTGGAAAGGCAAACTGACTGTACTTGGGCTCATGTAATGCACCCCCGAAGACACTCCGCACGGAGAACCAGCATTCATGCAGAGGAAAAATGACCTGGGCGTTTTGGAATTAAAACATGCACCCATGGGCCCTCCATATCAAATATGAAGAGAGTGGACTTGAACTCCAACCCCAACGACCAAGAAAGCGTTGAGAAGCGGCCTCTTCGTTTACCATGTTCTCCCCCTTCCCTTGTCAGCGTGATTGCTTGCCCTCGCGTCACGACTGGCCTTGTCCCCGGCAAGCTTGATTGACATAGTCCGGGTTGTGGTTGTTGGAGGATATTTCCGCTTCAGCTGGTGCTGACCAAACTGTTACAGACACCAACGTGGTCTGCTTAGCACGGGATTCTTCCTTGTTCACGATCCCCAAGAATGATGGCACGACCACAAAACATACAAACACACATACAAACACAGTGCAGGAGGGATAGCACAAGCACTTATGCGCGACGTCGAGCGACCTCAGGATTACTCCACCAGCTGACTACACGCAAGGGCCTTGGCCGGACTGAGCCAGTTCACTGGGTAGTGTTCCAAACCAGGCTTGGGTGTGGGCCACACCTGCTGTCCGGGCTGCCCAGGTCTGTGGCCCTTGGTGGATCTCCACCAGAAGCTCGAGAGCAGCGTTTGTCCCCCCAAAGGTGATGTGGTTTTCCTTTTGCTGCGGTCGATTTTTGCCTCGCCTGCTTGGCTTCCCCCACGGCCTACTCGTTCAGTGCCACCTTGATCTCCAAGGGGACTCCGTTCGGCCCCTCTCTTCGGCCCACTGGACCACACAAGATACTCCAATGAGGAGTGCTTGCACTTTATCGTCAACTGAAAAGTTGCCTTTCCAGGGTTGCCTGTTACAGGCTGCCACGGTATGTAAACGAACGATTCCTGGTCGGGACCTCCGGTCCGAAACTCGGATGATTTCATGGCCGTGGTTTCCCCTCTCCCAACAACAAAACCCCCGCCTCAGCACCTACATGCGCCCTGGTTGTGGGGACAAACAACTCCGCCTTCAATCCAAACCACTGAAACACACCGCCCCGAAGTACATAACCTAACCTCAACTCGGCCATGCTCTACCCCGCTCGGCGTCACTGTTCCAGTCCACGTCTAGGAGGCTGCACTGTCAGCATTGGTCATGTTTTTGGGCGGTTTGGTTTCCCCCACTTGCTCGTAATTTGACATATTGCAGTTTGTGACACTGAATTAATTCGTCAGATAGTCATTAGATGCCAATACTAACGGCTCTAAGTGCTTGAGCTGCCTTTGCCGTGGCCGTCCCCGGGCGGTGAAGCTGGCTCAGAGGCTTTTGAAGATCGTCTTGATGTAGGTTGCCACTGCTGCAGGATTGTCAGGTGGCCAGTGGCTCTCGGGTTGTCTGGGTTTTTCCATGGCACATGTAGGCCCACTCGACAAACTTCCTGCTTTTGGCGCAGCTTCTCCACGCACGCTTGTTTGTTCTTGTTTGGCTTCACCCCCTTCCCTCTCGACGCTGTGTTTTGCTTTCCTGCACACTTTGGTTCGCCCGGAGTTTCCAGTGGGACTTTTCCTGGGATTGCTTCTACGTCGGTTTCCCCCCCAAATTAGGACTTTCTTCTTTGGGTTGGATTCCCGCCTTCCTTGCGGAGAACTGGTCAACTTCTCAGGGTTCCTTCCCTCTCTCTCTCTCTCTCTCCCGCACGCATGGCCCCCCCCGAAAGGAAGGCCGCCCCGAGGGGCGCGTGAAGTCCAAGGGTCAGTTTGTTCGGAAGGTCCGCGGTCTTCGCGGTCCGAAAATGACTTACAGGAATGTGGTGCCCCTTCGTTAGTTAACACCCGATCAGTAGCTGAAGTGCGAAGGTCCGAAATCCTCGAATCCACTCCCCCCCTAATCTTATGGTTGAGGTTTCCCACTCTGTACTTCCTGCGTTGTCTATTGTACTTGCCTGGCCGGGGGTGGTGGTTTTCCTCGCTATGTACGTAATGAGTACAGGGGTCTTCCCTCTCTCTCTCTCTCTCTCTCCCTGGAGAGGGGCCGTGCCTAGGCGGGCTAAATCATTTGAAACACGAGGATTAGTTCACTCTCCGATGTGAGAAGCTGGCATATGTCCACACAGCACGAATGGGCAGGGCTTAATGCAGAAGATTGAAGCTCCGCCCAGCGGAAAGTACCAAACAACTATCCCCTGCACAGCAATTACAGACCGACTCCCGAAACAGCTCATGTTGAGCTGTGCATGCTGATTCCCCCCGAATGTGGCATGATGGCTGCCCCCGAGATGTGAGGTGACTCTTCTTTAGGGGATGAGCGATTCCCCACTATTCGGGGCTCCGGTTGATCATGGGGTAACTGCGTCCACAGCCTGCCATGCCTTTCGCGGAGTTGCGTTCTCGGGGCACGCACAAGCAAAGCTTGCTAAATTCTGCTAAATATTTCGGATGGTTGACCCGGTTGCTACGATCTACGCTGCACAAGCTGAAGGTCAACAGCGAAACACCTTTGCTTTACTCTTGGTCTAGCAGGGGTGCGTCAGGAGGAGCAGTCTAAGCGGGCCCATTCCGTTTATCAAAAAAAGGGCACAAGCCGCGTTCTTGCAGACTGGCTTCTGGGAGTAACACGCGCAATTGTCTGCTGTCCGATAGGGGATTTACTCCTCGGTTGGCAGGATTCTCGGGATTGCAGACCGGGGCCACGAGGCCACAAAGGTGCGGTCAAGCCACCACACAGGCAACAGCTTGACTTCCTCGCTGCAGAAACACCCAGCGTCAGCAAGCTCAACATGCAGACCTGCACCCCTGACGAGAAACCTATCTCCGGTCCCATGCGCCTGGCCCAAGCTTAAGCCACCCAAGCCGACTGTAGTGCCTGGACAGCACAGCTGGCAGGGTACGGCATGCAGTGACGGCTTCTCTCGTTCTGTGCATTCTCCATTCTCCCCCCACCTCTGCGGCCATTTAATGCCATGGCAGTGCTCTGGCGTCGAGCCGCGGCCAGTTTGGATGGGCTCATGCCACCGGATCCCCCGCCCAGCCCTGGCATTGATGGCAGCCCTGGCATCCCTAAGCCAAGCGCGCTGTTTCTACGGGCGCTGGCAGCAGGAGGCCAGGGCAGCACCCGCTTGTTGCTGTTGTTACCTCAGCAAAGGAGGGATCGGAGTTCTGAAGCTGTTAGACAGTTAGACTCACTGACTCACTCCAAAAAAGAGTTTCTCCGTGCTATCGAGCTCTCTCTTCTTCCGAGGGGCTGGAGGAGGAGGTGACCAAGTTGCCGAAGGACACTTTTGGGCCGCTGGGACTTGGTGGCACCGTCGAGCTGCCGGGCGTGCCGGAGACGGACACCCTGGGGCTGGGCGTGGTGCCCACTTCCTCCTTGGACTCCTGGAGAGAAAGCTTCGCTTTTGGAGGAAGCTGCGCTTTTGGAGAAAGTGGAGAAAGCTTCGCTTGCCACTCTCTCTCTCTCTCTCATGTTTGCGACTTGTCACAGTCCCATGAAACTGCAGTGGAACAGGAAGCACTGCTGGCGTGATTGTCCTGGTCTGACTCCCTCAAAGACAATCGCATTGGCGACCTCAAGCGAAAGCAGGTCGGATCCAGAGAATGAGGAACTGCTGGCGGCAACAATCCGGCCTTTGTCCGGAGACTAGTGAGCTCTGACTCATTCGAGGCTGCTTCAATATTCCTCCAGATCCTGAACATCAAGTGACAGAGCTTGACATGTTACACGAACACTTACACACAACACAGCAGGCTGCAGAAGTCCTTTGGATGCCGGCTTCACATGAACTAGCCTCAGGAGGAAGAAGACGAGAGGCTTGCGCTAGCGAAGGCTCTGCCAATCGCCAGATCGCACCCCGAATACTGAAAGCACTACCCCTGTTCCCAAGAAGTCTCTGTTTACGTCGAGAACGCGGAGCCCTTCTGACCTCCTCTTAGTGTTTTCATCCATGGCCTGACTGCTTCAATGTGAGAAAACACGAGATTTGCTGAAAACGTTGGGCACAGCAAATGCTTGGATGCATGGCTGGCTTTGAAGCAGAAGAAGAAGAAAACAATTTGGAAGTAGGACGCCCTCAACGACGTCCGCACAAAGAAAAACCGAGGGCGGCATGTCCTTTCAATGCAACAGGCGCTAAATTGGCCTCTGCTTGTTTGGCGATTCTCGCGCTTAAGCCTGCACGTGCTTTATGGTTATCCTATATGAAAGCTTGCAAGGGACTGTCCGAACAACGATAACCTCATCCCTTGACGATTCCGGTGGCGATTGTGGTGTGCAACGGTTTAAGTCCAGCTGGGGTGTCAACATCTTTCCGCTTGACCTTGGTAAGCCTCTGGTTCGCGGAACACAAACTCAAGTTTACCAGCGCTGCGGGGCTTGGCAACCGTGCACGACGCTGTATTTTGGACCTTACCTGTCCGAGAACGTGAACAGCATTGAGGTTTAATCAGCCTTGTGCAAGACATAAGCTGTATATTGGAACTGCGCTGGTCGCACACTGCAAAATAGCAAAAAGATTCAGAACGAGAAGACGAAGAGAGTGCTGCCACAGGTCGGAGGCAGGAAGTGGCACTAGACCATCAAGAATCATGTTGCCGCCGTAGTGGCGCTGTCTCTGTTTCGTCAGGTTCTGACTTCTCCTTTTTGACCTCGCACTTTGCGGAGCCTTCTGCTTGTCTCAGCTCCTATGGCATTGCGCTGACTTTACATCGGTACACTCTCAGCAAGGTGTCAGTATGCACTGAATCGAGTGGGGCCCCCCCCCCCAGTCTCTCCGTCTCTCTCTCTCTTTCTCCCTCTCTCCCCCTCTCTCCCTCCCTACCTCCCCCCCTCTCTCTCTCTGTCTCCCTCTCTCTGGCTCTCTCTCTCGCTCTCGCTCTCTCTCACTGAGCGAGTCCTCGATTTCCTTCTGGAGCTTACATTTTTCCTGTGTTGGCTCGCAGAAGCACTTTAGGTGCAACTATACGATACTCAGTCGTGGAAGGCAGGAAAGCTTGAGAAGTTTCCTTGGAAGAAGGAGGGGGCTTATGAACTGTCAGCACATGATGCTTTTGCGGATTGCGCCTCCTCTTGCCATTCCTTGGATGCAAGCGCTGTGAGCACTGGCAGACATGAGTGGGACGAGCCTGACAGCGTTTGATCCAACCACTTCGGGAGCTTCTTGCTGGTAGCCTACCCTGGTCTGGCCACAGGGCTAGCTCAAGCCTTCAGCCAGGATACCCTGGCAGTCGCAACCTCTCGATCGTGTGCCAGTGCCAGTTTTGACAGAAGGTCCTGAAAGCTAAGCTTGTCAGGGTCTGCCATGGCGGAGCAGCCCCGGCTCTTCTACGAATCTTCGACGTGCCGCACCGGCGATGTGCAGGTTGTTGGGACTGCGGGGTTGGAAACACGTCGGGACGACTATGTACACTTTGGCTACAGCGCAACGGCTGAACTGGACCAAAGAGGGTTGTAAAGACATGTTGCTTTGCTGACACAAGGTGCCGGATGTGGCCAAGGCCACTTGCCAACCCTCTTGGCTTGGGCCAAGAAACTGAGAGCGCAAAGTTCGATTGCAGGCTAGCAAGGGGCCAGCACGAAACTGGAACCATCCCGCCTGTTCAAAGCGCTGCAAGCAAGGCTGCAAACCCTGACATGCCTAAAGAACCGAGGGGCAACGGCCATGCACGGCGTACACGCGCGTTGTAGCTCCCTCCCGGAGCCAGGCATCAGCACAAGGTTGGGAGAGCAGGAAGCCTCAGCGATGTGTCGTAGAGACTTGTGGCTCGGGGTCCCCGAGTGCTGGCAAAGCACGCAAACACAGCGGCCACAGATGCGACAGTGGTGCCGCGGCCGCAGACGGCCTTGGTCTCAACAGCGCCAGCGCTTCTGATTCGCTATAGTCTTGTAGAGAAAAAATGAGACAGCCTCTGATAGCCTCTGTAAGGCAAACACGACGGCCCAGTGGTGCACTGCAAATAGAACAATTCTCGGCATCGTCATCCCAGCCTCATAGCGACCGCATTCTTCTTCGGCAGTTTTGAAATGTGTGGGCGTAGGGTGCGTCCAAGGATCGGTCTCGGGTGCTTACGTCAAAGTCCTCGATGCAACTGCTGCACGAAGTTTCGGGCCCCAGCTGCGGAGGTGAGCTGGCCTGGAGAGACCGCAGCCAGCGTCAACCGTGAGAAGCTGCGGAAAAAAGACTCAGATGATGCTGACAGGCGACCACAGATCCGAAGCGCCTCTGCGGGGTGTCGGGAAGGGCTGTGAAGACAGGTTAAGTGGTGCGAATGCAGCATTGGCTGTGACGCTTGGAGTTCAGCCCTGCACGATCCTGTAAGTCTGAGCATACGGGCGGGGCCTCGCAAGCTGGTGGGCTTCTTCTCCTTGTGCAAGCAGGGCTGCTAGGCCATCAAGCTGGTCCTCAGTTGCTCGGCTCGCATCGAGCAAAAGAACTGGCAAACCCATATGCCAGCTTCGAGATGCCTCTGTTCACCAAGTACGTCAGAATAACTACGCGTTCCACACACTACTTCTTTTTTAGTGCATCAGAAGTGGACGTGGCACGTCGCACATCTCGCGCATATCTCGCTGCAGCTAAGCATATCGTCAACTTCCTGCTCAATTTCGTTGGCACCACCACTCAACATCTTTCAGGAATGCTATATTGTTGCAAGTTGCGTCTGGCCAATCCCATAAGTCCCGCTACCTAAGGAGCTACGAAGAACTCCACCTGTCCTGCCTGACCATTTCGCTGAGACTCAGTGTCCATCCCAAGCAGGCATCCAGCTCGAGCTCAAGTCTCGCTCTTGGGCTACCGCGGTTTACTTTTTGCCAGGGCTCCACGCTGCGGAGAAACGCGCACGTTTGGGACAGCAACAATGCGCAAACTTACATTCTCGCAGACAAGCCAGCCCTGCCTCCATGGCTGCAATATGTTACAATATCATGCTACAGTATGTTACAAGTAGGGCTCGGGGTGCTTCACGCCTTCGCGATCAAGCCCATACAGAGTGCAGGTGCCGCAGCCAGGCCATTGTGCTGCCTGCAAACTGCGGTCTGCATCAGTGCTGCTGCCAGATACTGCTCGAGAAGCACGGGAAGGCAGCATGCCCGGAGCAAAACTGGCACTGAGGAAAGCACTCCCATAGCAAAGGGTCATGATTCAGGATGCGGCCGGTCAAGCTTAACCAGGCCTAATAAAGGCTTGCTACAGGGCTTTAGACCTCAACACGCAAGCCCTTGCTACGTTGCAATGAAGGCCCTAACTAGCACATGGCAATTCTTAACAGGTCGCCGAGACAACGCCCACTACAGTAACAGTGGGTCACTAAAACACTATGCGTTCCATGGTCAGCGATACTTTGTGGGTCTTGAACATGCAAACTGCGAGCAGCCCGTTTTGAGCATCACCAGGCGTGGGCCAAGAGAGATCCGGCACTGATGACCAGTGATCTACTCTCGTTGTTCACGACTTGTACAGCAGAGGGGCCCATCAACCTCTTCTGCGCTGAACGAATCTCGGGAGATTTGGTGGTTCACAAAAGCGCACCCACACTTATCGCACGGGACACTATAACAAAGCTATTCTTCAAATGAAACTGATGCCCTGAAGCTGACCATAAATACATTCAACCGTCCTTTTGATCTCCTTCCATTTCATGGAATTAAGGGTATTGGATCGCAGTTGCTCGCAGCACACCCGCAAAATTGCAACCTCGTTTTCCCTGTTTGGGGCTTCAATTGTTCATATTTCTGAAGCTGCACGGAAAAAACAATCTTCTTTCCGCGACTTCCATCTGAGAAAGGGAACGCATGTTCTCCCAGCAGCGTGTACGGAAAGAAGGAACTTTTCCCTTCAGGTCAGAAGACGGAAAGATGGCTATTGTGCCGTGAAACCATAAGAAACCAGGTAATCTGAAAGACATGTTCAGACCTCAGTTGTCAACGAGTGGTCGTGGACCCGGATCCTGTCTCCCAGTTCTCTGCCAATTGGCTCCCTTCATGGCCACACTCTTGTCTTCTTGCCGTTCGATGGGTGTGCCGAGGAGTTGAATCCTGTCTCCCAAGAGGTTCCCTTCATGGCTACTTGCAGTCTGGCTTTCCATCTTTCAAGCTTATTGGCTTCCACACAATGGCTTGATGGACCAAAACACCTTTTCTCCGTGGTCCAAGTCCATGGAAAGGACGGACTCTTCCGTACATTGAATCGCGTAAAAAAAACCGCCATTGTTCCGTGAATGGGTTTCGCAATGACACAGAATTCACATCATTCTTCAAGCAGCTTCCTACACAATGGCTCCCGCAAAAAGGAGCCTTTTTTGGTAGTTTCGTGACTGGGTTCACCAATCGAGCAGAATTCATGTCGACACGTCGACATGACCTTTTAGACAATTCAAGCGGGCAGTCCACATTTCAACTTTCTTGCTTCCTACACACACAGTGTGTCGCACACTGACACTGGTATGAACGGCTCTCTAAGATGTAGCAGGCCCAAGGAGGGACAAAACTATGCTGAAGCCTTGAACCGAAGCTGAGGGATGCTGAAAAAGGTCATTCAGCTAAAGAAGAACCTGGTGCTCGCACCCTTTTCGCCACATTGCGGTCGATGTTCGTGGGACCGAAAGTAGGCCTGTTGATGAGCGACATTTTTGGTCTCTGAGTCTGGAACTTCTCAAGCTTCTGGAGTTGCATCCCTTGCAGGAGAAACAATGTCAAAACCTACAAGGAGGTAAAAGCCCCGAGTCTTGAAGGGAGCCATCCAAACCAGGAAAAGAAGATAAAAGGCGCAGACCAGAGAACATGGAACCGCCGAAGCCCGCACTTGACCCGCACTTCGACACCTTTTTCACTGCACAGCTTGCCGCTTGCCATCGCGAGTCAAATCCACTCCTAGCCGAATGATGGCAAAGGACTTGGGCAGAGCCTAGCAAAGATGCGGAAGTAGCCGAGCTTGCCTGCGTTTCTGTCACAGACCTATGCCTCGGCGACGCGCGGGATCTGTCGCAAGAGGGTCTGTACATGCACCATCTTCCTTCGGGTGCAACTTGTGGGTATCCAGTACATGGCCAGTAACAGCACACAAGGAGGACCGCAAGCTGTGACGGTGACCCCCAAGTAATTAGCGCAATGCTTCGTTTCCATATGTTCCATACTCTTTCGAATCATCGTCGCAAACGGACACACGACGGGACAGTTCTGAGGATTGCGTAATATTGCGTAGTTGCTGCGCACAAAAAATCACAACAGCGTGTTTCTTTGGAGAAACGAAGTCTCATCCGAAGCTTTCGGTGCAGGATTGCGTCAAGTTCAAAGTGACGGCAATCAGTATCCTATAGCATCCGAATCCTAATCAAAGTCCCGGCACGTGTGGCACAGCCAGCGGCGTTGTCATTGCCTTGTCGTAGTGGCGTTATCTAGTCCTCCTGGTCACCCAGAGCCGCGTGAACTGTTGGCTGCCAAGCGAATGGCTTCCTGGCTTGCTGTTGTATGTCTGCACATGCTGACAGCAAAAGCTGCCAGTCCAATCCGACAGCTTGCGAGATCAATTCTAGCATTTTCAAGACAGCAATGCATGCAAGAGGCGGGTTCAGCAGGTCCATGAGGATTGAGTTTCGCCGCTGCACCTGTCAACACTGACCCTTCCCCCTGGAATTTGCATTCCTCGTGCAAAACCACGTCCACAAGTCGCCTCTTGCAACTCATTTCGCTCTCTGGCTGTCTGGCCCTTTTCGCGGCATGCTCTAACCACTTGCAGTGGAAGGAATTCTCATCGTGCCAGGCCTGCCACCTCTCTGAGGTCATCCCAACTCTATCGGCACCGCGGGCCCTCGATTCATCGCCTTGAAAATTGCCTGCTGGGTAAGTGAAACGTGGGCACCAGCCAGCTTCGATGTTTCAGCTATCTGGCTCCCATAACCACGGTCTTATTTTCCAGAGCATTCCTGAAAACATGTTGCAGGTGCCCAAATCTGCAGCAACGCTTACTCGTGAGCAGAAGCAGCAATGACGGCGGTCGATTCTCTCCTTTGGAGAGCCTCTGATTCTAAAAACATAGCTCGTTAACTGACTGGGGCTGGGACTGCCAGCCCCATTCTGAACATCTCCGAAAGCATGCGCTGTACACAAGGGCCAGCTTGGAATGTCAGGATGTCGTCCTGCCCACGGTTCATCTGGGCATGAGCTATGAGCACCCTGTGTCAAGTCCAGAAGCAGAACACGACGACACATTATTCACATGCCGCCGCGCTCCTCAACTGCCAACTCCTAGCTGCCAAGCTGCCCAGGAAGATGAGGTTTTGCCTGCCAAGTACTTTTGCCTATTGCCGAGTACTCTACCGCACACACACACACACACGTCCAAGTTCAGATATGAAGAGTAGGGTATATATTTCTTGTATCCCCAAAAGGACACCCGGTATATACACTCACCAATATGAAAAAGGAACCTTCTTTACACTCACCAATATTCAGTAATATAAACCCTGTTTCATATGAGCTGGGACGAGCTAAGTCTTCTTTTGGGGCCTCACGAGGACTGAGTTAGCAACTCAATACGACATCATTTGATGGGCGCAAACATGGGACAGAGATGGACAGCCTGAAGCGCTCCAGTGTGCTCCACTCCGCTTTGACGTCCCAGACCCTGCCTTTGACACCAACCGTGGCACAGGGACTCCAAGCATTGGAGGTTCGAAGTTGCTGGCGGTTTCCCGCAGCCTGGGAACCCCGACAGTGCGAGTTTTGGACACCAAAGCTCCGGAGGCCCAAGCGTCTTAAGGCTCAGCTTGGCCTCGGGCAGCTCTAAGCTATCATTGGACGTCTGCTTGTTCACCGAACTCCGCGGACTCCCATCGTGAATGCTCTCAACCTCTATCGCGTCCTGGATGTCGGGAGCATCCTGCGGGGACAAGAGATCACAGACCCAAGAAACCCCTCGCAAGCCCCTCGGAAAACCCAGCCCGAACCCTCCCCCCGGCGTCCTGCTTGTCAGAACCTAGCTTCGGTCTGGATTCCGGTCTGGATTCCGCTCTCGCGTCCGCTCTCGCGTCCGCCCTCGCGGAGCCTCCCCGGCTGCCTGGATGACCTCCAGCGAAGTCCTGATAACCTCTTCCGACTTGCACCTTCTGGCCAAGAGCTTCCAGAATTTGCCCAAGCCTTAGAGTCAACCAGAAGTTGTCTGCAAAAGAGAAAACAACTTGAAAGTATCTGAAGGCCTCTCGACGCGCCAGCTGAGGCGAAGACATCTGTTGACTTTGTTGAATCAACTTTCTGTGATCCTCGATGGCATGCCTGTGCTGAGTAGTGGGCAGCAGATCGGCGGCAAGGGAACACTTCAAGCCAACAGATGCTGACAGTGGCTTGGCATGGCTGGCATGGCTTGGCGAAGCAGTCAAGCAGCTCTATGTTGGCAACCCTTTTGGAGATACCAGCAACCTGAGATCACAGCCTCTGAAGTGTCGGAAGCATGGCCGGAGGCCCGGGTCCAAGCCCCGCACCCCAACCTGCATGGTTTTCATGTCCTGCGAGCGCAGTGCTCGGAAGCTTTGGAGCCCCTGGACCAAAGATGTGCAAGATACGTAAGCTCCACACCAGTTGAGTCGGCGGCCCCTTTACTCTCAACACACCTCGAGCCACAAGTGACATCACGAAGTGAAGACACGGCGGCGCTCTCTGGAAAGGTCAGGGCGCCTTGTGCGAAAGTTGGGAAGCTGATGGAGCCAGTTCCCTTGCAGACGGGAAGCACAGAGAACCAAGCTGAAACTAAACTGAACTGAAGGACACCGTGTTGCTGCCCCTTTCGGCGAGTCTGTAAGGTGGGCTCCAAAATCACTGCTCCATCAAAAACCCAGCCTGCGGATCCAGGATCTCGAACAAGGCACCAGGGTCGTCCACAGGCACCTCCATTCCTGTCAGCACATGATCTCTGCAGCCGAGATAGCCTTGGCGACGTCATGCTGACCGAGCCACGCGTAAGCGTGTTTCGGACCGTCTCGTCGGTTAAGATTTGCACGAACTCATGCTTCTCGAGCGTGCCACTGCCATCCTGAGACAGCAGCGATTCTGGGCATTGGAAACTGATTGGACTTTGTTCGATGCACGACTACTCTCTCTCCCATCTGCCCCGGGACAGAAACATGCCTGCAAAGCCAAAGCAACATGCAGCGGGATAACGCGTGCGGGTTTTTGGCGAGATGAAGTTGATTTGAACTAATCAGACTGGGGCAGCCAATGAACTCATACCTGAGACAGATCCCTCATGAATGAAGGGCGGCAGGCGTCGTGTTGCAAACCGCTCTTGGCCACAACAAATTGCAACAGGACAAATGAGCATACTGCCACCCTTTATCACACATGCCGTTGTCAAGTTCAAGCCCAAATACACCGTAACGTTAAAGAAAATGCTGGTGGTCCCTGCGGGCACTGTGGAATTGCTTGTCATGAGGCACTCCTTGCCGAACGCACCCTGATTCCAATTAGCGCCCATATTGTGAGAGAAGTCTCGAAATCAGCATCTTCGAACAATATTCGAATGCTTTCCAACTCCTGGGAAGAACGCTTGTGGGAAAGCTGCGGACACGTTCAAGGTCTATGCGATGCTGCCCGATGCTATGCTGCTTAAGAAAGCTTGGCTCACTCCTGGCGCAATTGTCGTTGGAGCCGCCTTTCCTGGCACAACATGTGCGTGGCACCATGTCAGATCAGAATCTTCACAACAGCCTGCCTGAAGCTCCATGTTCTGTTTTGCTGCATTGAGAGTGTTTTCCACGATGACGCCAACAATGATGTTGAGAATGCCGAAGGTGGTAAGGAATAAAAAGAACCTTCTTCCGGCATGGTGCGTGCAAGTACGGGCGTCGGGACATCAACGTGAAGGCTCACATGCAGACAAGCAGCATAAAGAAAAGAAAGAATATAGGCTGCTGCTTCACGATCGGCCGTGCAAACTCCTGGCATGATCCATGCGCCCTTGGCCATGTAGCCGAACACATGCAAACCCATGTCCGCCAGCCTGACTCCAAGACTCAAGCCTCAATCACTCTTCTCATTAGACATGGGAAACAACCTGCAAGTACTGTCTCGCCATGTACAGTATGTCAGCCGGACTCAGTCGACCATGCTTGCCAAGGTTCGTAATGATCTGAAATAACGTATACATCCTTAGATGTCCCTCCCATCTCATGCCAGTGTCCCAAAAATGTCTCTGCAGAACCAAAAAAACAAAAAAAAACAACTGAATCATATGAGTGCGCCACCCCAAGTTAAAAATGCAAAAACTTCGGACAACTTGATTAGCATAGTTGGAGGTCAACTAGAATTTCAAACCATGTTGCAGTCATGTTGTGTCAATGGCAGGGAGTATTCGAAGACAACCAAGGACAGACAGCTTCTGCAAAAACCGATGCGCCAACAGCCGACAACAACAACAACAATATAGGCGGCCGCGGCACGGCACGTGATGCGGGCGGGGGGGGGGGGGGGGGCGCGCTGAGGTGAGAGAACGTCGCGTCACAGGACGGTAGATGGGATGGGGGATTACGCTGGTGCCGGCGGTGGCAGGAGTTTTCATGCGACCTCAGCATACTCCCGAACTCGCGTTCGACATGCTCTGACATGTTGAAGACTGTCTTCACGTTACGTGACGACGATCGAGAGAAGGCGGCTGGAATTGGCCCTTGCCTACACTATGAGCGCCCCTGCAGATGATGCAGCTGAACAAGTGCAGCTTTGTCGGACCAGCATCGCTTTGGGCATGCTGCCGAAATAGTCGTCGCACTCCTTACTCTTGCACTAACATGCAAAACTGCGCAAGCATGCCTTCTCCGACACTTTTGACACTAAGGTAAGCAAAGAGTCCAGCCAGCGCGGATGCTGCTCCGAACAGCTCAGTGTCAGGCGCAAGAAAATGGCAAACCTTACGGAACAACCCGGTTCCAGGTGAAAGACGGCAACAAGAGGCTCATGCAGACTCATGCAGGCTACCGGCTGCAGGAATCCGAGCCCCGAACCCCAAAAACTCGTTTCAAGCGTTGGACGATTTGGAGGCTGCAGTTACACATGCACGTGCAAAACCATGCTGGCTGTGTCCTTCGTGTTCTTCCTTTTGCTGGAGAGGCATCGAAACAGCTTGGGACCTGCTCATCGATTCACCTGTACGTGTCGGCTGCTAGTGCAGGTCCTTGAACTGAGCAGACCTGCCCGATACGAAAATCACAGGCAAGTACGTCGCGAGGCATCCTTCGCGATTGACAGGCAAACTGCAGTCACCCTGCGCGCCCCTGTACCAGCATGTTCCAACATGGCATAGTTCGGGAAAGACTGTGCAAATCTGTCTGGTTTCAGTAAGACTTGAAGATCTCAAGCTCTGCATCCCACGACCGTGGCAGAACACCTCCTTTTGACCAACGAGGGTTGTGTTGATATTCTTCCTGTTGTTTGTAGTCTAGATAGTATGCGCCGGCCCGATTTGTTTGCATAAGGGAAAGTCTCCAAACAAGCACAAGGAAAAGCACGTTTAGGAGAAAACCCTGTACCTCAAGAACTTGGTAGTGCCGTCATGCGCAGCACGTCCTTTGATGATGCAGGACTTCGGATGAGGCTTGCACTCGAGATCACTCGAGCTTCCTTTCCATTGTTCTGCCTTCTGTATTTCGGGCACGCTCTTTCGCCACGATCTCTGCTATCCGAAGCCAGGAAACACGTAGACCACCACCGATAGGAGCATCAACACCTCAATGCCAGTAAGCTGTCAGGGACATGCCGCAAGAAAGAGTGTCGATCTCCACTGCAACGAGGTGCCCAAAAGAGCGTGCTCAACGACTCTCTGAAGCCCACGATGATGAGCCACAAATTCTTGAACAATCTCCTCAAGGTCGACGATGCAAGCTTTTAGGGCGGAAGCTTCCGAAAAACAATACACTTACGTAGGATATACAAGTCTTCGCGAAGCTGAATGAGCTCCCATCAGCTCCCTAGCGCGCTGTGGAATCTTTGGCCGTCCAAGCGACATCAGGCGAATCAGCCGCAGCAGTCTTAATATCCGAAGAACTCGAACCTGAGAAAAACGCCGGGGACTCAGTGTTCAAGTGTGGTCCAAACTGTTCGGGCCTTGCCATTCTGTCGAGGCACACATCTGGAAACCCCAAACTATCATCCCCACGGTCACAACAGTCGCGAATCTCTGCTAATCAGCGCGCTTGAACAGTCTTGCGGCGAAGACAAAGACTTGTTGCTTCATGCCCCTCCGGTGATTACGACGTGGCCTCACCCGGCTGGCAACCCTGAAGTTGATCACAGGCACTCAGCCCCCTAAGTCCCCCTTTCTGCTCTCGCCTTGTTACCGTTAAACGTCCGACACCGTGCTGCGTCCAAGATGCTATTCGAAGAACGCCAATGGCATCCAGATCTTGAATCGAGAGCGAAGGAATGACCCAAGTCTCAAAAATATTCAGAAGCACAAGGCTGAAGTCGAACACCTGACATCTGCAATTTTGGAGGTGCGCAACACCGAGTACGGGCCGCTTCTTATGTACAGTTCTGCTTGTGGCTCAAGGCACGTTCCAGGCGCTCTTGAAGTAATCCAAACGGAAGGCCCAGAACTTCAGCAGCATTTCGCCAATCCAAAGGAGGCAGAAAAGATTTTCAACGACAACCCATCCAACAGCTCTCTTTTCCGCTGCATCAGCTTCCAGGCCCATCACCATGGAATTGAGAGCTATTAATATGCCAATCGCAGATTCGAACTCCTCAGTTTTACGGAACGAAACCTCGCGTGGCCTTCAGGCTTGCCTGCCAAGGCACCGTTTAAATGAAACTGCCGAGCATCGGTCCTCTCTACCATTTTTGGCTTGACGACCTCCTCCTCCTCCCTGAAGTCTGCAAGTCCTTTGCTTCACACGACCGTCACAAAGTTCAATTATCAGGCCGTGTTCCAGGACAAGGCCACTACAGACATCCTGCAAGAGCTGTTCTCCCTTTGGTCCTTGCTCCTCCAGAATTTCCTGGAATTCATCCTGGTCGACTTCGCGCTTTGACACTGCCGACACGGCCTGGTTGCAGGACTATCCCGGGACCAACCCGCAGACCAACCGCAATCTCTGCTGAAGGGAATCACATTGAGCATGCGGCCTGGGATTTGACATCCTCAAGCATTGGGCCCTAGCACAGGAAGAATGGAGTTCTGCGAAGCGGACCACTCACAACTGTGTTGTGGGCTCTCGGCTCTAAGTTGGGGTAGTGCCCTCCCTGCCAGGGCCTCACCGCTGCGGCTACTTTTCGGACTCTTGCTCAGGGAGCGGGAGCGGATGCTGTTGGCACTCTTCCTCGGACTCGACATGGGTCGTGCCTGCCACCTGCCTGCTTCTTGCCAAACCACCTGTGGGATCCTCTTGTGAAAGGCTTGGACTGCCCGCGTTCCAGGTCAATGCCTTCCAATGTCCAAGGCACGTTGACACCAGGTAGTTGTATGGGTCCTGTAGTGGGCACGCCGGTCTACAAGCTTCCGATGAGCTTCTCGCTCAGGGTAGTGATCTACTCTTTGAAGCAGGCTGCAATAGATTGCAAAAGCACAACGACCGCTGAGCCAGGCACGTTATCAAGATTCTTGGAGGCTGACCGCCGGGCCCTAAGCACATGTGAAACAACGACGCTGTATACTCGGGGTCCCAAACGGGCTTCAACTTTTCCATCATTGTTTCCCCTCGTCAGACCATTGCAGCGTTTTCTGTAGGTCGTATAACCATGAGGGCCCGGTTGCTTTGACAAAGCATGCTTTTGCTGTGGGAATGGCACGGAGGATTTAGAGAGAATGTCTTATTCGGTTCCTGTGTAGACTACGCAATCAGATGTTCAGATCCAGTGTTTTAACCAGCAACGGTGTTAGGCCCAAACGGTCGGGCACGTCTCCTTTGTTTGACAAGCCTTACGGACAATCACACCCTGAGCAGACGAAGACTCAGAAGACCACCAAGATGTGCATACTTCCAAAGGTTCGGGAGATCCATGGTTTGCAGTATGTTGCATTCTCTTGTGCGTTCATTTCTTTTGCTCTCTGGAATCGCGGGCCTGCAGTCGAAGCTTTACCTGAGAATATGCCAAGGTTTGCCGCCCTAGCTGGCCCGAGCTCCCGCCAAGCAGGTCTTCTTCCTACAAAATCGAGCTGACGTCAAAGACCGGACTTGCACGGGAACTGTTGCACAGATTGGCTTTCGGAAAACACCTGGACGACTGTTCTTTCGTGAGCGAGGCACAGCACAGCAGCCACTGCCATGGCTGAGCCGGCACACGCCTGAGCCTGAGGCTTCAAAGCCACGCTCTGACATGTGCACGTGGCACAACTTGGCAACTCTGTGTTCACAGCCGACCACCGAATGCAGCCACTCCGGTACTGGACCTGATCAGAGTTCACCTACCCAGGTTCTTGCATCCGAAGGACCTTGCCCGATCCACGTTGCTGGTCGCATCATGTACTCAAATATTGGACGCTTGAGCCAAGGTGATTGCAGCAGCGATTGCGGTGGCGGGGAAGCTGCAGTGGACATGTGATATGGGCAGGCGGATCGCATCTCAAGACAAGGCAATCCAGAAACAAGATCCAACTTAGGGTGCCTTGGCTTCTCCATGGTGGTGCAGAATGGCCAGAGTGGCTTGAGACACTCCAAGGGCAGTGGGCTCAAAGCCAAGCCTGCCGACGATGGGCACCTGCCGAAGCTTGTCACCGACTTTTCATTCTCGGATTCTCCGAAGCATGGCCACGTGATGCCACGTGCCTGAGCTTTCAGACCTTGGCCGATGTCAGTGTGTACTTCGCTTTGCCAGCAGGGAAAAGGCATCAGTTGTTCGGCATCACCATTCAGCCAAGCTGCACAGCTGTTGCCGCACATGGGCCTTCTGTTCTGGGCTGGCTGCTTCGAGGGCAGCATAGAGCTCGTTCCTTACATCTGGACGCGCAAAGTGCTTGACCAAAGCCGAAGCGAAGCCAACCAAACTGCGCGAGAGTGTCTGAAAGTCTGGTTTGGAGTACGCTGCAATCTCAGCCTCCTCGGGACTTCAAAGCTGGGGATGCCCCGAGATGTTGTACACACTTGCATAAACATGCATAAACCACTTGCAGTGCGCAGCCCATTGCTAACCTCTGGGAGAAACTTAGGACACACAATTTGGCAAGGCCCCGGCCCCATTGCTTGCACATGCATGCACACTTCTGCAAGAGGACTGAGACTGGGGGCCACAGCCCCACGTGTTCTGGTGTCCGGTTGCTGTTGCATTGTTGCTGTGGTGCGGCTGCTATTGCGATTGCTGCTGACGCGGCTGTCGCCGCAGCTGCTGTGGCTGTTGGTCACCACGGAACCGTTGGACTCGGGCGTCGCCACGACGGTGGCGACGACGTTCCGGACTGTAAAGGTTGGGGGGACAGGCTCTTCAAAAACGATCTTGAATTCGCACACAACCGACATGGCAATTTCGCTGGCCTTTGGTGCCCCATGCAGGTCATGCCAAAATCCTAGCATCGCTAGCCAAACTGGAGCAAGGGCGAAGGATCACTGTTGTTGCAGGAACCCCCATGGCTTCCAGCCGTGGGAAAACCGACCCACCCCACCCCCATTGCTCGTACCTGCTTGCTGTGATTTCTTGCTTTCGAGCGTGTGAAACCACCCAGTCCACTACACCACCGTGACTTTGTCGTTGTCGTTGGCGGCATGGCTTGTCAGGATGGGTGGGACTAGTGATCTGAATGAATCTGAAGGAACTCTCGAGTTCTTCACAATACAATGTTCGCACTATTTGCTAACCATTGCTTTCGCCGGTGTCCCCGCCTGAAGCTCAAGAACCTGCTGCAATGTCAATGAAGGAGGCGCAAGTACATTGGCGGAGACCGCTGCCTGAGGCAAGGCTTCAGGGAATTATCAAAAGAAGTTCTTGTGCAATAGTCTCATATTTAGTTTGTCTCCGCGTGTTTTTGTTAAGCTTGATCTTATTTGTGCTTGCCCTTCCCGCCCCGGTTGTGAAGGCGTCTATGCCATCGAGTTCCCAGACTGGAGCCCAGCCTAAGCAAGTGTGTGCCTGAGTTGGCGCTTTTGCATTTCTAAACCTATACACCCTGAACGTTGAGAAGCCCTGTTTTCACCCAGGACTGCTGAGGCTCCGGTTGAGAAGCCCTAATCCATTAAAAGGGGGTGGTGGTGTTACAATGTTTACAACCCCCAAGAAGAGCCCTGCAGCCCCAAATCCTAAAAGAAACAACGACACAGTCGGACAAAGAAACGGGCGATTTCTAGCTCAGCGAAACCACGCAAGCCTTTTGCAGAGGAGCTCGGGCTTGCAGACACACGCCTGAAGCCATGAAACGGCCAGTGCTGTGGAGGCTCCCTGGAGGCGCCACACCACATGTAACCGTAATTCGATTTCCAGGAAAAGCCTTCGATGAGGGAAGCCATTCGGCCTATAGCCACAACGGAAACCTTGCGTGCGGAAACCTTGAACTTGACTTCCAGAAAATTTGATGTTGCTTGGATAAGCTTCTCGACCCGTTTTTCGTTGAGAAGTGCCCTTGGGCCTCGTGCGATATTGGGACGGTGGGGGCGGGCCTAGCGTGGGAGCGAAGGAGGAAAATAACGAGGGCTCAAGCAAGTCAAGCAAGCCGGATCGACTAAACAGCACCCGCGGAATAGCTACAGAAACGGTAGAAATAACTGAGGGGCCCTGCAGAAAAAGATAAAAACCGTCGAGGATAAGAGCTTGCAATGGTGCTTGAGGGAAGAGTTAGAAACAAAAGCAGAGTAGAACAAGAAACACCTGGCCTACAAAAAAATCCATCACCCATATGACTGCACTGCAAACGGGCAAGCCTTGACAGCGGAGCTTGGATGCTCGGCATCATACAGGGACAAGCTCCACATAGCGCCGCCTCAGATCCCGCAGCAAGCCCGAAATCCCCACATCCTCGTTAAGAACGCCTCGCAGTATCCTCGGAAGAGCTAATGAGCTAGTGGTGCCCTGTGCTGGAGAAACCGAGTTCCACCCTTGAACAGAGGAGCCGGGATGGAGTCTGAGCAAGGGCCGCCAGCCGATGTAGGCAGCTCGGAACGCTGCGAGCCAGCGACAGGGAGGGCGTGCTTCATATCAGCTTCATATCAGCTTCATATCGACAGAGCAATCTCAGGTGTCCCTTGAAACTGAGTCGGAAGCTCCTCCCGCCACGCGGCAAGCCTCTTCAAACCATCTCAATCGAAATCCTGCTGTCGAAACATCGAGTTCTCAACTCCTCGCAGAAACCCAACACTCAAAACTTTGCCATAGCTATATTGACCTTGGGATTATGCGCATGGTTTAAGTTTTAAGAACAAACCCTTGGCATCGTTTCTGAGCTCAAGCCATCCCGAAACAGTCACTCGCTTGCACGCTTCATCTGTTCAATCTCTTTCTTTCCTTTCTTGCAGGGACTTGGGCAGACAGAAATACCTCTGCCCGCTGACTCGCTGTGACCAGAAGCGGCGATTGGGTTCGGCGGATTTTGTTTGGCCTGATCCTTTCTACACGTTCTGGGCCTATCGCTTCCGGTACCGGCCAAGGAAATCCATGAATCCATAACAGTATGCGGGCGTGATGGCATGTCCCAAGACAAAGGTCAGAGGCAACCTGAGGAAAACTAACATCCCTGTTTTGCACAACTTTCGCCTTCTGGGGCGAGAAGGATCCTTCTCACAGGACTTGGGGCAAAAATATCTCTCCCTCTCCTTCTCTCTGTCTGTCTCTGACTGCTGCTGTCTTTCTCTGGCTATAGATGCCCACATGGAGATGCCCTAGTGAGGCATCCCAAGATAACGCGAGGCATCACGACAAGCATGTCCAACAGTCTAACTAGGGTGTTCCCAACATGTGGCATACAGTTTGACCGATTCTTTGCAACGCAGAGCTGGCACCAACTCTTGACTGCAGCGCGAACACTCAACTGTCAGCGCGCATCCGTTGAGCCATGAAGGCTGCCTTTTGTGCAATTCGGAGCTTGCTAAGCTCTGCACAGGACCAGAAATGCACCAACAGTGCCACCAACAACTGCATAGTGTAGCTCATCATGTGGCCCAGCACAGTTCTTCTTACTATGCGAGTCGTAGTTCACGCACAACGCTGTCATGTGAGCATCTCCTTGCCCCGGAAATTCACCGCTTGGCTCAAGAACTACAAGTCCGGAGACTTTAAGCTTGCACTGCTGCGTTGCGCTTGTGCCCTTCGAATCTTATTGGCCCTAAGCACGAAGCATGCAGAGCGTGACTGATGCATTCTGTGCAAGTACACGTGCCGTGGGCAGCGGGCACAGCAGTGCAAGAACGATTGTGATCTCAGCATCCTGCAAAGCCTTCGAGCCCGAGCCTCCATCACCCGGAACTGATCACAGAGTGCCATCCAGACAAGAATAAGACTCAAGCTCGAAGTTCCAAGTCTGCATCTGCGCTTCAATGACGCACATGTGAAGCTAACGTCACCGTTAAATTCGTAACCCCGATGTGTTTTGTTGAAAATTGAGACGCGCAGCTTCCATGCAGGAGCATCTGTGCACTTCAAAGGTAAACGATCAAATTTCCGCGGTGGGGCAGACGTCAATTCAGCAAGATCAGGGACCAATCAATCGAGTAGCATGCTGAAGGATGGAACCGCTGTTCATTTATGGGATGCACACTATCGTTCAAGAGACTTTGGCAGCTGTGCTGCGAAAAGGCGGTCCTACTACATTGTACTACGTCATTCCATCGGCAATGAGCCCGGCTCCGCTCGACAGCCATTTGCTGCGAGTCTCTTGCCATTCGGCACCTAGCAAGAACTTCACATTGTAACTGTTGTGCAAATTTGCCATAGCATCCGAGCTCGGAACGTTGGAGCACTCGTTCTCTGTCTTGGGCTCTCCAACAACAATGTTAACTGTCCTTGCCAGCCGTGTCTGCCAACGCGGCAAACAAGCACAATCACCTCCATAGCTGCTTGCGGACCAAACTGTTCTCAAGCTCATGGTGTTGCACGACCTATTGAGCGGGTGCTTCTTTGGACAGTTTGTAAACCAAGGCGCAATTCAGGGAAAAGTCTTTGAACTTGGCCTTAGGATCAGGCTCAGCAGACACGGTACATCGTTGCCCTGCAACCACACAAACAACAACTACGCGCGACTGCAAAACCCAACATCCAAGCCATCTCGACAGGCCCCCGCCACCCTCCCCCCTCCCACCCACCCCCGATGTCAGAGCCTAGCGGCCCACCGCCCCGGCACAGCTTCGGCAAAGCGGTTTCCTGGCATAGCCATGATGTTCAGCTACATTCAACCTAGCCGACACAGACTGACACCACATCAAGGTAGCCTGCTTGCCAAACAACAATGAGAACTAATCAAACTGAAGTGGCACAGCTTTGTCAAGCCCTGGTGCCTGACCGTCGTCCTAAGACCCTAGTTCACCCAAATTCGCCAAGCGTCTTCGACCACAGCGTTGCCCGGGCACGCCAGGTCGAGCGCCTGCACACCCGCCACACACCCTCACAAATCGTCTCCCTTGCACTTTTCTTCCAGGGCAAGGGAGCCCATATGGGGAGCTCTTCAAAAACATACTGTCACTGCAACTCCAAAACAGGTGTGGGGGAACTCCGCCTCTCCGCTGGCACCGTTCGGCCTTGCAACCCGCTTTCGTTCAAGCGACAAAAATTGGAATCATAACCCTGCTTCTCCCGGACCAGCTCTCTTCAATTTGCGCACTGCGGCTTTGGGAGGGGTGACAGCAGTAGGGGACACCAGCCGCCAATAGTCATGCTCTTGCTGAGCAGTGTGGGACATGACAGCGCTGCCAGTAGGACGCTAGCTGACGTTGGGCAGCCGAGTCACAGAGACCAGTCAGAAGCTTGAACTCCTGATTAGGGGAGCTGAATGAAACAAGCCGCAACCGCAACCCTGATCTATAAGAAGGCCGCTGCATTACTGCGCCGAGCTCATTTCTGCAGAGGGTCTGCGTCGTGGCGGCGATCGAAAACGCGACCATTTTCGTCCTCATGCGGTACAAAGATGAGAAGCCGAAAGCTAAGTGCAAGAAGATCGAAGAACCAAAAAAAACAAAAGAGAGAGAGAGAGAGACATGATGCTTCTGATGCTTGGTGCTGCTTGGTCAAGGCTGGGCTCGGCAGCTTCAATCGACTGAAGAGGCCCATTGTCAGGAGCCAGCGGCGCGCCTGGAGTCTTGTACTCACCTGAGTGATTGAGCGGAGCTGCAAGATTGCAGCCACGGCGAGACACCGCCACAACTGATCTATGACTGCAAGCCTTCTCGACACTTCGACAAACACATGTCTGTGAATTCGGCCAGGCAGCCGCTTACCGCAAAGTCATTGTAGACACCTGAATGGGTTTGCTTGGGAAGCTTTCATCACTGGTGCTAACTACATGTCCAACAGGCCTTAGACTCCGATCATGCATCGCTTCCCGGTGTTGAGACTACCCATGACAGTGTGAAGGCAAGGCACTATTTCCATCACCGTCCGAAACAGACAGTATGGCAACGTTTCGCTTCAAGCGAGTGAACCAATTCGGCCCGGAGAAATGTTCCCCGAAGCAGTAAAGACTTGCATCCTCGGCTTCGGCGAACTTTGAATTGTGCCCTCATGTGCCCTCAACAGCCTCAACAGTTGCATTGGGACTGCGTCGATGGCAATGGCAACTTTGGGATACTTTTGGTGCTTGCCAAAGACAACTCCGCAAGCAGCTTCACTCTTGCGTCTAGAGCTGCCGAAAAGAAGTAGAAGTCCAATATCTGCAGGTATCCTGCAAGGGCTGGATTTGCGAACACTTCTTGGAACAATCCATGTCACGGGTCGCACAGTCCCAAGCCTTGATGTGACGCCTCAGTGGCTGATCACAGACGTGCCGACTTCATTGCTACAGCTGGACGGCAGCTAAGTACAAACACAATAAGGCTTCAGGAGAAGGTGAAACTGGCTACCTTTAGCAAATGCCCAGTTCGTGCGTTCGCGCGATTCGCATTGGCACAACAAGGGAGAGCCTTCCGAAAGCACCCCCAGAACGAAGTCTCGTGGTCACTCGACACGTTGCATATGCCCTCAACGAGAAATGCCCGTAGGCAGCCGGAATTTTTCACGGGCACCCAAACTCTCAACCCGTGACTCGGCAATACAACCACACTGGCATAACGAACAAAGAACGTCTTCCACGGCCAGCTGATTCCAAGTGGCCGGTATGTTGGTCAGCTCGGAGGGATCTATCTTCCGGGCTGGCAGTATTCGTCTACAGACAGTGACCAGCAGCATCGCCAAGGCAGAGTTCTTGGTTAAGCCTCAGCTTGACCACGCCATCGTGCGCCATCGTAAACACAGCAAGCAAAGGTCAAGTCTGGCATGAAGAGCTTTGGACAAGGTGCTCCGCCGTTCACAGTCTAGACGTCTTGTGAGAGCCTTCAAGTCGTTGAGGGAGCGGCCGTAGGCTCGAACCGCGGACATGTCCTTCCATCATCAATACCCAGAGCATCCCAGAGCATCCCAGAGCATCCCAGACCACCCCGGCAACCGAAACATGGTATGACGTGCAGTTGCATGTTGAACCCATCCTCTTTGTCCTCGGCTTCTCACTCACACGGCCATGCAATGCCAAGCACATGACAAGAGATGCTGAAAGAGCCAGGTGGCCTTGGTTGCTAACAGCTCCACGTGCACCGCATCCTGTGCTTTCTTGAGCTCATCTAGCACGCCATCCATTTCGGAGATGAGCTCCTATCGAAGATGTTTTTGGACACAGATGACACAGCCACGAGCTTGACGCATCCATCCCTAGCAGGCCCTAGCAGCCCTAGCATCCTTCTTGTCATCTGGCGTCGTTGTGGTCGAGAGCTCAAGCAGCTCTCGATGATTCTGCATGAGGATTTCTTGCAGTCGGTGCCGCTCCTGCCCAACCTTAAAGCCATGCACAGATCGTCATGTTGCATGCGTCCTTCCTGGGTGCACATGCCCTCAGCATGATTCCTACGGCCAGCCAAGCAACAGAGTCCGCAACCTGCCAGTGCAAAATACAGAGTTTAACCTTCAAGTCAAACGAATCCAGCCTGCGCAGCTTCTGCTTCCGCATCGCGGGCACCTTGAGTCGCTTCAACAATCGGCAAGGAAAACATGAGGGTGCAAAAGGCGAAGTCAGCGCGAATCGCACGAATGCAGAGCAGAGGGCCGACACTGGCGAGCTTCCGCAAAGTCTTTCGGTCCTCGCTCCCCAAGCCCCTATCCAGGATGTCCCGCATAAGGCGGTCCTGCGCCAGTTCGCTGCGTCTCACAGATGAGGGCTCGCTCTCACGATTTTATGTCTACACTGGAACTTGCTATGCTAAAACAAACTGAATCAAGAATTCGCAGAACTGGACCATGACGTTGACCCAAATAAAGCTCCTCATGTTCCAGCATCGGTCTCAGAACCTCCACTCGCTGCCTGACATAGAGGATACCGAAACGCGTGACTCTCAGAGTCTCAGAATCAGTCCGATCCGTCATGGCCTGAGCTCCCTCCAGCGCTCCAGAGCAGCGCGCACTGCTGCTGCCTCCCGTTCGGGCAGCTCATCTGGCGGCCGGAGCTCGTCACTGCCTTGAAACTGCATGTCGTGTGGTGACTGTAGAGAGCTTGTAGAGACACAACTTCCTGCTGCCAAGATTCGCAGAGGAATTTCCTCTCCGCTATCCAGCGCACGCTTCCTGGGGCGAAGCAGGAACGCACAATCGCCTTCAGGCGTCTTGCGCCAGGGAAATCAAGAAGCCAAGAATGGCAGCTATGCTTTGCGGTCAGGATTCTGGCCACGCTTGCCCATCAGAGGCAACGGCCCGTAACGTGCCCATTGTCAAAGTCATTTAAGGCTTCCACGGCAGCGGGCAGAAGTGCGCAGCAAGCGTAGCATCCTACATTCTGACTACGCTGCCTTGCAGCATTCCCCATCTCATCACAATAGCACTGCACCAGGAGATGCCACATCCATCAGCATCATCTTAACCCTCGAGCCCGAAGTAACTTTTGCATCCAGGCTTGGGTGAGCGTGCCGGGAAAGAGCCCGAAGTAACTAAAGCCTCAAACCGCCATCTCCATGCGTGTTTGGATTGGAAACTGCCTTTCGGAGCTTTTCCTTTGCTTCCTGCTTGGGCACCTGAGGTGGCGCACTCTAACACTTTCAAACGAACGCGCTTCCGAGTAAACACTTGTAGAACGGTGGCCTTACATATGGTTTTCTCTGATTTCAAGAAGCAATCGTGTCTAAGCTTACTAAACTTTTCGGATGTGCTGAACCGTCGGATCAGTTGGCTTTGTCATCGTTTCTGCACGACTGTTCAAAAACCATTGCTGATGCAATGACATGTAATGGCGCACACTCTCAAGTTGACCTGTCCCGTGTCAGAGGGCCCTCCTCTCTCTGAAGGGCGGTGCCAGAAATGAACCAGTCTGCATTTATCTGCATTTCATGACCTTGGGGCCTTGGGATCTGCGATCAGTCGTTGAACCAAGCCAATCCAACAACTCCTTCCAATCCCCTGTCTCATACAGGAGATGACGGCATTTAGTGCCTGCCGCACCTGCAAACCTGCGGAGTAAGACATGACCAGGCATTGACTGCATGCATTTCACCAGGACGAGTGTGTTGCTCAGTCATGTGGCCTTTGGACGAGCTCGTTTCGGAACTCCTGCCTCAAGACATGGTCGTGGTAAAACCTGAAACTAAAGAACCGAAATTCTGTCCTGAGTTTCCAGATGACGCGACGCAGCCCTCTCTACCGCTCACACGCGTTCTGCACGCTGACGTCAAGTCAGGAACAGCAACCCCTTCCTGGCCAGCATATCTAGTAACATCTGAAACGACAAGAGAAGGCAAGTAACATCAGGGTCTCGGAGCGAAGATCTTGCCTCAACTATACTTAGCGTAAAGGCGATCTTCTCTCCGCAAGCCTCCATCGACCCCTGAACCAAACATTTGTGGACTCGCGGAGCCTCGTTCTTGTCGGGCGCTGCAGCGGAAGTAGCTTGAACCACGACTGCCATTTTCTGCCACAGTCGCGCTGCTGACTTTATGACAAGGTTCACTAGATGTGTGCTAGCGAACTACAATGCCCACCGCTACTTGAGTTCCTTTCTGGCAGGTGCAGAGTTGGCTGCCAAGCGGGCCCAAGCGGGCTTCGTCAACAGGCAATCTGCGACGAGGCGGTGTCTTTCGTCGGATTGTAAATGGCCAGGAAGTCTCGAATCAGGCCTTGCCCAGGGCAGGCAATTTGGCGCAACTCCTCTCGGGTCAAGGCGGGCTGATCTCCTCCGGCGTGAATGTCAAAGCTGTTGGAGCCGAAGACCGAAAACAGCTCCGCGCCGCTTGAGCCGTGGCCGACAAGCCAGTCCTCTGCCAGCTCGAACTTGACAGCGTTCACAGCGCCAGACTTTAGAAGCTTCTGGCCACCCCGGAGGATCTTTGTTTCGAAGCCCTGCGCATCGATCTTCATGAGATGAATGTAAGGTGGCTCTCCGCCGGCCATGAAGGCTTCATCCAAAGTCATGATCTCGATCTGCCCAACTGGCTTCCTTGATGCATGAATGGGACTGTCAACGACTGTGTTGCCGGCGTTGCCGGCCTCTGCATAGATTGCGTGTGTCCCTGGTGCATCACCTAAGCCGGAAGTGAACAGTGCAATTTTAGAATTGTACCCATTGTTCAGGACAGTAGTGGTGAGATAGAAAAGGTTGGCGGGGTTGGGCTCCCATGCCACAACCATGTCCACATCTGGTCTTGCCAGCATTTGCGCCGTGCATGCCCCGATGTTTGCCCCAACTTCTACAAAGAGCTTCGACGAGCTAGGTGGTCTGCTTGAACCAGGGCAGATGTTGCAAGAAGGACTCCCAACGCGAGCAGCATTGTTGGGGAGAGTTGTCCAAAGCTCTGACAACGAGGGACAATCTGGCCAAGAACCTGCAGAGCGCACAGCGTCTGACACAGCATCCGCGTATTCTCTCAAGCACATGGAGGGTGCCTTTCCACCCCCGAGCGCCCTGTCTTCCATGAGGCTTGTGTGGCACTTGTGACCTCCATCTTGGCCAGAAACACTCGCTCCGGTCCACAGCTTTCCGCACTGAGCGAGTGAGCTTCCATTGATCTGGTCGGATTTCAGCATGCCGACGTCAGCCGCATTAGTAAAATCAAGGGGCCTGCGCAGTCGAATTTCCAGCATCACGGGCAGAAATTGTGATGAGTACAGGGGGGGGCCCATTTTACACTACTAGGCGTGGGGCTGCCGCATTGCCGGTCCTCTTCTGTCATCTCTCTTACTCATGCTTTATGCTACTGCTCCGCTTTAGCATCACTATAACGCAAGTGTCCTCGTCTGGAGCATGCACGCGAAATCAGCTAAGCTTAGCTCGACGGCTGCCAAGACGATTGAAACCCGAGCCATGGCGCACGGCATCGAGGCATGAAACAGCGGTTCGGTTGCGTGATTCTGAACCGAAAACTAAGACAAAGAGGCAATGTCCTGAAACTGTCCTGAAAAGTTGGATTCACCGATGTCCGGCCTCGCCGCGGTGGACGGTTTCAGGAATGGTGTTTTCACCCACACCTACCAGCGCTCTAAGCGCGAAAGTGTTTTTGTTTAGGCGTCGGTTCTTGGTTGCATCAGCGTGTTGCAATGTACTGCTTAGTTGTAAACCCAATGCCTGTGCTTATCATGGTTTTCAGGAGATGTTTCGCCACCCCCCCCCCCCCCCAGCAATCAGAGCAGTCATGACCGGATCCATGCGAAGACCCCGCCCTCTCGCATCCTCTCTTCTTCAGGATCCACGATGTGCTCTCTGGCGATCCACCCAACTAGTATGTTCAGCCCATCAGCGAATACACTGAAACATAAAATGGCATATATAGAGCAAGAAGTACATTAGAGGACTTGAGCCCTATCATTGACATGTATGTGGGTGACCATGAATCGCAAACACACGCTTTCACTGACACTGCTGCTTTCATGCACCGAATCGCCGGGACGCCGTCGTAAGAGCACGTCTTGCACAAGTATGGCCTTGCTGGAACTTTTGCCGCGATTGTTCGCCCCGCATCCCCCTTGCCGCCCGACTCGCGCCCAGCCTTGTACCGTTGCGTCAAGCTACGGTGCATGCTTGTGGGTTTCTGCCGAACCGTCCTGCACCATCCCCGGGATCTGTCATGATTCACACTCGTCCCGCACCGTCCCGCACCGCCCCGCACCGCCCCGCACCGTCCCGCACAGTCCAAATCCGTCGGTTCGTCCTAATCCTCGCACCCACCCCGGCTTGGCACCCTAAACGGATAACCCAACCTCCAACGGTTGTTGGATAACCCTGGCATGCACTGAAACCTACCGTACGATCTCAAAAGCGAACCATGAGAAAGCCTTCCGTGTAAAGTTTCGCCAGGTTCGGGTTCCTTTCTAATACGGCTCGGACTTTGGATTGCCGTTTGCAAGCATTCGCATTTGCAAGAATCATGCAGCTAGATGGTGGGAAAGGCATGTGCTGGCTGCATCTGGCTGCGGTTAGTGGGTTAATCACCTATCTGACTATCTGCCAGGCAGCACACGCCCAACATAACTACTTGTCATGAGTGGTGAGCCTGCATTCGCCTTATCTGGCGAAGGCCTTATGCCTGCCGTGCCCACCACCGCACGTTTTACTCGTGATGAATCTAAGACCTTGGCACCAGTCACAGCTGATCCCATGGTGGGAGTAATCAACTGCCTGGCATAGCTAGCATTTGCCGCTCCAGTTGCAGGCGGCCGCATCTTACTCTCGACCCAAGTTGCACAAGCTTCTTGTGGCTTGAGAATTGCCGGTCGCTTTGATCCACATCCCATGCAAAATTTTGCGTCTGCTTCAAAGGGCTCACCACATGCGTCGCACGTTGAGGCAGGCTCGTTCGGAGGCGCCGCTGGCATGGCCACCTGGTGCAGAGCGTGCGGAGCTTGGGGAGCCTGCGGCGGAGCCTGCGGCGGAGCCTGCGCCTGCAAGGCATGCAGAGCTGCCTTGGGTTGTTTTGGGTGCGAGGACTGCGTGGACTCCGTGAGGCCGATTCGCAGCACTGCTCGAAGCATTGCGTCTGCAAGACACAAGCAAGCCAGAGCATCCAGCCGGTCCTCCTCTGGGTCGAAACGACGATACAAAGCATCAATGTGAGTTTCCAGTGGCGGTGTCAGACCGTGGTGTTGAAAGACTGCAGCGAGGAAGGAGTGTAGAGCTTCGCCATGCTCCAGAAACCCCGTGCACTGCGGGTCAACCTTGCGGTAGGCTTTTAGCGATGCCCTCGAAGCGTCACCACGATCCAGGGCAGACACTGCAGATGCACGCTGGCTGAAGTTCACTGTGGCCAGAGGGCTCAGGAGCCTCGCCAATTCCTGGAGATCTAAGATGAGAAAGAGTGATGAGAAAGATGAGAAGCCCAAAGATGCAAAAACTGTCAGAAACCCCTTAGCCGCAAGCCTGGTCCTCAAAGTCAATGACCACCGTGTCCATATAGGTGATACCTGAGCAATGCTGGAGATATGTAGGGAAACACGGAGAACTATCTCTGGCTGTTCCCAGCTTAGGACTTGCGCTGGAGGCTTTCATCAACTCGGGCACCTCTGCATACAGAACCTTACTTCAGGGGCAAAACTGCTTGCGACTGCATTCGTGGCCGTGCTCTGGAGATGCAGCGTGGTAGAAACGGGACGACTGGCTTGGTCACTGGCCCACTGCTCCGCCTTGGCTAGCGGCGATGCTGCAGGTGCTGTACGCAGGTCCTGCACCTCTGCAGGCGTGCAAAAGCGAGAAAAGAAACAACTACAGTTTAGTCCGACCGATGCCATGTGACAGAGGACATGCCTCTGCCACCAACGCACGGACCTCCGCACGGAGCCTGAAACGAGAAAGAAAGCAAGACCCTGGCAGCTCGGCAGATCATGTGATGAACTCGCTTTGAACTCGAATGCTCTTTTCATGTGCTTATTTTCCAACAATGTTGAAGAACTCTCTTCGATAGAATTCGACAGTGTGCGGTTGCATCTGCTGGCCTGGCTAACTCGGCCTCCAGCGCCCCTCGCTCCTTCACGTGCCGATCCACCTGTCTTCGCAGCTCCTCCGCCTGACCCGTGGCATTGGCACAATCACTCGCATCACTCGATGTGCGCCAGACCCCGCGCCTGCAGGGCACGGCCCCGAGCCGCAGCAGAGTCACTGCGCAAGGCTGTCGAGTACTGTTGGAGCTCCTGAAAGAGAGGAGCTCCCACAGCCTAGAAGCTCTGTGCCGTCTTGGGACCCCTCAGCCCACCCTTTACTGTCTGATGCAATAATTTTACGATTTACCATGACTTGCCCTCCACGCTGGATCACATTGTTGGCTTCTTGGTGCCGAGTTCGATCACACACACTTCTTTACCCCCTCTGGATCTCAACATCAGGCTCTCCAGGGACACACGCGCAACTCCTTCATAGCGGTCTCTCTGTTCACGTTGGGGCTGGACGTTCTCTAAGCCCGTTGTGAGGGCGTGATGGGCGGTGCGGTTGGACTAGGTTGGACAGTTCGGGTCAATGCAGATGCTCGGTTCTCACACCAGTTCATGCCTTAGAGATGTGACTAGACTTGCGGCATGTGCAGAACGTGTCGGCTCATGCTGAAGACACCCACTCCTCGTACTCCATCTCAAGCGTCTGGTACTTTGTGCGCAGCAACTCGGCCTGGCGTGGAGGCCGACAAGGCCGACAGGTGGCCTGGACCATCCTGGACCCTTCTCAACTCTCGCCTGCAGCTCGAGCTCGTCGCGCCCAGCCTCTAACAGCATCACCTCCGTTGCTCCGTTGATCTTGCGACATGCGAAGCTAGGGTTTGCGATTGGTCTTGACGCGTCTTGCAACCTCCAGGCTCATGACTCGCGAGGCTAGTTCAGCTCATGTGTCTTTCATGCGCTTTCAGCACCAAGTCAAAGGTGCCGGCGGACCTTCGCCTGGAGCTCCTTGGAACATATGCAGTCACTCTCCGTGAAGATCACGGCAGGCTGCACGAAACATGAGTGCCACCCCTAAGCCAAAATCCTGAAGCTCGGAAACGGCGTCGCTGCCGTCAGCCGAAGCTCCTCCATGCAAGTGACATTCAATGAAAACTCTACCGTAAAGGTCTGCGAACGAAAACTCTACCGTAGGGGTCTGCGAACGATTGCATACAAGGAGCCCTAGGAAGAACAAAAAAAGATGCCGATCCCAAAGCATTCCGTGTCAGATGCCACACCTCAACTGCCAAGTCCTGTCCTAAGACCGCCCTTACATAAGTCCAAAACTGCCTTCTCCCTGCCTGCACATGCAGTCAATTATACCCAGAGTTCGGATCTGGAACTGTTGCCATATCCCGGCGGATCACGGTACTGAGAAGATCATGAGAAAAATGTGGCAGGATGGTTCTTTCTAGGGCCATGGGCTTGCAAAACCGAATTTGATCGAATCTGCCTACGCCATCCCCATCAGTGATTGAACTTTGACCTACGACGATCAACCCATTTAATGTTTGCAGAGCCTTGTGCCCAGTGTTCACGGGAGCTGCTTGTGGTGTTTGCGGCAAGTGCACCACCCGTCTGCAACTGATTCAACCTCAGAGAAATCTGCAAGAGAAGTGCAGACCTCACACGACCTCACGACATCGCACGCCCTTCTGCCAACTGCTGAGCCCGCAGACTCCAGCAAGATGGAGTCACGATGTGCCTTGCGCACCAATTCTACAACAACTCTGCAGCACAGCGAAGCAGAGCCAAACTGTCGCAAAGGCTGAAGAGACGCCAGCCAACAGCAGCCCCTGTAGTCCTTTATTCACGCCGTCCACGCCGTCGGTGGAAGCCTCTTCGAGGCCGCAGATGGCAGCCATTGGCAGCCCTTTTCGCAGCCAATCTCAAATAGCAAAGGTGAGTGTAGAGATGGTTCCTCCATGGTTCCTCCACGTGGAAGTCGCATCAGAGTGCCATCGCGGAGCGGGGCAAGCAGCTAAGCAGATGCACGCAATGACAGCCAAGCAGGTGAACTCGTCTGAGTTGCACGTGCTAGGACGCCCGAATTAGCCTGACCACACCCATCGAATTAGGAATCCTTTGAAGCTAAGCAACGAGTGCAACGAATTAGCCACCCAAGGAAAATCTAGTCACAAGTGTGAACTGTGCCACTGCGGAAAGCGTGGTAAATCCTAGTGAAAGCTCCTCCAAAACGGAAGGTGGCAAAAGTGGCTTTGCGTCTCTTCGTCTCCACTTCTCAACGCGCCGGCGACAGGCATGCCTCTGGACATTCAGGGCGTGGCATGTGTGCACAGCCGCAGGTCCTCGGGCACAGCAGCTGAGACGATTGAAACCCCATCTTCGCGAGCTCATCCGCTTGCATGCAGAAATCGAAGTCAGCTCCGTCAATGTTTACTGGGCGCGCGAAGGCCTCACAGGCCGTGAAATTTCCGAGAATCCCACGCCTGTCACTCAAACCTTGGAGATAAACAGCCAAGGCCTGGCTGTCTTGTGGTGCATCCTTGCAACCAAGTTCATCAATGCTCTGGTCAAAAAGCCGTCTGCAAACCTGCGGGCATCCGAAGGATGGTAAGCTCGCAATGAAGCTGCCTGACTTCACATCGCTGCAGCCACAGGTGACGGGGCAAAGGGCACGCAACCGCCACAACGTCTCGAGAGGCAAGCTGCCGTTGAAGCAGAAGGACTGAACCGACTGGCAAGACGTCGGCCCAGCTTCGGGAATCAGCTCCCTGAGTTTTGCCATTGCAGCTGTACCCAAGTTCACCAAGCCAAACCCCGCATAGATGGGGTTATCCAAGTCTTGGCACAAAGGCCAAAACTTGTTGCGCTCTTCGAACTCCAAACTCTTCAGCTGCATGGCCAGGCCAAGCAGCTCATGATTCAGAATCTGTGCTCCCAAGCCAGGAGGCTCCACCTCCTCCAGCTGAGAGGCCTGCAGCACAGCCCGGTAGGCGTAGCTTGCATAACCTTCGCCAGAGTTCTTTGGCAAAGCATCAAGAGAATCACCAAGAATGTAAGCAAGCCCAGCTGCATCTTCAAAGTACGTGAAATTGGTAACTCCAGAACACATGGCGTCCGCCGTACTTTGCATGTTGTTCACAAGCGGCTGCAAACAGAGGATGTGCGATGCCACCAGACAAGTAAGCGATAGGATGAATATGAAAGCTTGGCGCGCTTGCAGAACCCAGGGTCGCCACAGCTTGACCTTCTGCAAATACGGTGCATGAAAACACCGCTACAGACCTTGACTTATGTAAGGCCTACCGGCATAACAACTAGGCGACTGGAAACATGCATTTCAAGGGGCAGGAAGTGGCTTCAAGGACTTGACCGTCTCATGCACACGTCTTGGAACAAGCACCGCAAAGAAGAGGTCATCGATGCAAAGTACCACTTCCAAGGCCACAGCATTCCTGGAGACTCAAGGACTGCTAGAACATCTCTTCAGGAGACTAGGAACACACTATGAATAATAACAGCAGCCGGGTAGCAGGATCAGATCAGAAAGAGACGTGGTGCTTGCCAGGAAATGAACTCCGATGATGCCAAGAACCTCAGGTCACAGATTGATGCACCTTGCCGGTCGCGATGGCATCCATCGACTGAGATGGCGACTAGGGCGATGCCTAATCTGGGCAGCATGTTGAAGATGATGAGAACCAGAACCCGGTGCAAGCTGACCGTGGACAAGTGAAACCGCCCTGCATTGGCGAAGCCTTCGCTCACGCCACTCCCCCGTGGAAGAGAAGCCAAAGCGATACCAAAGCCACATGCGCAACTCATCTCCTTGAGCACCGTGAAAATCCAAACCAGCAGTGCGATCAGAGCCAGCCATGCACCAACAGGAAGCAAAGGCCAGCGGAGATCCTCATTGCCCTCCTCGCGGATGCCATACTTAAATAGCGTCTCGAAAATCTCCGCCTGCACGTTTCCATTCATCAATGAGTTTGACATGCCGCAGACACCCATGATCAAGGGCTGGCCAGTGATGCCGTCGATGTAGTTCATGTTCTGGCCTTGGCCCATGGGCAGCACAGCCCAAAAAAGACTCTTCCAAACTCCGAGCAAGCTGAGCAAGCATGAGATGCGGGATGCACAAAGCTCAACTTGCTTGCTGAGGGCCACACCAAAGTGGATGCGCCAGTCCTTCATCTCTTGCACGAGCGAAGTTTCGAAGACCGTTTCCGTCATGTTGTCGTAAAGGATCAAAACAAAAAAGCCCTCCACCAGAATGGACCATAAGCCACAGAAAGCAACTGCCAAGGACTCTTGCCAAGATAGGACCCCCAAACCCACCAGGACAGAGGAGTCCCAAACACAGGCATCGAAGCGATACTCAGCGATATTCTGCCGGTCTTTTGGGGGTGCGTCGTGATCGTCATCTGGCGATGTGGAGATTTCCAGTTGCTCGTGTCTGCTGAATGGCAGCCGTGAAAGCGCCTGATCCAGCACAGCCGAAGACTGATGACTCTTACTTTCTGCACTATTGACAAGGCGAGTCAAGTTATATACACATGCTGCAAGATGTTACCTATTCTAGTAAAACAGAAGATGCTGCAATGCCCAATGCGCCGGCGCCGTGGTGACAGCCTGCAGTTGCAAGCCTGAGTTGCGCTCAAAGACTGCAGAAAAATGGACACGGGACACGGCAAAAAGAACGGCTGGGCCGAGGACCTTCCTCCAGTTGAGGCTTCGAGTTCAGAACACTTGCTTCCAGTGACTCCAAACGCTGCTCAAAGTCCCTGGCACATCACATGACTCGACTGGCGACTTGTACGTCGACTGCTGTCCACTGACGCCCCTGCAGGCCTATACTACACCCATCATGCCCCCATTCCCCCGAGCTTTTGGGCCTCAGTCTCTCCCTGGTGCACTCGTCAATCAACCTGGAGAACAGCCGAGGATTCGAGGAGGAAGGGGAAACCGGTTCTGCGTCCACACCCTGCCTTCGCAACTCGAAATAATCCACGAGGCCCTTCTTTGGGGAGTCGCTCACGCCCGAACCACCACACAGCATGATGAGAGCTTGGCCACAAGGTGGCCGGGCCGAATTGCTTCGGCCCGGGAGGGCGTTGGCCCTGAGGCGTGTATGAATCGAAGTTCTAGATTTTGGACTTTTTAGCCTGTACGGCACCGTCACGCTTCAGCTGACCAGCTCATGTCTCTGCAAAGAGTTCGGCACCATATGCTTGACAATATTCAATTCTGCTATCTTTTCCATGTCGAGCCAGGACATGGAGACGCACCGCAGGCAGGCGTGAGGAAATTATGCAGGTGGCTTTGCTCGCAATTCTAAAACCCACTTCGACGTTTCAAAGGTTCCTAAGGCTCCTTCCGGGCTTTGGGCTTGTTCACAAGTTGTGTATGACACGTCGGCCTCAAGAAGAAGAGTTGGCAGAGCTGATGTGTACATCAGGAGAGCACATAAGCGTTACTCATTGCTACTTGGCCACTCTCTTCGAAAAAGCGTGTATATAGCTCGGCCCACCCACAGGCAGGATCGACCAAGTCAGCACGCAAGGTTCACGGTTGCATTTCCCTGGTCTCGTCAACTGCAGCAGAGTTAAGCCATACCCAGAGTTGTACAGAGAGGCCGAGCGGAGGACACAAGGGCTTTGAAGGGACATCGGCGGAACCACAGAAGAACTGCAAAGCATGGATTAATCATTACAGTTTGCGCCTCGAGTGCCGCACACCGAGCCCTTAATTCTGTGGTCTCGGAGGCCACGTCTGGTGTGTTCCTCTCGAGTAGTTGACCTCAGCCGTTGTATCCAGGGGCCACACTACAAGGATCTACACAAGGCACCCGGCTTGAGCGAACAGTACATATGCGCAGCTTCCAGCAGCTACAAGTACTTTGAGCCCAAAGCCGATCCACTCATTGGTGGCACCCAACTGCCGGTGTGCCCAGCGATAGCCCTCGGAGGTGTCCAGAAGCGAGATCCAGCCATAGGCACCATCAAGGGCGACCCGGCCACGAATTCGTTTTTCGGCCTTTCGGTGGACCACCTCCAGCACATAAACCTCCTCCCCGGCCGGGAGCCGCCCAACTTTCCGGGAGCTCCTCGCTGGTGCCTCAAAGACGTCGACGTCGCTGGCCAGCAGGTACGCGCCGGGCCCATCCAACTGCAGCGTGGCCTGGCTGCTGAAACAAAACGTGATTCCACCACTACCAGTATGTTCCGCCACTGAATCTGATGAATCAAAATGCAGCCGCCAAGCTCCCGATGAACGCTGCGAACGTTCCATTTGCTACCCACAGATACAACGCAAGACCCACGCACGACAGCGACATGTTCACAACCCGGTTGCAAGACGCCCCAGCCCAACTTTGGGTCGTTCCTGTTGACACAGGCATCCTCGGGCCGAGGCAAGCCGGAGCGAAATCAGCCGGATTTCGAGGGTGAGAGTGTTGCAGGATGTTGCACGATGTTGCACAAGTGCAAAAACTTTCGAGTTCCAAGGGACCCAAACCGAAGTCTCAAGCGAGCGACTCCTTTCATATTCATGTGCTATGTACAGACAATCGAGCTGCGCGGTTCAACCCGATAATGTCCATGACATCGACTCACAACACTGCGCTCGGCCTGGTGCAACTCTAGCTCCAGCTTCCGGCACCGCTCGCTCTTCTCATGCAGCTCGCGCTCACACCGGCCGAGGTCTTCGGCTGCCGTGGCCCTCAGCGCTTCGAGCGTATCCTTGCTGGTGCTCGTGTCCTCTGCGGCTGCACGCTTCGCCTCCTCCATGGCTGTCTCAGCAGCATCCAATTCCCTCTGCAGTGAGAGCAGCTGCTCACTTCGCAAAGATGCCCAGCGGTTGCTGCGCTGCAGGTCCCTCAAGGCCCAGCGATTGGAATCCTGACAAGTGCGCAGCCCTCTCAGGAGCTGAACTACCTAGACACCATGCAGGAAGACGTCCTCCGTGCCAACGATGGAGATCCACCCGGCTGGCTCTTCAATCCTTCAGCACCAGAAAACGAAGACCGACGACGACTCCGACGACTCTGCGAGGTCTTTTCACAGCTTGGGCCAAGTTCAAAGGCCTCCCGCGTACTCTTTTATCTTCAGGCCTCAGCGTGAACACTTCCCCCGCTATCAGCTGTAGTTGTAATGATCAACCATGGCAACCCCAACTTGTCCATGCCTGAGTCTCTCACCGATGAACAACCTCCAGTACTTGGACAGCTGTTCCGACCTGGACCAAGCCATTGCCCTAATCACGGCGCAAGTCATCCAAGACCCGTGTGGTTTAATGCAGCCATGCAGCAGTCAAATTCTGCAGTTTCGCTGAGGACTTTTCTGGGCCCACAGTCAGCGCCACAGTTTGAGACACCACCTCAGCTTTAGACCAGCTCCAAAAAAAGAACCCCGTCTGTCCCAAATGCAAGCGCAGAAATCTTCGGCCAGGAGGCGTAAACCCCAGGGCTGTCCTTAGCATACAAAAGTTCAGCATCGCATTCTAGCTGCTCCTAGCCGCAAGATCACAAACGGCTTCCTCTTGCATGTGACCTGTGATCTCTCTGCGGCTGAGGAGCAACAGAAAGCAACCTGAATCTGGCAGCAGCACATCAGAACTGCATCATGAACAAGCAACGGTGCACAACTAAACCCTCTGCATCGCACATCTTGTGGCAACCCACCATTTGTAAAAGATTAGAGTCCTAGATATGTGAGAGTTTGCCCAATTTGGTCCACGCAACTCTGTTGAATCTGCCTTGGTCCCGGCATCATTGCCAAGTTGGCCCGCCGCCTGGCGAAGACTAGGACAACCTGTCTCAACTGCCCATGCGAGGTGCACCAAGCAATCTCCACTTGGGCCGCCTTCTGATCAGCGTTCTGCTTTGCAAACTCCCTGCCAGAGCCGACCAAAGAGGCACACCAAGCATGACGCCGCATCACGGTCTTCAAATAGGCTGCTGCAGACTTGCGTCCCGAGATGCTGCTTTAGGAGTAGGACTTCGCTTTCTGCCTGGCTCAAGTCGTCCGGAAAGCAAGAACAGACGGAAACGGCAGTGTTCGGCAGTCATTCGGCCAAGAAGCGGCTTCACACCTTGACTTCCACTCCTTCACCTCTTCGTGGAGCTTTTCCACGTGCACCTCAATATCATACCCCGTAGCGCACCAGTTTCATGACCGCTGGGAGGCTGGGAGGCTGGGAGGTCCCCAAGAGGCCGCATACCCCAACACTTGGCAACATGGGCTGGTGTGGCGGCGTTCCATTCACGAAAGCTATTGCTATTGACCCTGTACCCCAGGTTGTCGTTGCCTATTGGTTACCATAGCAAGTTGAACAAAGCCCTTTTCAAGTGGAAGTGTTGGACAAGTTGACCAAACCAACGCTGCTACAAAGCAACCCTGTAACAAATGGGCCAAACTCATTTTTCTCGGTCATGATTTCTGGGCCCTTTGATTTATGGAGGCGTATTCGACATCCGGACCAAACTGCAACACTGAAGCTTGTTCCAACCAAAAAATCTCCTCAAGCCAAAAGCAATGCAAAGTGAGCTGCACTGCTGGATGTAGCAGCAGATTTTCCGCTCTCTGCCTTACACCGACACGTCATCGACAAGGTTTGCTATGGCAGGTGGTGACATCTGCTAGGTCGTGATCGAGCGCAGGGGCCTGCGCCCGCAGCTCCTTCAGCTCAGCCTCCTGGCTCCGATCCTTCTGCACCTCAGACCACGGCAGCAACCTTCTCCTCATCACTCAACATTGAAGCGGCCACATGCAGGGCTTCCACATGTTCTCATACGCGCAGTTCCTTTCCAACTGCCAAGCTGCGAGGTAGTCCCTCTCTGCCTGCAACTGCTCGACGAGCGCCTGAGCAAACCGACCCCCGACACTTGAGCACGACAACGTGCCAAAAGGGCCGCAGAGGGCAGGAGCTCAGCTCACCACAGCGTGATCATTTCTTGGGTCAGATACCTCTTTAGCAAGTGAGGCAAGCAACAGCAGCCGTGCTGGCACCCTTGTTCAAGGAACCGCCTTGTCACATAGCTCCTCCTCCGAGCAACTGGGTTTCATATGGTTTCATGCGAAACTCTTCGAAACTTCTAGACATCTCTGGGCCGTAGAAGCTATGGCTACTGCATGCAAAGCTCCTCAGCTTCGCGGATTGCCCTTGCAGCTAGTTGCTCAGCAAGCCCATCGGATTCCGCCTGGACGATTTTAGTGCGCAGCACACCATGTTGGAAGATGCAGATGTATGCTGGTAAAAGTGTCTGAGGGCAGCGCCTCCAACCTCAGAACTGCCACAGCATACACATCCAGATCTAGATCACTTCTTTCTCAGCCCGAGAGACTTCTGCGCATTTTGGCTTTTGAGTTCGTTGATCTGAGCCTGAGATCACCAACCAGATGCACGAGCGTTGTCCGTAGCCATACACACACTCGCAGACACAAAAGAAGCGCGAGCGAAATGATAACTGCGTCATGAATTTTGCGGAAGGGTCACGGTCAAGCTGGCTACCTGGTGGACGGCTGCCTGACGCAAACTCAATGCACAGCCAACAGCAGAAGACAACGACGCAGATCTCCGGCCTGCTGCGAGCCCATCATCTTGAGCAATGCTGCATTCTCATCTTCAAGCTCCGACAGCTTGCGTTCCAGCTCAAGAGTCTGCGCTCTCGCCTCTTCGGCCGATGGGCAGTGTGCCTTCTGCTGCGCTGCGGCCTAACAGCAAGGGCATAGCAAGGGCATATCAACATCCCAACATCCCGACTGGTCTGATGCGGGCAGATGGAAAAAAGAAGGTGTCGATCTCATGTGCACGCTTTCCCCAAAATCACCCTGCCTGTTGAGATCCCATCATCTTCATAAGTGCCGCATTCTCGTCTTCAAGCTCGGACAGCTTCCGTTGCAAGTCAGCTGCCTGGGCACGCTCTCCCTCAGCTTCCGCTGCCATCCGCGCATTGTTGGCCTTCTCGAGCGCGAGATCTTCTTCAAGGCCCTTACTTTCCTCTACCAGGCTCTGCAGCTTGTCTTGCGCATGAGCAGATGAAGCCAAGCGGGCTTGAAGCTCCGAAGTGCTTGCTTGCAAGCGCTGTATCTCCTGACCCAAGTCTCGCTTCTGAGCTTCCAGAGTGCTGCAGAGCACCTGCAGCTCCTCCAATTCTGGCGGTTCAAAGCGATCCGCTTCCAGGGCCACTAACTTCTTGCGAAGCTCCGCGACCTCCGCCCGCAAGCCTGCGTTGTCCTCCTGGAGTGCATCGCATCTGGCTTGGAGCGGTCCCGTTCTGGATGACGGGCTCGCCGCGGAAGGGCTCCGGCTGCTTGCATGATCATCCTCAGCAGCTCTGGCCAAGGCTTCCCTGCCACAAATGGTGACACATGGTGACGCACGTCAAGTTGCAGGAAGGGAGCAACAGAAGTACTTGCAAGTGCGAGCTTGCAAGACATTGCTCTGAGTCGCTCTCAAGCAGCAAAGGCAGGCAAGACCGTTTTAGTGCAGCCGCTGGTCGAGTGAGGTCCAACGAGGGATCGAGGCTTTTGCTCTGTCATTGGGCTTCTGTACAAGAAACATTTAAAAATTGCTGCGGGACATAAGTAGCTGCCAAATTTCTTGAATCGATGAACTGGTACATTGGTGTACGATTGTCGGAGTTCCAGCTGCCTGTGCTGTTGCGAAGCTTGACCTCCTTCACAGAAGCCAGTCGAACCCACTAGGCCCACACATCTTCGACGTATCTGCCGGACTCGACCATCGCGGCAATCATGTTCGCCGCCGATGAACTGCTTCTTCCTCCACTTTCCAGAACCTCCTGGAAAGCACGCTTGACATCCGGAGCCATTGCACGGGCATCACCGCAAACGAAGACTGTACATTTGGGGTCTTGCAGAAGCTTCCACAACGCCTCCCTCTGCTCTGAAATTTTGTCCTGCACGTAGACTTTCTGCCCTGACTCCCTGCTAAAGGCCACGTGAAGCTGGGAGAGTGCCCCAGACTTCAAGTGACCCTCCAGCTCTTCCTGGTACAGATAATCTTCATCCCGAGCACGGCAACCGAAGAACAGGGTTGCGTGGCCAACTTTTGTGCCCTTCTTGAGTAAAGCCTCTCGCTGCTGCAAGAAACCCATCATGGGAGCCAGGCCGGTTCCAGGTCCCACCATAATGATTGGTGCCGACCGATCTTCGGGCAAATGGAAATTCGACTGCATCGTTTTGACGTTGCCTGGAATAGCATCGCCGACAGCCATGTTTCCCAGCCGAGTTGAAGCAAGTCCACGATGAACGCGGCCTGTACCAGTTGTGAACTTCACCTGCCCAACAGTGACTGTAACAAAGCGCTTGTCCTGCAGGCTGTCTGGGTTGGAGGACACACTGTACCGTCGTGGGGCCAGAGGTTTGGCGATCATCAGGATGTCACCAACCTGGCACTCAAGCTTCCCCTGATAGCTATGCATGAGTTCAGCCAATGAGAGCCCAATAGAAGCCACTTTCTGCTTGTGATGCTCAGCATCACTCCCAAGCAGGCCAAGCTCGGCCTTTGCCTCAGGAGTTGTCGCAAGCCGAGCAAGCGCCGCACATGCTTTGCGTCCTGGAGGACTCGCCAAATCAGGGAAATATTGCAGAACCAGGCTGGCAGTGAGATGAATTGGAGGAAGTTTCTCCCACCACCGTGCATCTTTGAAGATGTTCACATTGCGCCATTTCTTTTCCATCATGTTGATGTTCCAGCGAACAGCTGCGTCTCCACGAAGCTGCAAAACATCCAGGGCCATCTTCACCAAATCAGGGTCATTCGGAGGCAGCACCTCCAGGTGGTCGCCAGGCTGATATCCTGGGCAAAGGACTTAAATCCTACGAAAACCCACTCAACTTAACCATTGGCGAGCTTATGGATGGGGTTTTGAAGGCTCTTCGGAACTAATTTTGGGGTGGCTCGGACTCGCAACTGCCCCCCCTACTAAACCAGTTTTAACCATGGCGGCAGCTGAGCATCCGGGATGGCCATCAGGAAGCCGCAAAGTTACGTGACGGACGCTGCGAGCTTGAGGCTTCTTGCAAAGCTCGCGGCTTGGCAAGACGACCTCAGACATACGCCACATGTTACTCCACATTTCGAGATGCAAGCGCAGAGCTCGAAATCAGTCCTACCGAATTACTCAGCTTTTCAAAGCCAAGCCACTTCCAGAGCAACGTTTCGGCTGGGAGGCGCTGCGACCTCCCCAAGCAGTTTGGCTGCAGCTTGCATGGACGTATTGATGGCAGCTATGGCGGTCTTCACGTCTGTCTTGACAGCAGACGCGTCCAGCGAGCCATCCTCCAGCACGAACTCATTCTTTCCAGACATGTCTTCGGCAGAAGCTGCATCTGCATGCGCCACACTGGAAGCCCCACCAATTCTCTGCAGCAAATTCGCAAGCCAATCATCGAAGTCGGAATCAAAAGAGGAGCTATCCACATCACAAGCCCCAAGGTCACAGATACGTGCAGCACCGCAAGATTGCAAGCCCGCATCAACTTCACGTGGGAACTGTTGGTATGTGTGCCACTGGGAGTTTCCGACCCCGAAGACTGCGAACCGCAAACCGTTCAGTGAACCCTCCTTCTGCTTCATGAGCCATTGCTTGAAGGCACTTGCATTGTCTGGGGGTAAGCCATTGTATGTTGCCGTGACGACAACGATGGTGCGCCCATCTGGGACGACGGAGCCTGTCGAAACAGCAGCATCCAGAGTCTCCAGGGACGCCTGGAATCCGGCCTTTGCAGCTGCCGTCACAACCTGCGTGGCAAACTCTTGGCTGGAGCCGGCGTTGGAGCCATAGAGAACTTTCATAACTGGGCCCTGCTTGCCCTCCTCCCCCCCCTTGTGGCCGTTGGTGCCTTGCGTGAGACTCTCCTTTGCTTTTGGACTCTCAGGGGCCACTGCCGCCAAAGCCGGAAGCGGCTGCATGAGGCCCGTGTCCGACCAAAGAGGGCCTCCAGGTCGCGGATACACAACGAAGGCCAAGTCCTTGGGGGAAGGTGCGGCTCCACCTGCATGGGTGCTGGCAACGATCTTATACCCGGGGATGCCTTCGAGGCGGAAGTGCAAGAGCATCGACGCGAGAAACGTCTTGGCCTCGAAGAGGGCAAACTGGCTTCCAATACAAGACCGGGTAGCAAAGCCCCACGGGTGATAGGCATTGGGATGTCTTTCCTTCACCGCATCCGGCGCAAAGCGATCAGGATTGAAGGACAAAGGATCTCCGAACTTCCCACCCCAATATTCTGGATTCGTATGCAGGGCCCGTGTGAGGACAACCACTCTTTGCCCTTGGTACACCGGGCGGCCTCCCAGCAAAGTGTCATATGCAGCGTCACGAGTCAAGCTAGAAACCGGACTATACAATCGCAAAGCCTCTCGGAAGCACTGCTCGACAAACTGCAATTTGGGAACGTCATCCACCGACGGCTCAGTTCTTCCTTGCAGGATCTCACGGACCTCCTGCAAGGCCCGAGCTTCGTACTCGGGATGCTCTGCCAACAACTGCATCGTGAATGCCAGTGTTGCGGCCGTCGTCTCATGGCCAGCAATCATCAAGTTCACCACATGGCCATACAGAGCACCGTAGCGTACGTGCTTGCCATCGGCGGTCCGGTCCTCAAGCATGGCCCTGATGATCGAGTTCTGTCCACCCAGTTCGCCTTCACGAGTTGCCTCTACCATCTCCTCCACTTGTCTTTGCATGTCTGCTTTCGCGGCTACATACTTTGCCAGTATCTTGCCTGCTGCATTGAAGAACGGCAAGTGGCGTTTCCACCCGTACTCTGATTTTGCATTTATGCTCCCGGTTGAGACACCCAAGCCCATCCTGAAGTTGTCAACAAACTTGTGCGGCGGCTGCTTTGCTCCCAGTCGCTCCACGTTGCGCATATCCATTCCCATGCTACAGGTGACCACCGCGTCCGCTGTCATTGCCGTCAACCAGTCGTTGACACCCTCCACACGTTCACCAGCACGGAAATGCGACCATTCGCGAATGAAAGCACGTGTCTTCGCCAAGATTTGCGGCGCAAAGTTTTTGATTTTGATTTGGTTGAAGCCTCTCGGGAGCAAGCTATGAGCTGCTTTCCAATCCTCGGAAGTTTCGCTGCTTGTGAACAATCCGTTCTCGGTGAAGTCTTGCAACCCAATTTGAGCTCGTCGGTTCCACAGTTTCGGGAAGTCTGGGGTGCGAGAGATCAACTCCTGGACTATGTCTGCGCTGGCCGTCATAATGGTTACCATGCGAGCGTCATCATGGAAGACGACGTCAGATGGGAAGTCTCCAATGGCATCCTTGTAACCTCCATTGTAAGACCCAACTGTCGGCCCGTATGGGAACCTGTCTGCATTAGGTGGAAAAACGTTCCGAGAAAAGTTGTACATTGGCAGGGGGTCCGGCCCTGTCGCCTGGTACGTGGTGCCCAAAAAGGGCAGGGATACACCTGGTCGTGGAAATGAAGCAGCTGACCTGGGCACTTCGGATGTTGCAGGTGGGTCCCCTTTGGTGCATACCAATTCGACCACCTGCACAACATCAGGTGGCAAAGTCAGCTGCTGGGCCTGAAGGGATGCAGTCTGGCTGAGAGGCGCTAGTCCCACACAAGCGCCCGTCCCTTTTCGCTTCACGATGTAAAAGTGCAGACCGTCCGCATCTTCCAGGCCCATTGCCTGGGCGGTCTCTTGGCGTAGCTGCGCCAAGTCAGCTGCTTTGTGCAACTTGACCAACGTCCATTCCTCACACGAACACTGAAGCAATCCGTGGACTATGCAGCTGACAAACTGACAAATCACGTTCGATCAACCAAGTGCATGGCCAGCTTGTTGGGGACATCTAGCTTCGCGTGGATGGCCAGATGATACTCAAAAGGACTGGATGCAGAATGTCGTGCAGATGTTCGAAGCGACTTCTTGGCAACCTTACATGTGGCAGCACAAAACAAGTGAAGCAAAACACACAACCCAGTTTTCTTAAATGCTCGCCGCATTTCGTAGCTAACTTGTCCAAGAAGCATGTGCGACGCAAATGAGTCCTCGGCTCATGTCAGCTCCGTGACGCTCCGACTACGCTCAATACATGGCAGCACCTTTTTTTTTTTGCAGCACTTGCTGCTGGCAGCACTTGCTAGGTTTAGGTGCAGGTGAATGGAAAGCACAAAGACTGAATTCGCGCCACAAATTCGAACAAAGCAGACACCACTGGGGCTCGCAGGTTCCGGGATCGAATGTGCACACGAGGGGGCAAGCTAAACGACGGTTGCTGTCGGAAACAAGTGCGATCTGCTCAAAACAGCCAGAAAACCCTTCTTCGACTAACTGTCCACGTCAAACGACACCCGGCTTGCATGGCGTTACTATGCGTTGCCAACACCAGCACCACCTGAAAACCAGGCATTCGGCATTGATCTTTTCGATGCCTGTGGTTGGCCACCCATCTAGACATGCTTGTAAATTTCTTGAGAAGAACACGCAGCTGCTGTTCGAGGGTAGCCTTGCCCCCCGCGGCACGGTGCCGAGGTTAGCAGCGACACCTGCTTCACGTTCCACGCAGGCCGTGACGTGGAGGTAGAGGTCGTCACGGAACGCCGCAAGGAACCCTGTTTTTTTTTCGCACCTGTTTTACATCTGCTCGACTGGGGTCCGGGTCGGCAACTACAGCGGCTCCACCGGCAGGTCACCGATGGGCACCTCGGCGCGGGTCGACGGGGCATGCCGCCAACTCCAGCAGAGTGGCTGCATGCGCCCGCAGCACCACCAGGGAGACGAGACCCGTCCAGCGGCGGACGAGCGCGCGCCCCGCTGCCCCCGAGCACCACGGAGCGCGCGCTGCGCCTCGTGCCCGCTCCAGCCGCCGCAAGAAGCCAAGCGCCCCTGCTTTTTTTCACACATGCCTTTTTACGTCAGCAGTCTCCGACGGTCAGCGCAGCGGCAGGCGGCTGGGTCCTTCCGCGTCAGCAAGAGCCAGGATCTCATCCAGCTCCGGCACCGCAGTCAACGCGGGCCCCGGCAGGGCCCGCGAGCGTCCAAGGGCTGTGTGGCCGACCGCCGCCTGCTGCACGGAGACGGAGAGCACGCTCCACCAGCGACGGGCCCATGCTGTTCGCGCAGGGGCCCTCACGCCTGCAGGGGCGCGGTGCGCGCGGAGGGCGACCCAGGCGCCGAACCAGCTGCACCCAACGAGACGATTGTGGCTCGCGCGTCGCTTTCCGAGGTAGCTCGCAACCAGGCAGAAAGCGCGTCAACCCTGGCTCGCGTGCGAAGCGCGAACTGGTACGGCCCCGTAGCTTGGTCGAAAACTGGCGTCCAAGCGGCCGCCAACGGGCGCGAGACCAGCCGGCGAAACATGTCGCCGGTTGCTGTGCCTCGTACGCCCCCGCATCCCCCGCCGGGTTTGCGGATCGCTGTCATTCGGGTCATCGCTATGCCCTCAGCGATCTCGAGCGGGATGGCAACCTGCGCCAGCAAGTTTGCCGCCTCCGTGAGCAGTTCGACGTCATCCGCATGCCCCATTGCAGTAGTAGTTTGTAGTGCTCGGCTCGCGCGCCTGACAGACCCGGCGCACTCCCTCGTTTGGTTTCGCAAAGGCTGCGTGCGACCGCGGAGAAGGTCAGGTGCGCGGGCGACGATGGCTGGAACTGCAGGACCTCCGGCGGGACGGGCTCGCGCGGTTGCAACAGTCGCTCGCTAGGGCTGCTAGGTCGGTGAGGGCGGCCCGAGTCTCGGCATTGCCTGGCGCAAGCTCTGCGGCGGTCAGCGCTTGCCGGGCGCGGGAAAGCTTGCCCTTCCGTACACGCGCGCAGGCCACGTCGCGCCGGCGTTCGGCCACTGCTTCCGCCTCCAGGTCGCTGGCGGGCCGAGCTTCGCATAGCTTCGCCAGAGTCCTTGCTGATATTGTTGGAGTCGCAGCAGGAGCGTGCGGCGCCCATCCCCACCCTGTTCAGCCGTGCGTGCAAGGAGCATGCGGGGCGTCAGCAGGAACAGTTTCCAAGCACGGGCCCGAGCACAGTCGTCGGGCTCCCCGACCCGACGTAGGCCTCCCGGAGATGCCGAAGCCTGTTCGCGAGTGCCCGGCGCACGCCCGCTCTCAGGAACAGTGGCACCGTTTGCAGTGTCGGCACGGGGTGGCGAAGCTCTTCCAATAAGCTGACGTCGTCCAGCGCTTCCAGAGGCGGCGTGGGCGGGCACTGTGCGGGAGCCGAGGTGGGGCACTGGGGGACCGCTGACGCCGGGGAGTCGCTTCCCACCGAAGCGTCCGCCCACTTCGAGGCCGAACACTACGAGGCGACACCTGCCACGCCAGTCGGGGCGGAGCTCAGGGTACGTGCTGCTGCCTGTTGGAGGGCAAGTCCAAGCACAGCGTCGCACCCGGCGCGAGCTTGCCTGCTTCGCTGGACTGGGCTGACGAGCGTGGTGTCAACATGTGTCAACAACCACCTGCACCCCCCGCCAGATGGGCAATCCATTGGCGACGACCTCTATGCGCTGCTCGCCGCTTTTCCATCCGCAGATGTCCGGTCTCAGCAAGGTCAGGTACCCGATCCAGCTCCGGGCCCTGTTGCTGGATGGCATGGGGTGGTGCCGGCCACGGTGATCCCAGGGCAGTGCTCGTCACGGCCTGTTGCACCGAGACGGAAAGGACCTAGTTTTCTTTTTGTAAAGGACCGCCCACCACCTGCGCGCCCATGCCGACGACGCAGCGGTCCGCACGGCTGGCGGAGCGCGCGAGCGTGAAGCCGCACGAGGTCACGGAGCAGCTGTCGCGCGCCAGCATTCCAGTGCCCACCGACCTTTGTCCCTAGCACGACGAGTAGCTGCAGCGTGGTCGCTCAGCGCGTCTTCCTCCCCCCCGCAGCCAGGCGGGCCACAGCGGCTGCACCGAAGGGGCAGGGGCAGGCGCAAGCGGCCGCGCAGCGCCGGCAGCATCGCTTGGGGTGGAATGGGTGGAAAGATGGATGTGCTCCGGCCTGGGGGCCAGCCTGTCACCGGAGAAGGGCGAGTTGGGATGGCGACAAGGAGCGTAGCAATGTGCTCTCGCGAAAGTGGAGGTTGCATATACGCGATGCACAGTGCCATCCGTGTGGCCAATCCCCGAGGCCCTCGTCCGACGAGCGCGGCGGACGGGCACCCTCCGCGACCGTTGCCCAAGAGGAGCACCCCTGCCTTCCGCCAAATGGAGTTCGCGCACCTTGGCCGCGCTTTGGGAGCCGCCATGGTTCCGCATCTAGGGCGTCGCTCTGCTATAGTGATGCCGGGGTCAAGTAAGTAAGTAAGTAAGTCCTGCATGCCCGTAGGCGGCCTCTTAGAGGAGCAGGCAAAGAACGCAACTTTACATGGTGTCAAACTGCATTTGAGCATGACGTCACGTCAATGTTAGAATCATTCTAAACATCGACGGCTTTTGACGAATCATCTTTGTTCAATTTTCTCAATGCTGTACAAAATCAATGAATGCACCCCGCGCGATGTCAAAGAAATTTGTCACGTACTCAGTCCAACAGGTATTTCCATTGAAACGCGCAAAAGCTTCAAGCTGCGTGTACCAACAATCGCGAGGTCTACCAGGAACGCGAACTCCATTTGGCGACCAACTCATCGCACGCTTCACCCACCTGTTTGCTGGCAACTTTGCCACATGATGTGCGAAATTCCAATAGCCATGGATGCATTTGTAAGACCAGCTCTGCAAGTTTAACGTTTGAGTCATCTGCTGGACATGTTGATTCCATTCGTGCAGTACCTCATGCCAGGGTAACGACCAATCAAGTCCCGAAGGCGGTCCAACCATGATTCTAAGCAATCGTCGCCATTCTGAATCCAGTTTGCGAAGATGATGCTGCGGTACTTTGCGATGCCCGGCACCAAAACATGCAACCGGTGTCACTACAGCTTCGAAAAATTTTACCCGAAGGGCCAATGGGACGTGCTTGTCACATAAAATCCACTTGTTCGCCCAAAAGGCCCGTGCAGCTGCATGGAGATGAAATTCGACATCCGAGGTTTGGTCACCACTCATGGACAACTGACATCCCAACCATTTGTGCGTGCTACCATCACGTACGATGTCAATGTAAGTTTCCTCATGAAGCCACACTCGATTTGGTGGCTGGGCTTGGGTCGTCATCAATTTGGTTTTGGAAGCATTCAATACCAAGCCCACTTGCCGCAAACATAAAATTAGTGAACGCACCATGACCAGAATTTGTTGCAGCGAGAGTGCGAACAGCAAAATGTCGTCAGCGAAGCGGAGGTCCGTCAGCGCCTGCGCGTTCGTTTGAAGTTGAATCCCAAAATTCTGTCCCGTTTGTTTCCAATCACGCATTGCCCACTCCAACACGGCGCAGAACAAACGAGGGCTCAAAACACACCCTTGTCGAACTCCAGCTCTGATCGGAAACTCCTTGCTCGATTCATTTTGCGTCTTCACTTGGCCAACTTGTTCGGAATAAAGACGCTGTATTATCCAGATCATGTGTTGCGAAATGCCATGGTCGCGGAGAGCTTGCCACAATGCTTGCCAATCCACTCGGTCAAATGCTTTGGAAAGATCAAGACTTAGCACCCAAATGGGCACACCATATGCTCTGGATGTATCAATAACGATGTTTGTCGTCAACAGATGTTCCTCCAGACGTCGATTCTGTCTGAACCCATGCTGTTCTTCAGGTTGTCCAACTTCTAGCAGCGGCTCGATCCTACATAACACCATATAAGAAAAAGTCTTATAGAGCAACCGCAATGTGACGATCGGCCTGTAGTCAGTCACCAGCTTGGCCTTCGTAGATTTGGCCAACATCTTGAAAAATGTTTTCTTCCATGAAGATGGGACTTCGCCCGTAGCAAGAACATGGTTGTAAAGGTTTAACAGCACTTCACGAAATGCAGGAGGTGTGTGATGCAAAAGTTCAGCGGCCAAACCACATTCATCACTGGCTTTGTTGGACTTCAGGCTGTGAATGGCGGAATCTAGCTCCCGCATCGTGAATGGTAGCTCTTCCAACACCGATGGTTTGGTTGCCTCGAAATTGGTGCCACTGAAAATATCTGACAGCATCTCTGCGAAATCATCAACAGGGGGCATGGTCGAAAACTGTTGCGGAGTCATGTGACGGGGTCAAAATGGGCGAAACTTGCGCTGTGATGGGGTATCATTTTTTTACTGGCCGGCGTGGTCGGAACAGCCACATTTATGGCGTGATGATGGTTCCACACCATGGTCAATCGCGTCCCGTTCTTGTTAAGCGCTGTCGATGCTGGTCCGGCAAGCATGCACGGGGATGTGAGTGACACGGACTTGAACGACCTCTTCGCCAGCATGTTCCGGGAGTTTGCATGACCCTCAGTGGGACGGAACTCGCTAGTCTTTTGGTTCCCCTGGCGTTGGCAACGCAGTCCCACCCCGCGGATCAGCATTGTTTGGCTCACTTTCCGAAGGACCCCACTTGCGAAGTGTGCTTGCAAGCGAAGATGTGCCGCGCGCCGGCGTCCCGCGAGAAACAATCTGTGGAAGATGACAAGCAGACAGCCCGCGTGCATGGCGAACGCATTCAGTGTGATTTTGTCGGCCCCACACACCCCAGCATCAACGACGAGGTGCATGCCATGATTACTCATGATGATGCTACGACACGGAGGAGGCTGGCCGCAAAGGATCGGGCTGCGGCGAAGGTAAGCAGCGCACATCACCGCAGGGCGAGCGCCGATGTGACCGCTGCCCGCGTGGCTACGGGCAGTGATGCCTCTGTCACGGCGTGGCGTCGCGGGAAACCACGCGACGGAGAAAGTCCCCAACCACGAGGCCCCGCGTACCACCATTGGGTTTGCGCAATGCGACCATGCGCCCAAGTCCGAGGGCTGGCACGATGTCCCGTGGCACGCGGGCAGCCGCGCGAGTCTTGTCAGCCTCGCTTGTCGATGCCGCCTCCTTGCACGCAGCATCAACGAGCTCAAATGCCAGGTGCAAACAACGGCGCAACACGCCCTTGCAAAAGTGCGGTGGCACACGGAGCAGGCAGCACGGCTGCGCCAGAACCTCCTCGGCTGAGAATCGAACAGCGCATTCATGCTGAACGTGTCGGAAAGCGTTTCGGCCTTGTTGGTGGTGTGCTCGGGTGGCGGGAAAAGCCGCATCTGACCCAACACCTTTGTCCCTGCCACTTCGTGTCTGGTCGGCTCCTACTGCTATTGCGCTAGGCGCAGGGCCGAGTGTAGCGTCGCAGGACAGTGCTGTGCCGTTCGCACAACGCGGAACCACGCTCGTTCGAGCGTATGAGCTCTCCGCGCGAAACGTCCGGTGCGCGGGCAAGCGAGGGCGTCGTCACCGAACTCGTCGACTTGCCCCCCACAGCCGTGCGTCGGCCCGCATCTAGGAAAAGGTCTCAGCATCAAGGAAGAGGCATGCGCAAGCTTCGACGCAGCACGAGCTGCATGGCTGGTGGCGCAGTGAGCCATGACCTTGCTTGGGTCCCGATTGCGAGCGCACCCAGGCCCGGGCACTTGGCATCATGGCTGGCAGCAGCACGCTGTCGCTAAAGTGTTGCGCGACGTGAAAAACTGCCAACCATGCGGCCAGTCTCCGGGGCCGGCGTGCTGTGGCAGGGCCGGGCGGGCTCCTTCGAGGAAGGCTCGAGCTCGGGCAGTTCTCCCAGCCAGCTCGCTACGCTGCGCGTGCGCTGGATCTCTTCGTCGAGCGGGAGGGCACCGTCGTCTCGGTGCGAGGGAGGGAGCGCCGCGAGCTCCGCCACTGCCCGTGCCACACGAGGCTGCTGTGCTTGCACAGCATGTGGCTCTTTTAAGTCGCACCATAGTGTCGCAATCCAGCTCCGCGTTCAACAGAGCGAATTCGGTTCGACGGAACAGCGGCGGCCCCCCACAACACACCCTCCAGCTCGGTCAAGTGGAGGCCATGCTGTCCGTGCCATCCATGAGGGTGCCCGCCGCGACATAAGTATTGCATTCTTCTGCTCATGCAATGACAGACGGTAAAGCTTTCTAGATGGAAGCACAAGAAACTGCGGCAAACTCATGATTTCTTCTCTTGTCGTTCGCTCTTGGTTTTCACCGCTGGCTCATGCACGAAACTTATTGCATACCTGCGCGAAAAAAAAAACACGAAACCAATGTAAATCACGAACGAACTTTCTTTGCGAACGCATAGAAATTCTCTGGAGTCGACGGCTCCCTGCAGACGCGAGCAGCATGAGCAGCCGCACGCTCAAGAAACACCCCCCAACACGTAGGACTCCAGAACGCGGGCATGCCACAGTATACCACAATCATGGGTTTCATAACGACAAGGCAACGACAACTAGGCATGCTACGGCATTTACAGTTCGTGTGCGTCCGTACAAACGCACGGTGGTGGTTCCTTGCCGGCAGGCAGTCCACATCCGCCACACAGCGTTGCGGGACACCAACTGATCACAGCACTCCTCCCCCAATTCGGTTCCGGGTGTTGCTTGACAGCAAAGCAACGTGACGCACAGCTCCTTGCCCAACCGGGCCCAAACTCAGCACACAACACATCCAAAGCAGCTCACGGCTAGCAATGCGAAGATGACCAGTGCAGGGACCACCCACTCCGCATGTGCGCTCCCGGGCGGCCGAGCGGGCCAGCTGGAGCGCGCCGCACAATAGGCCACGAGGGCCGGCGCCCGTGCCAAGCCCTTTGCCGGAGATGCCGACGCCCCGGTGTAGCGTATTCGGTGGACTTGCGGACAACCAGTGCGGGCGGAAGGGATGCCGAAAAAACAAGTTGATCACGAACATGTCTTCGGCATTATTGGAATTTTGGTCAAATGCGCAATAGACCTCGTCACAGTTGGATTTCGCAGTTGGAAGCCTTTGCTCGCATCAAGCAGTGGCCTGATTGGATGGACTTTGTGCAAACATCGCCGCATGCCAATTAGCATGCGGCGTTGGGAGATTTCGCCACAATCGTCTGTAGCTGAATCTAAATCTTACACGTGCAACATACGTGTTGACTCTTGATTGCCTGCGCCCTGAGGGGCTGACTGGCAGACTTTCCGGTCGCATCGAAATCGTCGATTGGCACAAAATTCTCTACATGCAGCTTGGACATCATGATCAACGTCGACTGAATGGTTGCCCCTCCGAGTTGGTGCAAAACAGAGTGCTGCAAGGCTAAGTGGAAAACTCTCGCTGCGACGAGCACCAAGGCCTTCGACAGTAACCCAAGAGTTCGGGCACACGACCATCAGTTGGTCCAAGAAATCCCGCTTGGCTGGGCGCAGTCGGGGATGCGGAAAAGTATTGGCACCTGCCTTTGTATGTGGCTAGTTGAACCATATCCTGCACAAACTGAATTGCCCCATGCATCTCTCATGCCTGCCAATTGTGCGACAGCGGTGTCGTTCACAATGTTCTGCAAAAACGAATATAGAATCCAAACGTTTCCGGGCCTTTGAGAACAAAGGATGGTTGATTTATGGCCAACGTTCTTTGTTGCTCCATGCCAACATTGCTTTAAGAACGCCTGACTTCCTTGCGAACAATGAGCTGCACAGTTGCATTAACAAAACCCAATTAGTTTTTGCTTCGAGTTCTTATTGCAAAGTTGTTGCTGATTCTGGTCCCAAGCTTTAATGCCAGGACGTGCTGTTGTGACGAGAAACAATGGTATGAGTAAACGCTCGTCAGTTGCCTCAATTCGTCCTGTACCCGGTGGCGACGTGGGAGTCGTACCATGCGCTGTGTACTTGCAGACTCTCTGCATACGCTTGACGCCTGCTGCGTCGTCTTTGCACTCGTGAAGCGAGGATTCTGTTCCTGCGCTCACCCGGCGTGTGAGCCACCCGCAACTTTCCGATCATTTCATTACTGCTCCGCTGCTCGTCCAGACTTGGCTGCCCTGCGCTGAAACCCACTTTCTTGTGGCCAGATCGTTTTCCTTTTCTGCCTGATGGCGCCGCGCACATGGATGTTGTAAATGTCTATGATTTGTGCGGTCAGAACAATGAACAGCTTCACCGGCCTTCATGACCTTCATGCCAGCGTTGGCGAACGCATGTCAAAACGCTGCGTGCCATTGTTGGCAATGCATCATAACAATGTCGACAGCCGGCAACAACGAAATTCCTCAACACGAAGGACCCAACCTTCCCACTGACACGGAGGAACCTCGGGCCCCACTTGGGTTGCATCTGCGTGAGCAAGTGCCGCTGTCTTTCAAAGACAGCATAAAGTGTAGTTTGTCTCCAAATGAGATGGATGTGTTTTGCGGTTGCGTGTTGGTCCCGTTTGTTGCGATCTGCCACGATGGACGCGATTTGTGCATGACTCTGGCTGCCTTTTGGTGATCCCGGATTCTCAACGTGACTGCAGCCAAGCTTTCAGCAATCCGACTCTGCATTTAGCAAGTTTGGACCTTGGACAGCGCCATTGCAAACAAGATTCCAACACCACCAAGAACTGCGCCTGCGAGATATTTGACGTTCCTCTCCTCCATGCTGGATCTAAGATCTACGGCAGCACAGGCACGCGTTGGGCAACACACTCACCCGCCGCAAGTACGAGACGCAAAAGATGGAAAACACTTGAGCCTTTGCCATGCAAATCAGACAATGTTGTGGAAAAAGTTGCTGCCACTGCGACTAAACACAAACGCCTCTGTCGTTCGATCACCGCTGACAAATCTTGCGCGTGTCCATGCTGAGTTGCCTTCGTTCGGCTGAAGCAGCAAGCGCAACATACAGTGCAACTTGTGCTCAATGAGATGTCTCAATCAAGGACTCGTGCAACTCGTGTCCTACTCTAAAAATCAACCGCATTTTCTCCAAGGTCAGTGCCACAGCCTGCTGCATCACTGTCAGCCACCATTGTTGCTTCTGCCTGTCATTATGGTTCGTGGTGTCGGGCATGTTTGCGGGCATGGCACGTCCGAACTGAACCAAGCCTGGCCATTTCGTTTGTGGTACTCATCCTGCGGCAGGTTCTCAAATACTTATCTCATCCCCTTCTTTGCTTGACTTTGCATGAAAATCCATTCCTGGCATCACTGGGCCAGGGTGCGCAACATCGTAGGGCACATAATTTACAAACACACGATCCTCTTACACTGTCTAGTTGCAATGGTTTTTACCTGCA